ACTTATGTCTTTGATAATTCTCCTAGTTCTGAAGACTTTATTTTCGAAAATTTAGAATGAACGGAGAATGGATGGAGATTGTTAACAGAGGAGTACGACTACTCTCCTATCAGGGATGCTATTTCTAGTACAATAATTGTAGTAGATCTAGCAAAATCACGTTCCATCTAGTACGCTGGTACCTCTCTCATAAATCTAGTACCTACAATTTGGATTATCAGTCGAGTGTCGCTCTCAGTGTTGCTAGATGGATTTTTTCGTCGATACTAGATTGGGATAAAAACAAACAGTAGTAGATCTGCTTGCTTAAACAGTAGATTTTTAGTTAATGACTTTTTTGCGTAATATTTCAAATATAAAACAAAAATAGCTAATTTATGAATATGAAAATATATTACAATCAAAAAATTAAACCACTTCCGCAGAGATCTGTGACGTCACCGCTCAGACGGGGAGCGCTCGGAGAGCAGTGAAGCCGAAAATGCCATGAGTTCTGAGTTGGAGTGGAGTCAGAGCAATTTTCATGACCTTGGAGTTAAGAGCAATTTCTAGGACTGGGCTAGAGCAAGGATGATATGCACTACTACTGACACACCAATATGGCGTCGACTACCAGAAATGAGGCCGATAATCAATCCTGTAGATGTGTATCATCCTTGGGGTTAGAGGAGTTAGAGCACGTTCGCTTTGCTAACCGCGTGTACTCGAAGTGCAGGAAGTCGGCAACGAAAACTACAAATTGTTGCTCAAAAGCAAAAGACTCGTCCAAAATTAATTGAACAATTTTGTATTCTCCTAAAAACAGTAGTTTTAGAAGTTAAAACAGTAGAACAGTAGATCAAGGATGAAAACAGTAGATCTACTGCTAAAACAGTAGATCTGGCAGCACTGGTCGCTCTTCACTCTGTACTGAGCTCTGTACCGTACCTGAGCTCTGAGCTCAACTCTTCTCTCTACTTGTGGATTGGGTTCCACGTTCCAGGTACCACTCCGGTGCGGCTAAAGCCAAACGAGAAATTGGCGTTCCGAACGCAGACGCACTTTTTTATTTTCTGAGTTGACGTGCGTCATGTCGGGGGCTATTTGGTTCTTCAGCCGAATTTGTATTCAAACTGCAAAATTTGACACGCGCTTTCAGCTAGTACATAATGTCGCCAATCTAGTACAATTATTCCCTACTTTCTGGTACAATTTTTTTAGTGCTGATAGCATCCCTGTCTCCTATCTAAGAGTAGATAGATATACATCTTAACAGATGTTAGTTTATGTACAGGGTTATTGGTTATAAATTTCACCCCCCTCTACCTTTTTTATTTGACATTTTAGAAAAAAGTGTCCCAAATAAAAAATTTATGGTTGAAATTATTTTTTTTGAAAAACTCACTTTTACATGTACAGGGTGATTCAAAGAAGCTGGTCGTGCTCCAAATTTCTTATTTTAAATTGAACACCCTGAATATTATTTAATATTCGGCCTCTACATCAAATTTTGAGCAGATTTCATTTGATATACCCTACAGTGACTCTATTACCCACAGTGGCGACAATTGCTGTCTCATTTTTGATTGGTTCAAAAATCCCATATATTTATATTGAAAACGCCGCCATCTTGTTCCCAACCTCTTGTTACTTTTAAATATGAATATATGGGATTTAGGTGAACATCCATCATAAATCATGGAAAACACTTATTTGATGGACCTAATAATGGTCATCAAGTACGTACAATTTCAATTTTCTATGATAGATGTTCATTTAAATCCTATATATTAATATTTAAAGGTAACAAGAGGCTGGGAACAAGATGGCGGCGGAACCTCTATTGTCGCCACTGTATGTAAGGGTTTATTTAGCCACTGTAATATACCCTATACCTGAGTTCAACTGTTTTGGAAATATTGACAGTTGAAAATTGAGTTTTTCGTAAATTTGACAGGCTGTAAAACCTAAACGGTTAAGTTTGGAGCAAAACCGATTATACATTTTTTTCTAGGATTTTCACAAGTTATCATTTGACACCAACTTTGAATTTAACCGAAGATTAAATTTAATTGGAATTTTCAATCATGGATTAAATTAAGTTGATGTCAAATATTGGTGTCAACTGATAGTTTATAAAAATGTAAGATAAAAATGTAAGATCGGTTTTGCTCTAAAATTAACCGTTTAGGATTTACAGCCTGTCAAAGTTGCAAAAAGTCAATTTTCAACTGTCAATATTTCCAAAACAGTTGAATTTAGGTATAGGGTATATCACATGAAATCTGCTCAGAATTTTACGTAGAATCCGAATATCCAATAATATAAAGGGTATTCCATTTAAAATAAGAAATTTGGAGCACGGCCAGCTTTTTCGAAACACCCTGTATATGCGAAAGTGAGTTTTTCAAAAAATCTAATTTCAACCATAAAACTTTTATTTGGAACCCTTTTTTCTAAAATGTCAAATAAAAAAGATAGATGGGGGTGACATTTATAACCAATAACCCTGTACATTCTTACTCAAAGTCTACTGACTGAAGGAACGAGTGTAAAAATACAACACTAAAGACTGAAGTCTTTGATAATATTCTCCTAGCTCTAAAGACTTATGACTGAAGGAAAAACTGTAAAAATACAACACTGAAGACTGAAATCTTGAAGATTCTCCTAGCTCTAAAGACTTATTTTTGAAGATTTAGAATGAACATTCTACTAGAGATTGTTAACAGAGGAGAACAGGGAAACGAATTACTTTTTAACCTAAGAGTGGAATTAGCTGTGCAGATGTTCGTCCGAATCTTTGTAGATGACTCGAATATAAACAAATTCATCACAGGCAGTCCTCATAGAGATAAAATAAGACTCGGAGTCAAGTTTGTACAATAAAAGTTGTTCGACAAAAGAGCTATGGACTTCCATCTATTGAGAAAATTATTGGAAAAGGGTATGGAAGAAAAATCGGCAGTAGATGACATAAAGTGCATCAAAATAATATGTAGATCAACAACTTTTAGAAGCAGGAAAGAGGAAAAACCGGATGGAGTATATAGGATAATCGCTCAAACGAGGGAATTGATGAAGCAAACAGAGAAGTCTTCTATAAACGATGGAAAACGAAATACATCAAAAAAACATACAAATAACTCCCATAAAAAAAGACATAAAAATAAACAACGAAATAATGATAGACAGAGACATAATAGAAGAGAATAAAGGCCTAAAAAGTTACAGCTGGAATTCTGAAAAAAGAACCATAAAAAAAGTAAAATTATAATTCACCGCAAGCCCGAAAAAAAAAATGGCAAGAAATGACGAAACCAAAAAAAAAAAAACCAGACGATAATTTACGAGGCTCGCACGTCAAGGTGGTCAAGTTACATACTCCAGCCGTAAAATTAAGTAATTATATACCTTTATAGTTTTAATTATTTATTAAATTCTCTGACGTTTCGTACATTATGCTAATGATCAACTTGGATGAGAGGTCAATAGAATTTTACCAGGCGCCTTCGGTGACAATAATTAACTAATCTGCGAAAGTATATAGCGCCAATCGTCATGAATAATGAATGAATGAATTAATAGGGGAATTATGCACACGAGAAGATTCTTTGAGATACTTTATTGTATCTGCATAAAAAATGCATAAATTTGTTTCAAAAACATTATTTATTTGGTCCAGCAGCATATGTATCTACTCGTCAATCCTTGGACTTTTAATACAAGGTACATATTATGTATTTCAATCGGGTTGAGGTTGATGAGAACAAACTCAAAGAAGAATTATTGCTTATATGCAGTACCTAGTAGTACCGACTGCCTACTGCTCAACCTGACATGAAATTCGGGTCACTGGTAATTTCTCTCGCATATTAGCATATAGCTATTATTGGCAAAAATTATTAGGTCACAACTGATATAACATTCTGAGTTTATTTGACTTAAAACACAAGATACATTCTTAAAAAAATAAATATTGCGAAAAGGTTTTTATGTAGTTACGTACTCAACTAAATAAGAAAATAATCTATTCAACACTTCCAGACCTTTTGTATATTTTTTCTACAGACGCATGGAATTAATGTATGAGGACCGGAGAACCTATTTGCATTTATATTGGATGATAGTTCACACAAGGTACTGCGGTTTTCATTGAGTTTTTTTTGTGTGCATTATCTCTGTGCCTTCATTAAAGGCTCCTTGACTAAGCTTCTGGTATAATTTTTGAAACATATGCACTCAAATTGGTGTTTATTTACTTCTTATCATTAATACTTGAAATATTCTCAATTAAAAATCAATATTTTGATTAAAGTTTAATAACATATCACATTTAAAATAACCTGTTTATATCACACCAAAGGGGAAAATTTATTTTTAAACTATTGCAGTAAATATTGTTATAAATTAATCAATGTAATAATATTATTTCGCTATTGAAAGAGTCAATTACTTCATTGTCTTCACTTATAGTTGAATGAATAGAAATTTATTGAAATATTATAAATTACCATATTGGTAAGTGCAGGTATTAGAATAACACTATAAATTTACATATAAAATGATAGATATTTCCATCACAAGTCCAGTAAGTAACTAAATACATTTTTACGTATACAATGTGTAAAACATAAATGAATTTCTGGACTTGTCTCTTTTTCCAGACTTACCTACTATTGTAATGAACTAAAAATATTTTCCAAACTGAAACTTCTCAAGCTGTCAAGTTGGTTGGACAGGGGATTTACTACAAGAGGACAATGGGGCGATGAGGCATTTGAAAAAAATCAAAAAGAATGTTTCTATTTTTACATTTTTTGATCGATCATCTTTTGACGTAAATCCCACGTAATAAGGAAGCATCTTGTATGAAACCACATAAAATTTGAAATGTGACTTATCGTCTCAACTCCTCTACTTTTTAATGTAAATTACCTACATGGCAAGAAAAAGTAAAGTTTGTCTTTATTATGTTTGTTATTATAAATAGTACCTAATTAATTTATTTTTTATTCCAGATGCAAGTAATTTTCTATCACAACAAGAGCGGTTTGAATGCCTACACCGGTAACTTGAAAACCAAAGAAGTTCACAAAGCTATAACGTTACATCCTGTCAAGCAACCAGATTACATGTATAATTTACACAAATATATTCATGTAAGTACTAAACTTTCTTGTATACAGGGTGTATATTTTAAGTGATACCACTATTGCTATATCCGAAACGGTAAGAGCTACAAGGTTGGTTAAATTAGAAAAAAGTTGCCTTTTTTGATGCCCATTTGAGACTCGTTTACAGTGTTGCCAAATTCTTTTTAGTTTATGAAATACAGGGTGATTTCTAAGAAACGCCCAAAACTATTCTATCAATTATTTTGAAAACTATTAATTTTCGAGACACAACTTAAATTTGAAAGTTTTATAATTTTTTTCGCTCTACAACATGGTCAGGGCCGGCCCTACCATAAGGCGAACGGAGCGGGCGCTCCAGGCGCCAGGTCTCGGGGGGCGCTCCGACTCGTTCCTTGGGGATAAAAAAGGAAAGAAAGCAAGCGTGTGGATAGCATGTGATTAGATACATAGAGATATATCATATTACATAATAATATGCAATGTTTCCGAATTTTGAATCGGAGAGGATGGTTGATCTTGGGTAGCTTAAGCTATCTCCACTTGATGTTTCTGACAGAATTTGCAAATTAAAGCAGAGTCTCGGTGTTGGGCCAGTTGGCATACCGTTTGTTTTCCTAGAATGCTGCAGGTTTGTTCTGTCTCAAATTTTGTGTGATATTTTTAATATGTCATTGTCTACTGATACATATCCAGAAGCCTGGCAAAAGTCCTATGGTATTCCAGTTTTTAAAAATGGAGACAAATCAGACATTGAAAATTATCGAGCAATATCAAAGGTTTCCTTGGTAGCCAAAGTTTTTGAAGGTATTGTTGCAGATAAAATCGCCCCACATTTTAAAAATGTCATTATCATGGTTTCATGAAGGGATGATCCACCATAACAATGATCAAAATCCATGCTCGAGCATATACTTCATTCATACATATAAGGAATTCATTTGCATTTTATTACTATTTAATAGTCATAAACAGGAGCTGAAACTCAGCAGGAGGTAGATCTTAGAAGTAGATAGGGAGATGGGTGAGTTGTACTAGCACAATGCTCTGCTTTCTTATTTGAAATTAGCAACCCACTTTTTTCACCTAATGACATACCGTAAAATGGGGTGGATAGCAACTTCTGGGTGAAAAGAAACGAAACCAGGAATCTATTTTAAAAATTCCCTACTTCATAACAAAGCCACCCAACCGCGTCCAAATTGTGCTCAAATGGCCAAAAGATATCAGTTGAACTGCTCTGACAGTCCAAGTGGAACATCATTTGGCAACCTTGCTTGTTGTTCTAAACACCTGTGGGAGTGATAGAATAAGCATTTTTGATCCCAAGCAAAATTTTATTTGCCGTGACTTGATCAAAACAGGTAAGACAATAAATTATTCGGCAAACTAGCCTTCAGGTGTCTGATTGAAATTTCCGTTTTCAGAAATTTCCTATGTTGCTTGCTTTTCCAGTTTTTCCAAATATGATGCCTAAACTCACTTCCAAATTATTTTTGGGTCGAATAGAAACACCCTGTTTCTATTCACCCCCCGGTTTCTTTTCCCATAGTTGTTTGCAATTATTTTTTTTTTTGCAGAAAAATGCCTCGCGTTTACCATCCAGATCCTCGAGGTAAAACCTATAAGAAAATTGATGACAATACCATGAAAAGAGCTCTTGCTTCAATTGATCAGGGTATGAGTTATAGGCTGGCGAGCGAAACGTACAAAATTCATTATTCTGTGCTTTATCGACACCACAAAAAACCAAATCTAAAGCGTCAAGGAGGTCAAATAGCTCTAACCAAACAAGAGGAAGATGTATTAATCCACCAATTAATAGTTTGTTCTGATTGGGGCTACCCACTTGACCATTTGGACGTCAGGATGATTGTAAAACATTATCTAGACGGTAGAGGTAAAACAATACCGAAATTTAAAGATAATCTTCCTGGTAGGGACTTTGTCTATTCTTTTTTGAAACGTCACAAAGACCAATTAAGAACAAGAATTTGCCAGAACATAAAGCGCTCAAGAGCCGCTGTTTCTCCGCTACTATCAATGCTTATTTTGATAATTTAGCGAAAGAGTTAAAAGATATCCCTCCATCAAACATAATTAATTATGATGAAACCAACCTAACCGATGATCCGGGTAGAAAAAGAGTGATATCGAAAAGAGGATGTCGTTATCCAGAACGCATTTGTAATACATCAAAATCAGCTGTTTTTCTGATGTACGCTGCTTCAGCTGATGGAAAATTGTTACCACCATACGTGGTATACAGGGCAAAAAATCTCTATTCATCTTGGACATGTGGAGGCCCAAAAGGTGTCCGATATAATAGAAGTTCGTCTGGTTGGTTTGACGCGATATCCTTCTCAGATTGGGTGCTGAGAATAGTAATACCAGCCCTAAAAGATCTACCAGAAAAAAAGTACTAAATTGGCGACAATCTCAGTTCCCATTTTGTCTGCAAGTACAGTGGCTATTTGCGAAAAAAATAATATTTCATTTATCTTCCTCCCAGCTAACTCTACTCATTTGACCCATCCCCTTGACGTGGCATTTTTCCGACCACTTAAAACAGCCTGGAGACACATTCTTGAAAAATGGAAAATGGGGGCTGGTTCAAAGCATTGCACGGTTCCAAAGGATAGATTTCCCCATTTGCTGAATGAACTGCTAAAGGCTATTGAACCTAACGCTGCAAAAAATATAGAATCTGGTTTTAATAAGTGTGGAATCGTTCCACTGAATAGGAATAGAGTCTTGGAACGTCTTTCGCAGCAAAATCCTGCTGAGGTAAATGATGAGAATGTTGAGGAAGGATTTAATAACTCTTTTGTCAATCTTCTAAGAACAATGAGATATGGCGATGGTCAAAATGAAAGGAGGCGTCGCCGTATAATTCAAGTTCCTGCTGGCAAAAGTGTTAAAGGCGCAGATTTTGAAAGTTCATCTGAAACAGAAATGTCAGATAAAGAAAATCAAGCGGAAAATAGTGATTCTGGAAATCACATGGAAATTTCGGATGAAGACTCAGACCCGGAAATGAATTTGCCCCTTAGTCATTATAAGCAAATAATGGAAAAAGCGCAAGAATATCCTTCAGAAGATTCAGATGAAGTCGAGGAAATTGATATTCCACTATCTCATTTCGCTGACAAGTCAGACAAAAATAATGTTTCATCAACATCAGTCTGGTTTGAGGGTAAATTGTTTGAGCATGTTTCTCCTGTTTCGCTTGATTCAATAGAAGAAGGAATTTGGCTTTTGGTGTTTTTCCCAACAAAATATAGGATTTACAAAAAAATAAATTCTTTATCGGACAAGTCACTAATATTGAAGAAAATGACATTGAAGCCACTTTCTTAAGAAGTCGTCCCACCAAGCAGCTTTCAGGATACATCTATGGATTTCCAGAAGTTCCCGATATTTCCACCTTTAATTTGAAGCAGGTTGTTGGAAAAGTTACTCCAGTTCAAGATGATGGACCATCTACGTCGAAAAGAGATATTTAACGATTTAATGTACATCAAAATTATCTCAATTAAATATTAGATACCTATGTATTTGAGTTTGTCACGTTTTTACAGAAATAAATGCTTTTTTTTCGTAAAATTTATGTTTTTTTGGCGTTTTTTTGATTGATATACAGGGTGTCCCACGGTGGATGGCGTATTAGACGTTTATGGAGAACTAAAAAGCGGATCATTTTGAAAATTTGGCAACCGGGATAAACGACCATGATCTACACTTTAAAATATTTTTGACCATGCGGTGTTGCCGCTTCTACTCTAAACTAGTGGCAGCATCGCTAGTTTAAATAGAACACCCTATATCTGATTGCATATTTGGATTCTATGCAGAGGCGCCGACTTTTGGAAGTCCTCATGGGTGCAGAATAACTTTAAAAATTTGTTTATAGAGGGAGGGGGAAGCTCGCCGTAGGCGCCGCCGGAGGCGAAATTTCTTTTCTACGAGCGTGCGAAAAGTGCTTTTTTCTGCACGCATTTAGACACTAGTGCGAAAAAGTAAAATAAATATGCTATATTAAGTCACCCTCTGGTACTTTCATGTCCTGAAATGCGTGCAAAAAAGTACTTCTCCGCACAGTCGTAAAAAAATAACGTTCTTTAATCATGCAAAAAATCTTTTTTCTACGCACACTAACTGACGTTTCGTTTCGTTTTAGCCGCCTCTGTCAACTGTCAGACTGTCACTGTCAACCAATGAACTATTATTAGGTCTGGACTCGGATCCCGAACGTTCAATTCGATAGTATCGTCCATATGAATTACATAGACGATACTATTGAATCGTGGGTTCGGGATCCGGGCCCTGTTTCTCCAGAAATCACAAACCAGTAAGAGTGAATTTCATTGGTTGAAACTAGTATTCTGACCGTTTTCAACCAATAAAATTCGCTCTAACTGGTTTGTGATTTCTGCAGAAACAGACCTATTCTATCCTATGTAACTTTCGATACATCGAAAAGATTATATCGATATATTTTTCGATATATCGAATGTAAAATATCGAATAAAATATATCGATATATTTGAATAATATTTTGATTTCTACAAAACATCCATATATCATTGCCATCCCTACCCACGCGCAAAATTATAGTATATTTCCTAACTAGTGCGGAAAGTAATTAATTTTCCACACTCAGTGCGGAAAAAAGTGGAAAAGCACTAGTGCGGAAAAGTGGTATGTACTTTCATGACCTAAAATACGTGCGGAAAAGTACATTTTTCCGCACGCTCGTAGGAAAAATTATATGGCATACGGTGCAAGCGCCAGACTTTCCGTTGGGGACTGTCCCGATTACTTTCAAAGAATAGAGATGGAGAATAGCAACATAAAGTAATAGAGCATAAAACTGACCACAAATAACGGAAAGACAGATAGACAGAATCAGCGTTGCCAGACGTACGACAGGTGTGGTATTTATACGACAGTTTAGGGCATCTTCCTTACAAGAAAATCAATGTGTACGGTAGTACGGTCATAGGCGTATCCAGGGGGGGGCTGCCGGGTTATGGCGAGCGCGAAGTCGTGTTTATGTTGGAGCTGTGATACACGATAAAAGCAACGATACTAATATAGTATCATTAGTATCGTTGCTTTAATCGTTTATTACAGCTCCAACATACACACGGCCTAATGCAGTAAGGCAATCAGTGCTTCATCTTAATCATCTCAAATGTCCGAAATACTTCCTTCCTCAGAAGAGAAGGGGCTCCGTGAACAAAATGTCTCCTCTTACCAAAATAAAGCAAATAAGTGGCCCGATGCAAACATTTTTGTCGCCCCGCATAAAAGAATAGGTGCGTAACATTTGGGTATGTTATCTAAGTACAGGTGAATTCTGACAAAAATAGGCAACTTCCAAATTTTTAAATTAATTTGTTAGTCATTCTGATTACATCAGTGTGAGTGTGATTTTTTTTTCTCCAAAAAAACGATTTAAAAAAAAAAATGATTTTGTTAACAGAGCCCCCCCAAACCAAAATCCTGGATACGCCAATGAGTACGGAATGTACCACAGTTCTGAAATATTAAGTTGGTTGGGTAATATTTTATGGTAATATGTACCACATTTCTAAATTCTCCTTTTTTTATTATATTCATGCCTATGATGTATCCGGTCCTGTTATTTTAACGGCTGTGTTATGGCTCAACATCTATTGTTGTCTCTATTTTGACGTATAGAATAAACAGTGACAGATAACTTAACGTGGCTGTTAAAATAACAGAGAATGATACATCATAGGCATTATATGTGTTGGCCAAATTGGGTTTGGGTACCTTGCTTGACAACATTACACCTTGACAACCTTGCATGTGAATATGCTGGGTTATGTGATGAGTCAATTGTGTCATACTCCCCCAATTACTCCCCTAACTACCTCGCCATCAAATCCTGGGCCTGCGCATGAAATCATTATCAGCAGCTTATAATGATGACGTCACCCGCAGACCGTGATGGAATGCTTGCGATTCAGGCTGTTCTAGTGAGTTAATTTTTAGTCGATTTCAAATGTAGAAAAGGTGATTTTCGTTTCGTTCTCACGGAAGAAATAAAGTGTTCTTGATCTTCCAGTTTCCTAGAATTTGATGGTGGGGGAGTTGGGGGAGTATGACACAATTGACACATCACATAATCCAGCATCAAAGTTACAAAAGAATTTTATTTCAATTTGATTAAGAACCCACAAAGTACCTTAATAAATTTATTAAATAGTTTTATTTGATTTCCTTTTGCTCCTGTTGCTGTATTTTTAATGCAAAGATCTATTTTCAAGTTTTCAACATTTTGCGCTCTCGAAAAAAATCATATTTTTTCTAGTAAATATGTACTAAAACTGTGTATTATGTAAGGTAATGCGTACCACAAGTATTCGTGACGCGTACGTCCCTGTACGACAGTTTTTGAGCCTTGTGTACCACACTTCCATATTTTAGAGTCTGGCAACGCTGGACAAAATACCACACACACACACACCACTTGTATAATTCTCGTACAAAGTTATGTAAATTTAAATTACATGATACTGGATATTACCACATGGAACATGGAACGAACATTAAACACGTTTGTACTTCCGCATTCCCCACGAGAGTTCCCATGGGTGCTCCGCACCTATGAGAGCTTTCTCATGGGTGCACCTGCCCCGATGCCCCGATGCCCCGATGCCCCGATGCCCCGATGCCCCGATGTCCCGATGCCCCCATGTAGGCGGCGCCAGTGATTCTATGTAAAATTCTGAGCAGATTTCATGTGATATACCCTATACCTAAGTTCAACTGTTTTGGAAATATTGACAGTTGAAAATTGACTTTTTGCAACTTTGACAGGCTGTAAAACCTGAACGGTTAATTCTAGAGGAAAACCGATTTTACATTCCTATCTTAGATTTTGATAAACTATCATTTGACACCAACTTTGAACTTAACCGGAGATTAAATTTAACTGAAATTTTTAATCATGGATTTAATTCAAAGTTGGTGTCAAATGATAGTTTATAAAAATCTAAGATAGGAATGTAAAATCGGTTTTCCTCTAAAATTAACCGTTCAGGTTTTACAGCCTGTCAAAGTTGCAAAAAGTCAATTTTCAACTGTCAATATTTCCAAAACAGTTGAACTTAGGTATAGGGTATATCACATGAAATCTGCTCAGAATTTTACGTAGAATCCAAATATGCGCTCACATACGGGGTGTTCCATTTAAAATAGTGATGTTGCCACTAGTTTAAAGTAGAAGCGGCAACACCGCGCGAAAAATGGCACTTTTTATTTTTTTGAGAAAAATCTATTTTTTTTTTTCAAATTGTACTATGTGCCCTTTGATCTACTAGTCGTGACTGGTAAACCCCATATTTTCCATTGTCGAAAAAATTACCACCCTTCTAGGGACAGGGTTGAAAAGGTCCGAAACTGTTTCTATCCACCCCATTCTACGGTAGGTAACTATTCCCTTTGTTTTCTTCAGTATAAGGGGTATATGCACGTGGCCGAACACAGTAAATGAGGCAAATAATTTATTGAATGTTAAGACATTTCTTATATCGGTGAATAGAGTATACGATTCACATTTAAAATAGGGGCGCCAAAGTAGGATCTCGCTCCATCCTAAAAGTAACCTCGGGCCGGCACTGAACATGGTGTCATCCAATTTCAAATTCGATGTTTCGTAATCGAGCTACCATCATCAACTTCATTTTTTTAAATACGGACCTGGATTTTTTATGTCATTTTTAGAAAGTGCCTTTTATTCCCTCTGTAAAAATGATATAAAAAGACCAGGTCCGTATTAAAAAAATGAAGTTGATGATAGAAGCTCGATCACGAAACGTCGGATTTAAAATTTGAAGATGCCATAATGTAGAGCGAAAAAAATTATAAAACTTTCAAATTTAAATTGTGTCTCGAATATCAATAGTTTTCGAAATAGTTGATGAAATAGTTTTTGGCGTTTTTAAGAAATCACCCTGTATTTCATAAACTAAAAGGAATTTGACAACACTGTAAACAAGTTTTGAATGGGCATCAAAAAAGGCAACTTTTCTCTAATTTAACCGACCTTGTAGCTCTTACCGTTTCGGATATAGCAATAGTGGTATCACTTAAAATATACACCCTGTATACCTTATAATGAGCTGTTTACCATCTTGTGTATTAATATTCCTACAAAGACAAATTCGCAAGGTTGATTGAATAAAGTCCAATTCGACACAAGCCATTAAAGCGCTATTAGTCTAAGCCAATTAAAATTAAAGTTTATTTATTAGGCTTATTATTATGTCAAATCAAAACAGACGAAACCGCTAGACTATTAAATTATAGTAAGTACCGTCTATTTTAAGAATTTTTGTGCAATAAAGTTTCTGTCTATTAAACAATGGCGTGGTAATATCAACAAAAAGTTGGACAAGGTTGGTTATGCAAAATTAAACGACATTTATCATTGTTTTATAGTTAATTATTTTTTTTTACTTTACTGGATATATTTATAAATCTCTCAAGTTGTGCACAACAGTAAATGCAAGACGAACGGAAGCGAATCATCTATAGACAATTCTAGAAGCAACGACGCGCTATAAAACGGACTCGGTGTGTTGAGAATCACTTAGTGGTGAATTGAACACGAATAAGTTAATAGGTAATCGGATAATTAGACAGTGAATTGTAAATGTAACACAGTACTCAGACAGCACATATTATGGATGTTGATAAAAAGAAACCAGCTATAATTTGTAATAATTCAACAATCTAGCAAATAAAATTGTCCCTATTTATATTTGTATAGAGCTTTCGTATACGGTATTTTGATAAATTAGAATAAAAATAGTTATCTATCTTGACAAAATGTATACAACTTATTGCGTCAGAGCAGTTATATTAATTAATAATTTTATGGCCTGTTTTCATTCATCGTATGATATTTTTCAATTCTTTCTGTTATTTACATAAGAATTTACGTTCAACGAAATTACTTAACTGTACTTAGTTCAACCTTAATTATTTAGTTAAATGAATAAACATAAATAATGTATTTCGTGAAATTATGAATATTGCTTTTAGGAGTACAAATATCAGTAATTTTAATTATCGTGAGCTTTTTTTCTTGATTATTGATGAAAAATCCATTGACATAATATTCTCAATTTCCCTAAAGAATTAAGTGTCTCTAAATTATTGTCATATAGTGGTATCAAATTCTAAAAATAAAGATTTTCCTATTTTATTCAAATAGGTAAGAACTTTACTTGTTTAAGCAAACAAACACAAATAAACAATCTTTGCTTGACCAAAAACACCTATAAAAATTAAACGACTCTAAAAAAGCAATAAACATTGTAACCTTTGGCAATAGGATGCTGTAATAAATAACATTGATTGCCAAAAAACCAGTCCCAAGAAAAAATATACAAAGGAAGTTAAACATTTTTAATTTATGAGCAAAGGATTTACCCAATACCATCATATGCTGCAAGGCGTTATTTGTTTTTAAAGCATCCTGAAACTTTTCAATGGGGAATTTCATCAAATTGATAAATTTATTAATTTTGCATAATAACAACATTCTTGTATTATTATTTTTATTTAAGTTCAAAGTCAATAATGTAAATTTCAATGCCGAACTTGAATTAAAAATACAAAATTATTAGGTTTTTTTTTTTAATTCTTTCAGGGATTAAAAGTACAAAGTTCCCTGCAGAAATCAATTTGGCTACATCGAGATATCGCCAGTTCAATGCAAGAACTCGGTTATTCAATCACTAGTCTGGATAATGCAACATTGGGCAAAGATTTGCCACTGTTTCCAATCAAAAAAGGTGCCGAACGATATTTGGGAGATACTAGTATTTTAGGCAAACCAATTAGTATTAATAAATACCAACCCAGAAATGTGTCGAATGTTCTGGAATGGGAACTCATTTCGAAAAATCTTTATTCACATAAGGATTTGAATCCTAGAAAACGAATCGGATCGTCATTGAAAGAGGGACTGGAAGACGTCACGAGAGAGGTAATTTCATTTTATACTACCTTTTTACTTATCACGCATTGTAATTTAAAAAAAAATACAATGCGGCTTATCTAACAACTAAAATAAATACAAAACTATTTATTCGATTTAAGATTCAGGCGACCTTCATACTTTTAGATCATAAGGGATTAGGTAATCATAAAGTATCAGTATTTTAATTATTTTTTATGACAATAATAATTGTTAGCAAAATATAATTGCTATAAATAAAAATTATGTTTCAAGTTTGTTTATAATACACCTATTTTCTTATCAATACATAAAAGTAACACAATAGCTTTGTTCCAAGTTCCAACCCAGCAGGGAACCGTACATTCCACCGTCAGGATTCTGGGCAAAACATAAAATTTGTGCGTAGAATCCTAAATTCGTGAACAGAGTGGTTCCGAAACTGTTCTTGGGGCAGTTTTTTGGCTGGTTGGAACAGACCTTAATATGTCTAATGAGTATTAGACATACCTATTTTTTTCCGATAGGATACAACAATTTCTTCCTCTAGGATTGCCAGGAATAGGATTTTTACGCTTCTCTATTTCAGGTTCAACTTTAGCTCAATTACTATACTCCTCTAGTTCAAATTTCAGCTCTATGACTGCCGGGAATGAGACTTAAACCTCTATCTTCTTCAGTTTCACCTCTGCAATTAACAAAAGTCAATAATCTCAGTTCTTCAAGCCGCTCTAGCTCAATTTCAACTATATAAATATCAAAACTCAATGATTTTATGCTCCTCTAGTTCAAATTTCAGCTCTAGAAGTGCCGGGAATAAGATTTTCATTCCTCTATAGTTAATTCAGTTTCAATTCTATTACTGATAAAAGTTGATGATTTACTCCTTTATAGTCCAAATTTCAGCTCTAGGAGTTCCAGGAATAGGATTTTTACGCTTCTCTAGTTCAGTTTCAACTTCAGAACTGCTTAAAGTCAATGACTCACTCTTCTAATTCAAATTTCAGCTCAATGACTGCCGAGAATGATACTTTAACGTTTATCTTCTTCAGTTTCACCTCTGCAATTGGCATAAATTATTAATCTCAGTTCTTCAAGCCGCTCTAGCTCAATTTCAACTGTATAAATATCAAAACTTAATGATTTTATGCTCCTCTAGTTCAAATTTCAGCTCTAGGAGTGCCGAGAATAAGATTTTCACGCCTCTATAGTTCAGTTCCAATTCTATAACTGATAAAACTTGATGATTTCTATAGTCCAGATTTCAGCTCTAGGAGTTCCAGGAATAGGATTTTTACGCTTCCCTAGTTCAGTTTCAACTTCAGAACTGCTAAAAGTCAATGACACTTACTCCTCTAATTCAAATTTCGGCTCTATGACTGCCGAGAATGAGACTTTAACGTTTATCTTTTTCAGTTTCACCTCTGCAATTGGCATAAGTCAATAATATCAGTTCTTCAAGCCGCTCTAGCTCAATTTCAACTGTATAAATATTAAAACACAATTATTTTATGCTCCTTTAGTTCAAATTTCAGCTCCAGGAGCGCTGGGAATAAGATTTTCACTCCTCTATAGTTCAGTTTCAATTCTATAATTGATAAAACTTGATGATTTACTCCTCTATAGTCCAAATTTCAGCTCTAGGTGTTCCAGGAATAGGATTTTTACGCTTCTCTAGTTCAGTTTCAACTTCAGAACTGCTAAAAGTCAATGACTTACTCATCTAATTTAAATTTCAGCTCTATAACTGCCGAGAATGAGACTTTAACATCTATCTTCTTCAGTTTCACCTCTGCAATTGGCAAAAGTCAATAATCTCAATTCTTCAAGCCGCTCTAGCTCAATTTCAACTGTATAAATATCAAAACTCAATGATTTTATGCTCCTTTAGTTCAAATTTCAGCTCCAGGAGTGCCGAGAATAAGGTTTTCACTCCTCTATAGTTCAGTTCCAATTCTATAACTGATAAAACTTGATGATTTCTATAGTCCAGATTTCAGCTCTAGGAGTTCCAGGAATAGGATTTTTACGCTTCCCTAGTTCAGTTTCAACTTCAGAACTGCTAAAAGTCAATGACACTTACTCCTCTAATTCAAATTTCGGCTCTATGACTGCCGAGAATGAGACTTTAACGTTTATCTTTTTCAGTTTCACCTCTGCAATTGGCATAAGTCAATAATATCAGTTCTTCAAGCCGCTCTAGCTCAATTTCAACTGTATAAATATTAAAACACAATTATTTTATGCTCCTTTAGTTCAAATTTCAGCTCCAGGAGCGCTGGGAATAAGATTTTCACTCCTCTATAGTTCAGTTTCAATTCTATAATTGATAAAACTTGATGATTTACTCCTCTATAGTCCAAATTTCAGCTCTAGGAGTTCCAGGAATAGGATTTTTACGCTTCTCTAGTTCAGTTTCAACTTCAGAACTGCTAAAAGTCAATGACACTTACTCCTCTAATTCAAATTTCAGCTCTATGACTGCCGAGAATGAGACTTTAACGTTTATCTTTTTCAGTTTCACCTCTGCAATTGGCATAAGTCAATAATATCAGTTCTTCAAGCCGCTCTAGCTCAATTTCAACTGTATAAATATTAAAACACAATTATTTTATGCTCCTTTAGTTCAAATTTCAGCTCCAGGAGCGCTGGGAATAAGATTTTCACTCCTCTATAGTTCAGTTTCAATTCTATAATGGATAAAACTTGATGATTTACTCCTCTATAGTCCAAATTTCAGCTCTAGGAGTTCCAGGAATAGGATTTTTACGCTTCTCTAGTTCAGTTTCAACTTCAGAACTGCTAAAAGTCAATGACACTTACTCCTCTAATTCAAATTTCAGCTCTATGACTGCCGAGAATGAGACTTTAACGTTTATCTTTTTCAGTTTCACCTCTGCAATTGGCATAAGTCAATAATATCAGTTCTTCAAGCCGCTCTAGCTCAATTTCAACTGTATAAATATTAAAACACAATTATTTTATGCTCCTTTAGTTCAAATTTCAGCTCCAGGAGCGCTGGGAATAAGATTTTCACTCCTCTATAGTTCAGTTTCAATTCTATAACTGATAAAACTTGATGATTTACTCCTCTATAGTCCAAATTTCAGCTCTAGGAGTTCCAGGAATAGGATTTTTACGCTTCTCTAGTTCAGTTTCAACTTCAGAACTGCTTAAAGTCAATGACTTACTCCTCTAATTCAAATTTCAGCTTTATGACTGCTGGGAATGAGACTTTAACGTCTATCTTCTTCAGTTTCACCTCTGCAATTGGCATAAGTCAATATTCTCAGTTCTTCAAGCCGCTCTAGCTCAATTTCAACTGTATAAATATCAAAACTCAATGATTTTATGCTCCTTTAGTTCAAGTTTCAGCTCCAGGAGTGCCGAGAATAAGATTTTCACTCCTCTATAGTTCAGTTCCAATTCTATAACTGATAAAACTTGATGATTTCTATTGTCCAGATTTCAGCTCTAGGAGTTCCAGGAATAGGATTTTTACGCTTCCCTAGTTCAGTTTCAACTTCAGAACTGCTAAAAGTCAATGACACTTACTCCTCTAATTCAAATTTCAGCTCTATGACTGCCGAGAATGAGACTTTAACGTTTATCTTTTTCAGTTTCACCTCTGCAATTGGCATAAGTCAATAATATCAGTTCTTCAAGCCGCTCTAGCTCAATTTCAATTGTATAAATATCAAAACTCAATGATTTTATGCTCCTTTAGTTCAAATTTCAGCTCCAGGAGTGCCGGGAATAAGATTTTCACTCCTCTATAGTTGAGTTTCAATTCTATAACTGATAAAACTTGATAATTTACTCCTCTATAGTCCAAATTTCAGCTCTAGGAGTTCCAAGAATAGGATTTTTACGCTTCTTTAGTTCAGTTTCGACTTCAGAACTGCTAAAAGTCAATGACTTACTCCTCTAATTCAAATTTCAGCTCTATGACTGCCGAGAATGAGACTTTAACGTCTATCTTTTTCAGTTTCACCTCTGCAATTGGCATAAGTCAATAATCTCAGTTCTTCAAGCCGCTCTAGCTCAATTTCAATTGTATAAATATCAAAACTCAATGATTTTATGCTCCTTTAGTTCAAATTTCAGCTCCAGGAGTGCCGGGAATAAGATTTTCACTCCTCTATAGTTGAGTTTCAATTCTATAATTGATAAAACTTAATGATTTACTCCTCTATAGTCCAAATTTCAGCTCTAGGAGTTCCAGGAATAAGATTTTTACGCTTCCCTAGTTCAGTTTCAACTTCAGAACTGCTAAAAGTCAATGACACTTACTCCTCTAATTCAAATTTCAGCTCTATGACTGCCGAGAATGAGATTTTAACGCTTTATCTTCTTCATTTTCACCTCTGCAAATGGCATAAGTCAATAATCTCAATTCTTCAAGCCGCTCTAGCTCAATTTCAACTGTATAAATATCAAAACTCAATGATTGTATGCTCCTTTAGTTCAAATTTCAGCTCCAGGCGTGCCAGGAATAAGATTTTCACTCCTCTATAGTTCAGTTTCAATTCTATAATTGATAAAACTTGATGATTTACTCCTCTATAGTCCAAATTTCAGCTCTAGGTGTTCCAGGAATAGGATTTTTACGCTTCTCTAGTTCAGTTTCAACTTCAGAACTGCTAAAAGTCAATGACTTACTCATCTAATTTAAATTTCAGCTCTATAACTGCCGAGAATGAGACTTTAACATCTATCTTCTTCAGTTTCACCTCTGCAATTGGCAAAAGTCAATAATCTCAATTCTTCAAGCCGCTCTAGCTCAATTTCAACTGTATAAATATCAAAACTCAATGATTTTATGCTCCTTTAGTTCAAATTTCAGCTCCAGGAGTGCCGAGAATAAGGTTTTCACTCCTCTATAGTTCAGTTCCAATTCTATAACTGATAAAACTTGATGATTTCTATAGTCCAGATTTCAGCTCTAGGAGTTCCAGGAATAGGATTTTTACGCTTCCCTAGTTCAGTTTCAACTTCAGAACTGCTAAAAGTCAATGACACGTACTCCTCTAATTCAAATTTCGGCTCTATGACTGCCGAGAATGAGACTTTAACGTTTATCTTTTTCAGTTTCACCTCTGCAATTGGCATAAGTCAATAATATCAGTTCTTCAAGCCGCTCTAGCTCAATTTCAACTGTATAAATATTAAAACACAATTATTTTATGCTCCTTTAGTTCAAATTTCAGCTCCAGGAGCGCCAGGAATAAGATTTTCACTCCTCTATAGTTCAGTTTCAATTCTATAATTGATAAAACTTGATGATTTACTCCTCTATAGTCCAAATTTCAGCTCTAGGTGTTCCAGGAATAGGATTTTTACGCTTCTCTAGTTCAGTTTCAACTTCAGAACTGCTAAAAGTCAATGACTTACTCATCTAATTTAAATTTCAGCTCTATAACTGCCGAGAATGAGACTTTAACATCTATCTTCTTCAGTTTCACCTCTGCAATTGGCAAAAGTCAATAATCTCAATTCTTCAAGCCGCTCTAGCTCAATTTCAACTGTATAAATATCAAAACTCAATGATTTTATGCTCCTTTAGTTCAAATTTCAGCTCCAGGAGTGCCGAGAATAAGGTTTTCACTCCTCTATAGTTCAGTTCCAATTCTATAACTGATAAAACTTGATGATTTCTATAGTCCAGATTTCAGCTCTAGGAGTTCCAGGAATAGGATTTTTACGCTTCCCTAGTTCAGTTTCAACTTCAGAACTGCTAAAAGTCAATGACACGTACTCCTCTAATTCAAATTTCGGCTCTATGACTGCCGAGAATGAGACTTTAACGTTTATCTTTTTCAGTTTCACCTCTGCAATTGGCATAAGTCAATAATATCAGTTCTTCAAGCCGCTCTAGCTCAATTTCAACTGTATAAATATTAAAACACAATTATTTTATGCTCCTTTAGTTCAAATTTCAGCTCCAGGAGCGCTGGGAATAAGATTTTCACTCCTCTATAGTTCAGTTTCAATTCTATAACTGATAAAACTTGATGATTTACTCCTCTATAGTCCAAATTTCAGCTCTAGGAGTTCCAAGAATAGAATTTTTACGCTTCTCTAGTTCAGTTTCAACTTCAAAACTGCTAAAATTCAATTACTTAGAATTCCTTTAGTTCAAATTTCAACTCTATGAGTGCCAGGAACGGGAATTTAACGTCTCTCTTCTTCAGTTTCACCTCAGCAATTCGCAAAAGTCAATAATCGGAGTTCTTCAAGCCGCTCTAGCTCAATTTCACCTCTAGAAATATCAAAGCTTAATGATTTTATGCTTCTCTAGTTCAAATTTCAGCTCTAGGAGTGCCGGGAATAAAATTTTTACACCTTTCTAGTTCAGTTCCAATTCTTTAACTAATAAAACTCAATGATTTACTCCTCTATAGTTCAAATTTCAACTCTACGAGTTCCAGGGATAAGATTTTTACTTTTTCTAGTTCAGTTTCAACTTTGGAACTGCGAAAAGTCAACGACTTATTCCTCTAATTCAAATTTCAGCTCTAGGATTGCCGGGAACTTTAACGTCTTTCTTCTTCAGTTTCACCTCAGCAGTTCGCAAAAGTCAATAAGCTGAATTCTTCAAACCGCTCTAGCTCAATTTCGACTCTAAAAATATCAAAACTCAATGATTTTATGCTTCTCTAGTTCAAATTTTAGTTTAAGGAGTGCAGGGAATGAGACTTTAACTTCTCTTGTCTTCAGTATTTCAACTGTGCTATTCGCAAAAGTCAATAATCTGAGTTCTTGAAGACGCTCTAGGTGTTCCAGGAATAGGATTTTTACGCTTCTCTATTCCAGTTTCAACTTTGGAACTGCTATAACTTGAATGATTTACTCCTCCTCTAGTTTAAATTTCAGCTCTAGGATTTCTATGAGGTGCAAATAAAATATTATCTGTTGGTGGAAAAATTAAATTAATTATATTTCTTAGGTAGGTATTTATTTTAGGTGTTTGAATTAAATATTGACACATCATATATTTTTTTTATAAAAATTACAATTAGGTTTATTTTGTTAAATTATTCTAGTATTTGCCAAGAGATTTACTGGTTTTATTTGACACATAATTGTCTTTTTATACTTGAAAAGTTTCGTTTAAGTAAGATTTTCTCAATGGCATATGAAAAAAGGAAAATTTGACCTGTATCAAAACAAACAGTTAATTTGCTCCAAAATTGCAGCTTTCAGGGTTTTTTGAAATATGTAGTTTCCAATCATCCTTCCCTTTTCATCCTAAGCTAAAGTCTCCATTTTTTGTTCTGGCAACTGTTTTTCATTGACTGCTTTTGCTATACCAGCAACTCCCCCACCTAGTGCTCCTAGAGCAGATAATCCAGCAAATAATGGAATAAGGGGTAAAATACCTCCTGTTTTAAGAATAGGAATAATTCTTTTTGAAACGTTTCATTTGATAATTTTATACTGATTTGAATTATTTCTTGCCAGGTCATGGAACTGATTAACTTATATTCGAAACAACGAGGTAGGATAATTGAATACCGTGACTTATTATATGGTTACTACCGATGGAACCCAATCCACGGAGCAGATTTGATCCTCGATTTACTATTAATATACAAAAAGTATCGGGGACACAAAATGAACGTTCAAGTGAGAAGGCATGCTTACATCCAACAAACGTTTACAGGTAATAATAGCTCATCGGTTTTTGATGAATTTATTTAAATATGTATGTAATCAAGAAATATCTAAAAGTTACTCTAATTTGTCATGATTTTTAATAGGCTTCATTTGTGGAAAATACATGACAAATTCATCATATACTTATTCTATACATACATATTTGAAAAACTCAATAAATATCCACATGTAGGTATAGGATAAATTTTTGGCGTCAAGTTATTCACAATTTCAAGATTAATATTTTGAGTTGATGTTTCAATTTAGCTCCCTTATGGGTTTTTATAGGAAAGATATAAACTGATTTTTGTAAGGAGGAGTTATTGGTAGAGAACTTGTCCTTTTTACATTCGGAATTCAGATGTTTTCAACTCGATTTGAAGCAGTATTGGACAGGCCATAATATTTCAAAGCCTTGTATGCAGAATTTGAAGCAATTATGAGTATCTCCTCTCCTTAGATATGTATCAATTAATTAAACTCATCAGACGATATAAATTTTATTATGATAAGGGATTTTTGGATCCCTAAGTCACTGTGAGTGATTTACAAAAGTAGAAATAACACTTTATTGTTTATTCCCTTACTTCTTGTTATGTTTTAGCAAGTGATAAAATCGGTCCATTGTTAATTCCTGAATTAGTCAAAGTAAAATTACTGTAATGATGATTATTCTATTTAGGTGTTTTTATCCGAGAAGTCACCGACGATCCAGAACCAAAACCAAACCAAGAAGAAGACAATAAGAACCTCTTCAACAAAGTAATAAACCAAATCAGCAACAACTTGCCACCATTGCTCAGCTTCAATCGTGATAATCAAGACCAGGCTGTGATAAACTTTTTGATGCCGCTCAGCGGTCGTTATAGTACTTTTACCAGGTTTCTGACAATGTACGAAGACGTGTGTATTAAAAATTGGGAAGCTACGAGACTTTTCGTGATACTTTATCGAAGTAAAGAGGATCCTAGTGATTACGAGGCTACTTTGAGGCTTATTAACGAAACAAATTCCAGAGTTTATGGTAGTCTTACGAGTGCCTATAGAAATTACAATAAAATAACTGTGATAGAAACCAGCGCAACTGAACAGTTTTCGCGGGCGAGTGCTTTACAAAAGGCTGTAAATAATTTAAATTCTAGCGATCTAATGCTTTTTATGGACGTTGATATTGTGTTCGATCAATCCTTTTTGTATAGGGTGCGCAAAAACACTATAATTAAAAAACGTGTCTATTTTCCTATATTGTATAGTTTGTACAGTCCTTATTTATTAGATATAGGCCTAAAGACTTACGATTATATTAACTTTTCATATTTCACTGCCAATCAGACTGATGGTAACCGAGGCTTCTGGAGGCAATTCGGTTTTGGTATAGCCTCAATGTACAAGAAAGACTATAACGTTTTAGGTGGTTTCAATGTGAATATTACTGGTTGGGGTACTGAAGATGTTGCATTTTTCAATAATATTGTTAAAAATCATACTTACAAAGTGATACGAAGTGTGGATCCAGGATTGATACATATATTCCATGCTGTTAAGTGTGATCCTAAAGAATTGGACAATGAACAAATGGGTATGTGCTTAGGCACCAAAGGTAGCACGTTGGGATCTCTAGATACTTTACAGAGACTTTATGAGAAATATTACAAATTGTTTATATAATAATATGTTTTTAAAAGAATTTGATATTTTAGGAAAGTTAAATTTGATGATCTCAAATTTTATTTTCTGATAGTAGTAGGTAATCTTTTTCCAATAATGGTCAAAACGAAAATTATGGAATTTTAAATATTATTGTCTGTGATGCCAGTTTTAATGAGGCAACTATTTTTGATATTTGTACGTGCTAATCAATCAGCTAAGTATAGTTCCTATATGAATATATTATTTTTGATATAAAGAAATGCCCACCACACAGTGTGCCATATAATGGGTAATTCATTGTAGGTAAAATGTTTAAATATTTTTTAAATTTAAGTAGGCATTTATAATTTAAAAATCACAGAGCCATTTTTTTGTATATTTTTGTTTTAAGTATAATGTTATCTAAAGTAAGTAGGTACCAGAAGCTTTTAATACACATACTCATGATATTTGAATATTATGCATATGTAATTTTTTAAATTAGTCATTGTTTTATTAATTTATTAATAATGTATATACCTATTTTTAAAACATTTCATTGTGAAGTAATTAATTTATAAGCTGGCCTTATGTAGAAGCTTAAAGCCTTTTATTTTATTTATACACAGGGTTAAAAGTCCTGTATCTTTCAAATGGCAAAGAAGAACTTGTATACAAAATTGTAAAAAAATACCTAAATAAATTCTATTGAGTAGGTGCATGATAATTTTTTTGAACAAATCAGGGATGCCATCCCTAAAAAATGGTGTCTATGAAATTTTATAGGTACCTTTTTTGTAATTAATTAGAATAATTGAGGTCTAAAAATGAGATTATTATTTGTTGATTTTTACATATGCTCAAATAAATTAAACCATTTTAGATTAAATTAAGTAAAACAAATTTTAAATGAATGTAAGCAAATTAATTTTAATAAAAATAGGCTGATAAAAATTTAGAATTTATTTTTCCATTCCTCACATTGATTTGGTATGTTAATCACTATATTCAACAAGCAATTTACTGCTAAGAAAAATTCAATTAGGATTTTTTTGGTCTCAGCTTGAAATTTTCCTCAATTTTGGTTCTCAAGCGCATCAATTCCATATTATGCTTTGCCATTTCTTCTGGCGTCAATATTTTGCGCAGTTTTGGCGGTGGTCTACTTAATATTTCTTTTACCTAATTTATAAATGTTGATATTGTTAAATGAATGATGCTGTACTTACTTGATTTTCTAGCCAGGCATCTTGAATACAAACTGTAAAATAATGGTAAAATACCAGAATGCAATTATATTAGTCAAGTTTTCTTACCCATATTTCTTATACTTATAAGAATTTTAGCTACATATCCCAAATATTGAGTTTTGGTATATGTTTTAGAAAAAAAAGCCTCTTCAATATGATTTCCATGATCTGAACGTTTTAGGTTGTACTTTTGCAGCTCTTCATTGCTAAAAGCAAAACAATTTGTATATTTTTTGTGTTTTTTTTAAGGCAAAAGCTCAACTTACATTTTATCGACAACACTTTTCCTAAACTTCTCTGTTTTCCAAGAGTCTGGCACGTTTGCCTTGGACATAGTTTTCTGATGAACTTAATGATGTTTTGCTTGTAGAAATTTTAAATGTCAACTTGAATAATTGATACCTGCTAATTTAAGGTCAGTTCATAACAGACATGTAATGTAACATAAGAAGTTGCCTAAAATTATGGAAAATCTTTCATGATTTTCAAAAAGACTAACAGAAAAAATAGAGTTGGGCACCTAGATGCAGAAAAGGTGATTCTGGTTGATTTAAATAGTTTTTTGAACAGTTTATTAAGCCAAAAGAAAACATGTTGGTGTAGGTATACCTTTTTTTGTAACTACCTATACAAAATTCTCAATCAAAACCAAACAACTCTTCTTGTGGGCAACTAATAGAGGGAGGGATTTACAAAGCTTAAAATCAACACGTCATATATAGCTTCCATACAAAAATTTCAAAATTCATAAAGAAATGTATATTCAAGAAAACCAAAATTTATTAGAGTGTTCACAACATTTGGTACACTTTAATAAGGTACAATAAGTACCTAAAGGGAAAGTTATTATTAAATTTAGATGAGTCAAAGATGTAAGGATGATAATGAATACAATTTTAAATGTTCTTCAAAGTGTCATTGCTGTTCTTCTACTGGCTCAGGTTCAAATTTTTTTCTCAAACTATCATTAACGCCTTCCCTATTCCTAGCTATTTCTATGGCAAAGAATTGTATTCTTGTTACCAAAATGGTATTATCCTCTTTATAGTCTTTTGAAGCATCAGATCTGAGTAAAGTGCCATAACTGTAATCTAAAAAACGAAGAAACTTTTACTCAAGCCAAACATACTTAAATTAAAGGATATTTACCTACCTTCAACTACATTTCTAAATTTCTCACAAAAAGGTCTCCATTTGGCTTTCTCCCTTGTACTTTTGAGTTCATTTTCAATTATAACTCGTACATCGAGACTAGGAAATTCTTCTCTAAATAATTTGTATATCAGATCATCTTCAGGAGTAAGGCGAAGAATTTTTGGATCAACTGAACAAAGGATCTGTAAAAGGGTGTTTGAGGTTATTTTAAACTTGCATCTTGCATTTGATTATCAACACGTGCAATAAATAATCATTATTCTTACATTAAAGTAGATTTCAGCATGTTCATAAGCTCTCATTGCCCACATTGCTTCAATGCTTTGATCATTTTCGAACTCCTCGGCAGGTCTTGAAAGGACATCCTTGAAAATTAATTATTTAAATCAATAAATAGAATAATAGTTAATAATAAAGTTACCATTTCGCTGCAAAATCACAGAAACAGTAACGGAACCGACAAAAAAAATTGCTTTTCCTCTCTTGCTAGGCTAGGAAAAAAAAAAACAAAGAACATAACATAACCCAACTTATTGGTCGGTGACAGGTAACATTCTAGGGCGCGTTCACATTTTTGTTATTCCTTTCAAGAGTTTAGAACACTCGAGCTACTCGCTCCGGTGTTAGTCGCCCCTGATTTGAAAGGAACAGATATAGATGCGTGGTGCAACAAACACTTTTGGAAAGGAATAAACGCGTGACGCCCCGGAGCTGTTCCGGAGCTCCTCCTAAATGTGAAAGGAATACAACTTTTTTCTAACGACATCTGAATTTGTGCGTTGGGAATGTTAGCAATCAGCAGAACTGACCGTGTATGACGGTTCAAAATAATTGCACTGATTGCTAGTTCACAAAATAGAAAAGCTCTGATGAGCCGAACAAAAAACCAATTCGCACCGGGTCAGTGAAAATCGAGTCGAAAGCGTATGGCGTATGTACTTAAAGTAGCTCTTGCATTACTCCTACCAGGTTGAAGTCGTAATTTTCTAATTCGCATTTGTTTACCCTGGAGTTAAGCTTAACCCGGGGGTGAATTCCTATTGAGAAATAGGCCCTTTTAGGACCCAATAAGTTTGGATCAATGATAACCAAAAACTGGAATGCGTACACATATTGACGCCCGTGAAGCCTAGTGCCGCTGCTGCGGAGGGGATACCTGTTTTTGTCGCACTCATTAGTTGTATTCCTTTCAAGAGTTTGAAACACTCGAGCTACTCGCACCGGTGTTTAGTAGCCCCCGATTTGCAGGGAACAGATGCGTGGTGCAACTAACACTTTTCGAAAGGAATAAACGCGTGAAGCCCCGGAGCTGTTCCGGAGCTCCTCCTAGGTGTGAAAGGAATACAACTATTATGTTAAATGGCGGAAATTGCTTCCAACACGTATTCCATTTGATGAAACCTGTGAAGGTAAATATGGCAAAACTATCCAAAACGTCATATGTCAGTGAGCAACAGAAAAAAACAACATTCCCCTTTGTGGCATCTGTCTTTCGTGGCCTCATTTTTTTGGCAGATATGGCAATGTGTGCGCATTCCAGTTTTTGGCTATAGTTCATTGGTTTGGATCATCGGATTGACGGAAAAACGGATGCAAAAGTAAGCTCAACACCTTGCGGAGCTGTTCCGGAGCTCCTCTTAGGTGTGAATGAATACAAAATATTACAACTATTCTAGCGTTGGACTGTTGAGGTCTGTTCGCACAGCAATCAAAAACCAGTCAGAGCGAATTTTATTTGTTGAAAACAGCAAGGAGAATGAATACACACTCATGTACCATCGTCACCAAAAGTAACTGGGACAGCTTCACATAGCTCTTGTCCTATTATATGAATTTTATTGTCAAACTATAAATCAAAGGCGATTTTCAGCCTGAGGCGATTTTCAGCCTGGAATGATTATTTATCGGTAAATACCGTGGTTATTCTTTTGGTTGACAACTTTGACAGCCAACTGTGACGTCATAGCCCCCCACCCAATGAACTATAACCAAAAACTGGAATGCGAACACATAAGGACGAACGTGAAGCCTAGTGCGGCTGCTGCGGAGGGGATACCTGTTTTTGTCGCACTCATTATGTTAAATGGCGAAAATTGCTTCCAACACGTATTCCAATTGATGAAACCTGTGAAGGGAAATATGACAAAACTTTCGAAAACGTCATATGTCAGCGAGCAACAGAAAAAAACAACATTCCCCGTTGTGGCATTTGTCTTTCATGGCTTCATTTTTTTGGCAGATATGGCACTGTGTGCGCATTCCAGTTTTTAGCTCTAGTTCATTGCCCCCACCATTCAAGAATCATAACCCAAGGAACTGACCGCTGAAATGATTTGGTTATAGCAGTCTAGGACAGAGCTGGGCAGGGCTTGAGTGCTTTGTGCTTGCGAAAGTGCTTGAAGCACTTTGAGGGCTTGAAAGCCCTGTGCTTCAAGCCCTTTTATAGATTTGTAATTGGGGCTTGCAAAGTCAATTACTTTAGAAAAGTGCTTGGTAATTTGTAATTGAAAAAAGTAATTCAAGCCCTTTCAATGAGCTTCAATTACTTTAAAAGGGCTTGAAGCACTTTGAAAGGAATTTGAATTGACCATCACTCAACCTATCCCCCACTTGAAAATTTTCGATCGTATTTTGTCCCTTTTTTTTCTATTATTTGAACTTGAACCGTCTTATGTCTTTTCTCTTTTAACAATGGAGGTTTTGGGTTTGAGCTTAGAATGGAATTTAAAAAAAAAATAATGAACTTATTATTCAAATAAATAATTAATTTATATTGGTAACCTATTTAACTTTATCACTGGATTTTTTCCACTTTTCCCCATTGAACATTTTCAAAACCTTAAAATTGAATTACCATGTAGTACCCCAAGTACCCCAGAACTACATCTCAAAAAAAAACATACTACTGCTACTCTGTGAAATGTAAAGTTCGTCTCTACTATACCAATTCTGTTTGATGAGTGTACGCGGTAGCTTATGCCACTTTGAGAATTTTATTACAAATTCAAAGTGCTTTAGGCACATTTAAAGAGCTTCAAGCACATTTATAGAGCTTGAAGCACATTTAAAGAGCTTGAAGCCCTTTTCAAGGCACCCCAAGCACTTTTGATGTGCTTCAAGCACTTTTCAAATTACTTTGAGGGCTTTGTGCTTGTCAAGCCCAAAGCACTTTGAGGGCTTTGTGCTTGTGAAGCACTTTTGAAAATAAAAAGGAATTTGTGCTTGAAATTGAAGCACTTTGATAGAGGGCTTAGGGCTTAGTGCTTCAAGCCCTTTTACTGAGGGCTTTGCCCAGCTCTGGTCTAGGATTATGTTTATTACTCTTATTTGTTTTTTCGTTTCAATAATAGTTTTTTGTTTAGGTACAAAAAATGGAGCTGAATCTCTCGTTAGTCTCGTTTATCGAACATATTTTCTTTGGGGATGATCTAAACCTCGATCTAAACATGGTGAATTGCAGTGAGTGAGTGAATGTATACTTCTTTCATTGTGCCAGGCTACAACGCAACTGCAAAATCACAAAACACCAATACAAATTCCAAAAATAATAACAATAACATCAAAAAACTGTAACCAAAAGATTAACCCAAGTCCAAAGTTGGGTTATAATCGGTTATAAGTGGTAAATACCAAAAGCAAATCAGCTGATATGTGACGTCACAACTTCCCCTACTTTGGTTAAAACCGCGACGGCGGAAATGCATTGGTTATAACCAAATAATAAATCATTCCAGGCGCCTCAAATGCATTGAAATGAATGACAGTAGAATTAGTCCATGAGATTATTATGCATTATTTGTGTCCCAGATACTTTTGGTGACGATGGTACAAACACAGTGCAAGCAGGTTTCCGCTTACCGGTAACCAGCTCCGAATCGCGCTTATAAGCGCGAAAAATGAATGCATGTTTTTAAATCGGCTAGAGTGAAAAGCAGGTACTCTACCTGTTGAAAACATGCATTCATTTTTCGCGCTTATAAGCGCGAGTCGGCGCTGGTTACCCGTAAGCGAAAACCTGCTTGCACTGTGTTTGTACACTAAGGAGTGCTTATCGGCCTCGTTTTTGGTAATCGCCGCCATATTGGTTTTCAACTGTTTTCAACCATTGCTGACGTCATAAGTAAGTCGTCAGCTGTTTAATTGGTTTAAGCAGCCTACGTCACGGCGAGAAATGCCATTCTGCTTACGTCACAACTGGTTATTTGACTAGGCGGGGAAGGAGGGGATGAGGATAGGCCATTCTGTAGTAGTAGTGTGTATCATCCTTGGAAAACAATTAAAAAACTAATCTCAACCAATGAAATTTATTTACTCTGACTGGTTTGTGATTTCTGTGCGAATAGAACTTTGGTCGCACCAGTTCAACAACCTAGAACACAAATTATTGCCCAGAGCTGCTTTCCAGTATGCACATTGGCGCGCTCTAGAGCACCGCCTCGGGGGCGCCACGCACTAGATTTGTACCGTTCCAGTATCATGGCGTGAGGCGTAGTGTCAAATATGTCAAATTTTAAAAATAATTATCAGCCCCCGGATTCTATTTTACGAATCGAGTCGAATTGTCTCGATATTGAATACGACAGCTTCGGACGTACCGTGTAATACGTATGGGAAAATCGAAAAATAGAATCGCTAATTTTGACCGAATCCGATACGAATTTCGACTCGACTCGTAAAATAGAATCCGGGGGCATGTTTGTTTGTGCAGTTTGTTTTTTTATTTATCAAAAATGAAAGAGAATCAAAACTATATATTTTAAAATGTTCAATCTTGAGATATAACAAGAAATAAATAGATAAATAGCCACCCACGAATGTGACAGCTGATAGGTTGACGCGTACGTACCTTAGTTGGGAACTCATCGCCCCGAGTAGCTCCGGGCGTCACACTTCCATACTGGAAAGCGGCTCATGCCTCGCTCCGTTCGGGTACTCGAGCACTCAAATTTGTTGCACTACAATAAGGGGCTGTGATAATGCGCGTCAATCCGAATACAGATTTTTGCAGTGCACTTTCAAATTAGTTGTATTCCTTTCACATCTAGGAGGAGGCCCGGGGCGTTACGCGCTTATTCCTTTCGTTGCGAAAATTGTTTATTGCACCGGTTGCATCTGAATGCTCAAGCCCGAACTCAGACCATAGCTTACTGCCTGCTCACTGACCTTGCGTTCGGTATTTTGCTCAAAGAGCAGAGCGAGCTGAAGCGGACCGTAATTACGTGACCAGCGAGAGCATAGAGCGGCTAAACGCTTTATCAGAACACTACAAATTTTACTTATCGAACGCGAATGAGCGTGCACCGAGCACACTTTTTGAATAAACGGATGGTATTTAATGTCAAGCTCGGAGAATTCAGATCAAAATACCGAACGCACAGTTAGCCACACTCAGCTTATAATAGTCGTGTTCGTTTTTGTCATCTTTTTCGTCGATTTGCTCCGAAATTTTGACAGGCACGTGATTTATAAATTGCTTATGCCCAATTGCACCATCTCTCTTAATTGAGGCTTAACGATAACTATCCCTTAAATTGACAGTTTTGCATGGGAAAAAGTCACTTTAAGGAATAGTTATCTCTAAGCCTCGGTTAAGAGAGACGGTGCAATCAGGCATTAGACGGTTTGTGAGAATAGTACGCGACGCACAACTGACAACGTAAACGTCGTCATTGGTTTAGGTATGACGTTTCTGACGTCAGAAAACGGGTGTACGTTTGGTGTACGTCATACCTGAACCAATGACGACGTTTACTTTGTCAGTTGTACGTCGCGTACTATCCTCACAAACCGAACAAAATTTAGGAGCAAACCGACGAAAAAGATGACAAAAACGAACACGGCCAGAACAAACAGAGGGGCTGCTCTATCTCTACACCGTACAAGTTCCAGTGAACACCGTACAAGTTCCAGTGAACCGGGAACTGCCAGAACAAACTCCCGAGAACAGTTTCTACTCGAGAACTAATGCTCAGCTCTTGAATCATCTGAGAACAGTTCTGACTTCAACCCCGAAACCGAATTTCTATGTTTAATAAACAGTACCACATTAGTTCTAACCCAAATGTGTTGCGTTTACCTCCGAGCTCCGAACAGCTCTAGAACAGTAAGTGCACAAACCTCAATGTTGCCAAATTTGTCTCGCAGAAATTTAAATTTTTTTCCGACATTTCTTGTTTGTCGGCGAATTTGACAGACGTCAAAATCATATTGTCTTATTTTAACAAAAAGCATGCACCGAAGATGAGAGTTGGCAAGAGCCCTAATTTTCTATATTTTTCGAAAAGTTTCGCGTAATTTCCGATACCGATGGTGTGAAAATGTCGAAACAAAGTGAACCGAGCAGTCCCAGTAATCAGCTGCCTTTGGACTTTCAAACGGCGAGCGAAAACCAGCCCTTCATTGACTTCGCACTGTGGGAATGTTTGAACCAACTTGACTCAGCTCGCCCGGAAAACGACATTAAAAAAGCAATAAAAAATATTGTAATTGTTTGAAATAGCAGGATTTATGGCTTATTTAATATATGTATTTGTATTCTTAGGTCACCCTTTACGAAGGCTCCAAAGAGAATATAACCTTGCGTACAGAAGCTAGAAATGTTATCATTAAACTTTTCACTAAATTCAATGGCAAAAAGCAGCTTAAAAAATACGTGCAAGATCTTGTAACTAAACACAATCTAGTTAACGAGATTATAAAAGATCAAACCGAACTTTTCGTCAACAAAATCAAAGTTGAAAAACAGTGCAATCTGAAAAATTGTAATGAGTTTTTGCACTTCATTTCCGTTGTACAGACGTCACCAAATTACGATTATGAACAGAATTTTAAACCATTGTTTCCTCTCTACATGGATCTGTTTGATAGTTTTGCTATTTATGCAAGGTAAGCACATTCCAAACTTGATTAATTTTATGAGGTTCGTTTTTAATGATTTATTTTTTGTTATGAGTGAAGTAAAAAATTCAATGCAGATTTTGACTATGATTTCACTGTAACATTTTTCTTGAACAAGAAAAAAGATCCCTAAGGCCCAGTTGTACAATCTTGGTTCAAATCAGAGTTCAGCTAAACTCTACTGGTACTTGAACTTCCCCATTTGAAATGCATTGCTGTCAAAATTGATAGAATTTGATTAATAGCTGACAGCAATGTATTTTAAATGGGGAAGTTCAAGTACCAGTCGAGTTTAGCTGAACTCTGATTTGAACCAAGATTGTACAACTGGGCCTAAGTAAATGTTATTTGTTGGAAATTTGATATTTGAGTTTAACATACATTTTGCATCAAAACTTTGATAATGACAATCAATGTTAAGGTAAATTATGCTCTAATTATGGCCAATTTAATTTTCTATAAATCTCTAGTTGATAGTTTCAATGCAGTAGTTTTGCAGCCGTGAAACTTCAAAGTCTCTTAACTCTAAACACACCCACTTCAGTATTGTTGCCAAAGCAGCTCAAGCACCACCTGAATCTGACCAGGAGGTTGCAGAGTATTTCGCACAGCAATTCCTCAGTGTTTTTACTAAACTGAGCCCTACAGATATTAGACCATCACTTCCAGTTGAATCCAATACCAGAACAGAAATCAACACTATAAATTTCACCCTAGAAAAAGTAGAAATCACCATCCGAAGTCCCTAAGGGTGAACTCCAGCCCTGGACTTTATATCCCTCCTATATTTCCCAAAAATTGTTTGTACGTTCTAAAGGGGCCTCTGGCAGCACTTATAATTTGTCAAAGTATAGTATTTTCGATCCGTGTCTACACCCTTGAAAGTGCATGCCACACTGCCAGAACCTCTCCGTTTATAGGTATGTCCTCGCTTCTAGTGCTATTAGCTTTATGTCAAGAAAATTAACTTTTGATCCGGCCAGTTTGAAAATTAAAAGTGAAGCGAACTTTGTCCATTGATGTTTTCCAGAAATTTGCTTTTTCCCAAAATTACATTTTTTGCCTCAATACTTTGTTAATTTCAATCTGATCTTAACTTAGTTGGGGTCAAATTAAAGCCAATAAAATCCTCCACACATTTAAAAAAAAAGTATGCAGCTTCAATAGTTCTATGTGTTTTTTCCGAGGGGTGTCTCACGGTCGGAAATAGGTGTACAAATCTCAAAATAATTTCCGAAAATGATGAGAAATTACGGAAATTTCCTGTAAATTATCAGAAATTATGTTAATTTTCAGAAATTATAGGAAATGTTAGAAAATTTTGGGATAATAACAGTACAATAATAAAATAATAACTACAATATTAAAATGTCAAAAATTAAAATAACAAACAGCCGTAAGAATAGATACAATTATTAAAATTAAAAACAAAAATACTTATGAAAACAGGACATTAAAATGAAAGTACTTGACAAAATCAATAGCTGCAAACCTCGCTACAAACAATCATCGTAATACTCCTCCAGGCTGTAATAAGACCTTGCCATCAATACACTCTTCACCCTTTTCCTGAACCGCAAGTATGGCAATTGTCTATATTCGGTGCCCAAATGGTTATATATCTTGAGGCCTTCATATATAATGGATTTTTTTGTAAGTGTCATTCTGGGAATAGGGAGTCGTAGGTTTTGGTTTGCATTCAACCTTGTGTTATGCAAACGGTCAGGGACCTCAAAACACGATTTTTTGTGAATCAGACACACTGTTTCAAGAATAAATAAAGACACGACTGTCAATATCCCGTGTGTGATAAACAGTGGTCTGCAATGTTCCCTTACTCCCACCCGACACATAAATCGTATTGCTTTTTTCTGCAATACAAATATTGAATTAAACAATTGTTGATTACAAAAGCCCCAAAATGTTATACCGTATCGAAGGTGCGATACAAAAAGTGAAAAATACACCATCCTTGCCGTCGCGGTACCCAATTCGTTGGAAACGACTCTGATAGCAAAGCAACCAGAGGCCAGCCTAGAGCTCAATGATGAAATGTGTCTATCAAATTTAAGTTTGTTGTCTATGAGAAGGCCCAAGAACTTAGTGACTGGTTCATTTTCGATTTGTTGATCATTTATCATGAAAACTAAAACCAAAAGTCAGTATATTAGTTTTAGCGATATTTAAGCTGAGGGAATTAGCATCACACCAATTCTTGATTTTTGGTAGATCCACAGTTATCATCTCCCTGAGATTATCGCCTGTTTCTGCATGCCATAGAAGAGTGGTGTCGTCCGCGAAGAGAGTGAACTGACCCCGAATATCAAAACTGATACGATTTTTGAAGAAACTATGATGGATTCAAATATAGAGCACACTTTGGAAAGCGAATATGGAAACTTTTGTCAAGAGAAAACAACTGAGAAAACCCCAAGAAAAACTCAAAAGGAAATTGGCTCGGAAATTAGAGAAATTGCCATTTTACTTTAAAAGTATGATGTTTGCTATTATGAGGATAAATGATATATAGGTCGTGTGACAGACATTGGTAGAGATCATTGTGCCATGAAGATCCTTAAAGAAGACATAAGACTATTTTATATGGCCTAAGAAACCAGACCATCAAAGATTTTGATTAGAGAAATTACCATTGCTAATCCATTTGATGCCCCTAGATTGATAATTATTGGAAATTGAAGCAGTTGAAGGTTTACTTTCAAAGAGTGACAAACCCTTGGATAAACTGGAGCCAACAGCCAACTTTTGTCACCGCCATGTATGTACAGGGTGAGATTCGATGGTTTTGGGGGGTTTCGGGTACTTCTAGAGAAGTTGGAAAATATCTGACCCCCACTTGCGAGCCTCAATTTTCAAGAGAAATTAGCTAGTGAAACCGCATCTCGATATGTCGAGGAGTCGTCTTTATGCTACGAGGGGTTTTTGAAAAGTTTAGCAGGGGCTTTATAACTTTTTCATTTATGAGGATTTTGTCAAATTTTCCCCTTGTAGCTTTAAAACGAATCGAGAATCTTGGACACCCTGTACATATTTCAGCAAGTGAAATGTTCATTCCTAGAAACCTACAGTGAATATTGTAGAGATGTTTGGAAATTTTGGGGATAAATTGAAAATGTCTCAGAAATTTTGAAAATTATCAATTTTTGTTTCGGAAATATCAGAAATTTCATAGGAAATCAGTAATTATTTTGGGAATTTAGGAAATTATTCAGGAAGTTTAATAAATTATTTAGGAAATTTTAGAAATTATAGGAAATACTGGAAATACTTTAAAAATTCTGGATATTCAGGAAATTTCGGAAATTATGGGCAATATCAGAAAAAATATTTCTAAAAAGGAAATAGGTGTACAAAATTCAGGAGCGTGAGACACCCCTCGGTTTTTTCTTAAATAATATTCTTCTTTCTATCCATTTGCACTAGTACTATAGCCCTATAACCTCGATTGTAACTCAAATTTTTTGATAAACACATGTGACACCATACATATTTTACAAAAATGTATTATTTATTTCAGCAAAATCAAACAAGACCTCATTCCCGAAATAGAAGAACTCAATTCAGTTATGAATGCAGTACTGAAACAAATTCTGCCAGTTTTTGTCAAAAATATTTCTTTCCTCAACGAAATTAAAGATAAATATTTTCAATTTTTACTAATGTACTCCTACATTCTTCTATTCAATGAAAAGATCGGCTTTGATTTAAGAATGAAGGTTTGTCTGATTTTTGTTTACACCTTTAATATTGTAGAAGGAGAAAGTATGAGTGTGGCACAATTGGTAAGGATAGAATTCATGACTAATATTCTGTTTTAATTAGTTTGCTTTTTAAGATAAGCCAAAACTGTAAACCATTTAATTTGTCGGTGAATCCTTCAGATGGCGAAGAAACTCCAAATGATTATCTCATTATTATTTACTCTGCAATACTTAGTGTGCTGCCAGAAGAAAAAATAGTATCAGAGAAAGTTGACGGCAAATCATTATTGATTGTCCTTTTTGAGGGTATTTTAGACACTGCCAAAAGGTACTAATATTTCAAGAAATATTTTTATGCTGCAAAATATTTTTTAGTAATACAGCTCATTCGTCAATGATAGTAGAAGCTAGCAGAACGCTATATCAGATTTCTAAACATTTAAAAAATATTCCATTAGATTTAGTAAAACCGTTGTTCCTAGAAGGCTTGTTTTATGTTTCGGCAAATGCAGATCATTTTATTGATACAGTAAGGAACTATGCTAAACTATTTTTTGTGGAATTGGTGGCTCTGGCTTGCCATCACCAAAGAAATGGTAGGTATATGCACGCGCAACTATGATTTATATGTAATATATTTTTTTTAAATTTAGGTTTTACTGAGTTAACCGATATTATGATGGATAAAATCAAGGAAATTTCAGAAGAAAGTACAATCAAATTTTTCGCTTATGAAAATATTATCAGATTTTTTGGCTCTTCTTTTTTGTTAGAGTCATTTGAGAATTTGCCTTTGGTTTTATTGGAGAGTATTGATAATCCTTATGTTACAGATCAAGTAAGTTAATGTTTCATAAAAGTTTCTGCTTTTTTTTAAATGTTTTTTGACGTTCTAGGTTTGCAAAACATACCAATTCTTAGTTGAAAGAAGTTTTTATACTTACTCCTGTGAGGAGGATTGGGCGAAAACTTGGGTTATGCCAGCAATAAATATCTTAAAATCTGGACGAGTATCTAAGGCTTTTTGTAAAAAAATTATCAGTGCTGCATTCAAGTTACAACCTGCCATATTAAGAATGATGTTAGCATAATGTATTTATTTTTTCGGTTTGTTTTAACACTACTATTTTAGTTTTCCAAATGATTATGTGGGATCTGTAGAAGAATCCAAAGTACTCTTACACTGTTTACATAACGCTAGAAAAAGTGGTATTGAGTTGAGGTTGGATAAAGACGGTAATTTGTATTGGAGGGGCCTAATTGACAAACATAAAATGGATATGTTTATGATACACCAAGATGAAGAGGTAAAATAAAATTGATACATTTCAATTTGTAAACATTAAATATTTGTTACAGGTTAGGTTGTTGGCTTTAGCCTCTGTAGCTGAAAGTTTGAAATCTACGGAACTGTATTTAGATTGGGAATTTATATTTCTGATCAGTTTCATCCGATACAACATCACTGCACAATCACCCAATGTTCGCAAACAGATTGCTTCCTATTATAAAAAAGCATTAACCAGATATGATGCTGGTTTCAAGGTTATTCAGAGAAGTATTGCCAGTTTAAACAAGTGTCTGGAAGTAAACAGTGGTGGCAGGGATCATAAGAAATTTTTGGTTTTGTATCAGGAGCTTAAGAAATCTTATAGGAGGTTTATTTGTAATTTGACCAGAATTTTGATTAGTAAGTTTTGGACAATTTTGTTTTGGTTTCAATATTAAATTTCAAGATAATTTTCAAAAGTAATCTGTTTTTGGTGTTTTCAAGCTCAAATGTAGGGTATTTCTTTTAGGTAACTTATCATACGATTCAAATTTCCCTAGAAGAGCTACTAGCCTAGAATTATTGCTAGTAATTCGGGACATCTTACATCCTGACGAATGGAGAAGCTGCTGGAATGAAGACGACGTTAAAAATAGCCACAATATTTTATTTGACACTTACGAAAGTAATAAAAAAATGATTGTTAAACTTCTAAAGACGTTGCCGCCATATTATTTAGGCTTTACGGTAACTTATCGATGAATTTTTCAATTTGGAACTAATTAAATATTTTAGAACGTCACTTTTACATTTAAATACATGCAACGCAGTTTTGAACTAGCGCTTGATGTTAAGCCTAACAAGACCCTTTCCGCTGCATATTTATTTGAAGTATGTTCTTATTCTCCATTTTTTTATGACATCGTCCATTGTGAATGTGGAGAAGAAGCTAAAAAGTCAAATGAGCCCACATTAGTAATGATTGTTGTGTTAACGAGGAAATTAATCAATGAAAGTTCTGGAATAGCTATAGACAATATTATGGAAACTAAAACAGGTGTTTACGGGTTGATTTTAAGTATCAGACATTTGTTGGACAATCGTGAAATGGAGTGAGCATCTATCTCCACCTGGAAACTTAATTGAAATATTTCATATTATACAATTTTAGGCAACATAACGACACATACTCAGGAGTATTTGAACTTCTAGTATCGACTTGCTTTGACATAAGCGAGAAAATAATGCCAGTCGTATGCAATCCGTCCCCTGAAGGCTATTTGCCAGACAGTGTTGAAGAAATCTGTGATAATGACGAGTCACCCAAGGCTCAAAAAGTACTAGGTTTGTACTTTACCTAAATCAAGCTTTTGCGATTAATTAGTTTGTTTTCCAGTATATGCTTGGCGAACTATGAAAGAAATGACCTTACTCCTGGCCGAAATTGTCAAACAGTCTATAAAACTAGAAAATCAAATAATAATGCTTCCTGAGGAACAACTGATTGAAATCGGAATTTTTTTCGTCACGGTTTTTATCCAAAGTAAGCACAGAGGAGTGTTTGAACAAGCCTATGTGGGCTTCAGTATGATTTGCGAATATTTCTGGAAATCATCGAGACAAAATATTTCAAATCTACCCAAGCAGTGGCTGCAAGAAGCTTTAGATTTGTGTACTGGGGAGAAACTTTCCGAGGATTTGTGCCCTACAAGAAGAAGCGCAGGTATTTAATTCTCAAAACCTTTATGTAACTCTTTTATCTATAATATTTTTTAGGGTTGCCATTTTTAATCCTCTCAATCCTGACATCAGCACCAGATCCATCATATTTCCATAACAGTATATCCACTTTATGTAAACATGTAGAATATGAAGAGAAGGGTAGCAATGACGAAACTCGTATGCACTGTCTGAATGTTCTTAGAGCTATGTTTAGGCATAGCAAGTTAGGAGAACTTGTAGCTCCCTATGTTGCTAGAGGGGTTATTTTGGCTATCACAGGATTTAAAAGTGATGCTTGGGGGGTAATATTATTCCTTTTTTCACCATAAATAATTTAAAATATTTTGTTCTTTATTAGATTCGAAATTCCTCAACTCTTTTATTCGCCTCTCTCATTACTAGGATGTTTGGCGTTCAAAGATCAACAGATTCTGATCACCTTTGTATTAAGAATAAACTTACTGTTAAAGTATTTCGTTTAAGATATCAAGAACTTTACGAGTTTATTCTCAATAGTTTAGCTGAAGAATGTCATAACAAATCTAGTTTGATACTGCAGCCTCTATTGATGATTTTATCTAGACTGTATCCCGGGCATCTTGAAGAAGAGTATTCTGAATATTTACCATACATTGACGTTTGTTTGTCGAATCCAGTTTATAGGACGAGAGAGGCGGCTGCTAGAGCTTCTGTGGCTTTAATTGATATAAAATGTGTCAAGGATCATTTTGATAAATGTTTTAAGAAGATTTCAAATCCGGAAATTAGTGACAATGAATGTCATGGCATCTTATTACAGGTTTGATTATATTTTTGTCCTATTGATAATTCATATTAATTGACTTACTTGTTCTAGGTTTTTTACATATTAAATCTTCTACAAATACAAGAATTGCCTCTAACAGATTACCTCAAATTGAGTGTCCACATTTGGGAAAATTCTGGCAGAAAGTTTAGTCATATGACTGTAAATCTTTATACGGAATTGATAACACTATTTTTATGCATGTATGTTTATTTCAAATTTAATTGACTTGTTTAGTAAATTAAAATTATGTTTCAGATGTCGAGACTATGAAGATCTTCATTGGCTGAAAACAATCCTGCTAAACCTATCAAAAAATGTCAAAAAACCAACAGCTCCTCTTACCTGGAAAGGTAATTTTATCTTGACCCGTACCATTTTAGCATATTTTATCATAGTGAACAAACTTGAAGAGACTGATTCAACATACTCTACCATAACCAATGAGATTATGTCAATTTTATATGGGCCTCAAACTATAATGAAAAAGTTCTGTTTGGAACTGCTCATTTGTCTCAATCAGGCACTTTTTATGTATAACAAGTTGGATAATGTTTTAGTAAGTTTTGGTAATTGAAATTAGTGTTTTTTGTAAACTATTTTTTTTAGGTTGGGTCAGCAGTAGGACGATTTTCCACAGATAGAACTAATTTGGTAAAATAGATCTTTTGTTGTCTTGAAAGAAAAAACTAATATTCTATGTTTTGTAGCCTCCATTAGAAGCGAGCGAACATAGACATCCTCTTTTCATTACCGGAGACATGGAAATCAACAAAAGTATAATCGATTTAGTCACATCGTTTCCAAAACTTTCTGTGGAAAATATTTTGAAGCACATTCATCTCTATCTGAAAGGATTCCTGATGGAGGAATTGAAAATTCAACATTATATACGTGAGGAGGACAGGGTTTTGTTATTTTTACTGTTAGATTATTATCCTTGTGCCATTAAGTTTTTAAGGTAAGAAAAGGAACTCGCAAGAAAAAATCATTTATTATTGGGTTTTTACAGATTAAGCAAGCAAGAAAGCCTTAACACTCTCTTAAGCTATTGTGACTGTGATAATGAAGAGCTCATCAGTGCTGTGATAAGTTGTATAAGTACGTTTTTGTCAGAGGTGGATTATAATCTCTTGAAGTAAGTTTGACTTTGGGTCTTAGGGAATTTTTTATAAAAATCACGTCATAAAATTATTATCAAACTGAAAATTCAATATAATTTTTTTTATCAAATAGCTATCAATAGAGATGGCAAATTCTCGAGAAATTTTTTTGAGAGAATTTTCTCGGAGAATATTCGGGAACATTGGAGAATTTTGGAAAATTTCAGAGAATTTCGAAGAATATAGCTTCATAGCTTCTTAACATCATTTGGGGCTTTTCGCTTTTTTTTTATATACAAAATCACAAAATTTACATTGAAATTTTTTGTCCTTATTTTGTCTGAAATATTTTCATATCAACCCTCTATATAGGTTTAATTTGCAAAGGAATTTCCTCAAAACTAAGTAATATTAAATTAAATATTTCTTTACACACACGCTCTGCACAGTATGGGGACAATGTAATAGATTATGGCGTTTCTGGTTGGTAAAAATCTCGGTAGAAATCGTGCAAGAAAAATGTGTTTGTGTTTCTTTAAGAGGCTGAGAGAAAGAGCTGGAAATACACTCTGTACTCAGTGCCACAAAAATATGTCAGAATGGAAGGTTTTTCAGATATCGAACTTCGGAAAACAAATGACGGATGCATGAGACTCCGGCTCTGTTTTCTGTTTTTCACAACGAACGGATAAATTTAAAAATTACAGCTAGCTTCCCATAAATTCTCCAAAAATTACCATATATTCTCATACATTCTTCAACCTAAAAAAATTATAAATTCTCGAGAACTTAAAGTCAAAGAATATTCTCGGTAAATTCTCTGTTCTCAATAGAAGTTCTTTGGAGAATATTCTCAGGGCCATCTCTAGCTATCAAATTTGGCATGCATAATTGATAATCTTTCTAATACTTCAGGAACATGTAATTAACGAAAGCACAAAACACAACATGCTCTGAAAATTTACATATTTTGATTTTGTTTGTAGTAATAATTGTTTCATACAATTTGGGGTGATTTACTTATCACTTTTCGTGTTAATTAGTTTATTCTGCCTTAAGATTTTAAATAATTTTCTCGATGTTGTCACATCTAAATATCTAATCATTGAACAATAGAGAATAGTTATTATGATTCCAAATATGTAGGTATGACAAGTTATTGGAAATACTCTCAAAATCAGCGTCTCCGGCTGCCCCTCTGCATCTTCGGTTGGCTGTATGTGATTTTCTTTGCCAGAACTATGCCTTGTACTGTAACGAGGATCCTGGACTGAAAGGTGACGAGTTATGCACAGTGATCAACATTGTCATGGTGCTATTGGAGGATGAAGATTTAGACGTTCGGAATGGCATAAGCAATTACGAAAATGCTTTCAAAGTCCGAGTTAAGGTTGATAATACTGTGAGCCAAACAATGTTAGTTGAGTTTTGTTTGTACCAATTTGTTGTTTACTAATTTTTTTTGTTTTTTAGACCATGTTATAAATGGCCTGTAGTTCCTGAAAAAGCTAAAGAAGATCTGATTCATTTGATTACAGTGCTGTTGCCCCAAGAAAAAGCTGTTTGTCTCATTTTTTCATGGGCGTGTCGTTATTTTCCAGATCCTTGCACTGACTCTCAAGAGGTAACATTTGAATTAAATAAATAAATATTACTTTAAAACATCCTTTATAGATTTTTGACAGAGGTGGCCTAAACCAGTACGCTGAAAATACACCGCTAATAGACATTTGCTCACGCGTTCTTATAAAAATGCTTTGGACCTTACCAGACGGCCTCACTTACGACGACAAATCGATTTTCCTAGAAGAGCAAACTCAAATCGTAACAACAATTCTATTGAATTCGCTTGTGAAATACAATTCGCCGATGATGATATCAAAAACGAAAACGTCTGTGATAGTCGGCCTCAAATCTTTGTACAATTACCTTGATAATGTTGAGTTCGGCAACAATTTCGTCCACAATTTCCGCGTGTATTTGAACGAAACTATTTTGATTTATTTGACCAATAATTTGATGCACAGCGATTTGTTCTGTGTGAAGAAGATCATCAAAAAATTGTATGATCCAGTGTTTAGGCAGCGAAGATGAAAGTACACCACCGTCTGAGGACGGTGAAACTATACAGTATATAATAGTTATAGGATTAGGGCACAAAACAATTCGCTTTTCTTTTTTGTACTTTTGAGGAGTATTTGGTGTGGTTAAAACAATGACCTAAATGTTAATTTTTGTTTCAAAAATCTTCCTTTTTTTAGTTTTATAAGCCACATTAAACATTCCTCCATTTAGTTTTATAATCAGTCAATGAACAGTCGATTTTTTGTTTTTAATAATTAGGTTCCTATTTATGTATCTTTCTGTGGATTAATGTCATATTCAATAAATCTTTCTATTCTCATGATTAGTATTTTAATTTAACCAGCTTTTAGGGGGGGAATTTAATAAAAGAAAATCTTTAATATAACGTAACGTATATAATTATTTATCGGAAAACGCAACATATCAACAATAAAATTGCTTCTTTTTTTAAAACGATATCAACAATTATTAATATTTCTTAAACATCTTCCATCCAGTTTAAATTGAAATCCTTTGGAAGCTTCCACTATCTTAATTTGAATGATAATTTCAAAAGCATACACTTCAACTGAAATTCCAAATAAGTATTTTTGTGCCATCTTGCTCAGTCTTAATTTTCCTATAATTTTTCCTCCTACAGTTTATCGCAAATTTTTTCGCTACACAAAAATGATTGATTGTTTTTAAGCTAAATCTTGATTTGATTGTAATGATTGTTCACTAAGCTGATTGAAGGGATTTAAAATGAATTTGCAGGCCACATACTATATTGGAATTGGAATCCAATTTTCATAAACATAGATGAATTTTTCTATTTATTTTCCCAAGATTTTGGAAATACATATATTGCCTGTAAATTCTAGTGAATTGATAACAAATTCATTCCTAGAGCAAAAAATTGACTAACAATTTCAACATCTTAATTACATTACGTTAATATAATATATTTTTCTTATAATTAATTACTATATATAAATAAACTTCATTATTAGTTATAACTGAATGCCATTTGATAAGCGTAATTTTGTCTACAGGGTCATTTTAGGTAGTACCGCGTTTTAGCAACTAGTGATTTTAGGTTTGATAAGCTGATTGCCAACTGATTTGTACCAATTAAAAAAAAAAACTATTTATAGAAATAGTGGTAGGTACCACATAAAAACTGACCCTGTGTCATGATTGGAATATAGTCAATATAATAATGACCATTTTCCATATTAAAAGCGAATAATTTTATAAATATTTTCTCCCTAGAATCGGTTAACATTTACTCATAATAATTTTTTGTATCTAATAACATAATCACTTGTATTATTTGCTTATAAGCTGAGCCTAATAACATCACAAAACGTATTACTTTAGTTAAAAAGCTTCTGGCCATTAGACAAACTCTGGATTTATATTGAGGATAAATTATTCTTGCCATGTAGACTACACACCTAGTCATAAAATAAGATTTCGTTAAAATTAAATATAGAAACTGCATCAGAGTACTTTTGGAAATTGTCAAAATCCATAATATGCCCATCCATAAACTTGTGTAAACCACAAATGCATTATTCTATAACTACACATTAGAAAAGCTGGAAAAGTTTAAAGTGTGCCTATAGCTACATAGAAAAGGATCACAAAGCTAGAGACTGCTGTCAGCTCTTGTCTTGGACTGACTTGATTTTTTTTACATAGTGCTGCTTGTAGACTGGCTCTCAGTATCGCTCGCTGTACTGCCTGATATTATGATTTTTTTAGGTAAAGGCTGTGGTACCCTAAAATTAGAGATTCATTGTGTTATATGAAAAGGAACTATTTCAAAATTGGCAGGCAAAAAGGTTCAAGAATCATGGTGTATCCACTAATTTATTTCTTGCTTCACTTTCCCTCATTATCAGGGAATAAGAGCGTCATTAAACCAAACATCATTAAAACATTTCAAAGAGTAGGTTTATATTTGCTTAGTGATCCATATAGAGCCATCAAAGCATGAAATGACTTAGTAATAAATTGGTTTAATGACGGAAAAAATAAAACCTCCTTTTAACCAAATTTAGAATTAAGAAGGGCTTTTAAAGGTAAATGTTCTAGAGCACTAACAAAATTGGTTTTCTTTTTGTATAATTACAGGGTGTCTTTATTAGACAAATTGACACATTTTGCAGGTAAATATCACGAAAATGAGAAAAGATGTGGTTTGTTATGGTAGAATAAGAATTTTTTAAAGTTTTTTTTTTCACAATATTGCCGAAGCCTAACATTTACTGAAATTTGTTTTTACACACATGCTTTTTTTTGAAATAAAATAACTGCCCTAAGTGCCCTATTTTTAATGAAACGCTCTATATATTTTTTCATCGTCAGAAAAACTAAGTCTGATTTTTCTACTTTACAAAAATATTTTTTCAGTTACAGTAGAACCCCGGTTATACGAGGTAACGTGGGGGTATACCCACCTCGGATAATCCGAATACATATATGTATACAGGGTATACCATTTAAAACAAAACAGGCTAAATATCTGATGTCACTTTTATTTTTTTTTAAATCGTTCGTATACGTAATTTGATTGTGTGAGTGTTTGAAACATTTCCAGCACTAATTTAACCCTCTAACAGGGCTGAGACCAACCCTTACTATTCCAAATGGAACAGGAGTTCGAGTAATACCTCTTTTAAAAGAGCGCTCAATTTTCTTTCAAATGACTGCGAATAAAAGAGAATTGAACACTCTTTTGAAAGAGGTATCACTCGACCCCTTGTTCCATTTGAAATAGTGAGGGTTGGTCCCACCCCGCCTAGAGGGTTCAAGTAGATATGCTGGAAATGATTGCAAAAAACTTCCCCCTTTGAAAATCAAATTACGTGTACGAGCGATTTTTTAGAAAATAAACGTGGCATCAGATATTGTAATGATCCGGGAAAAATAATCCCGATAATTACAATGTCTTTACTGTAAAAATTAAATTTAATCAAACAATCAAAAACTGAATTTCCGATATCTCAAATCAGTATCGATAAATTAAAAATTAAACAAATTAACGCTAACGTATTTCGACACCCAGCCTATTAAAACATCCAAATGAATCGGCAATTAAATTAATAAGGGTGAATACTGGGCCCTCCTTTCCTATATGTCATCATCTAAATTAAATTCTTAAAAATAATAAAAACGAGGACAGGGTAATTAAATCGAATGATTTATGGCATTCTTGAACCAATAATGTTTTGACCTCAATAAATCAGGATATTGCGACATAATTATTCGATTTTTTAGACTAAAAATGATAAAAATTTCAAGGAAATTGCATCATCTTAATTGTCATGGACAGAGAAATTTGGGGGGATCGATTTAATATAAATACCGCGGTTTTAGAAATGGAAGGCAGTTGTCAGTTGAGAGATGAGTTCGAAGTCCTGTCCTGTTTGAGTTAAAATCTACAGTACCTAAAACAATTTATGTGCGTGCTAGCTAAAAATTTTGAGTAATTAATTAAGTAATTTTACGTGTGCAAAGTTAAATGTAAGTACTTTAGTGTTTAATAATTTTCTGACTTTTATCAATGATTCTGAATGATTAGAAGTGAATTAACAAATGACTTTCAATGCCTAAAAACTTGAATGAGTTTCCTAGTAAAACTTTTGACTTTATAAAAGATGAATGACTATAAAGTGAAATATCAATGGAACATTATTGCATAACTTTAATTGCCTTCAGATATAATGACATTCTAATTTAATTTTGCAAGGGAAATATGAAGGGAATTTATAATGCACTTAACATAACATAATAAGTATCGATTTGAGTAGGGATTATTAAAGAATTTTGAATTGGATTGTCCAATTGAAGTTTAAGGGCTATAGTAACGAACTAATAAGAATTTAAATAATTTTGTATGTTAGCTAGGAATCCGAAAATAGAATTGTTCTGATTAAATAAACTGTTAAATGGAATAGGAAAAAAAAACTTGATGTTCATGAAATAGAATTGTCTTAAAATATTGTTAAAGGAAACTTATAATAGAATTTGTTCTGATTAAATAAACTATTAAATGGAATAGGAAGTTTGAAAGGAAACTTGATGTTCATGAATCGAATTTTGAATTAGGGTTTTTAAAATTCATGTAGAAATTATTGTTTATAGGATATAAAGGTTTATAGGAATAAGTTAGTAATACCTATATTAATAAACAAATAGGTAAATATTTTGGGTTTTTCATAAGCAGTCAATAAGGGACTTGGTAATTTTAAAGAATTTATATTAATAGGTGAAGGGTAGTTGATACGAATGAATCGGAAGTGTTGAAATAAGTTAACTTATAAGTTATTAGGAATAGTAGGAATAGGGCGTTTCTTTATTAGTAGGGATATTTCAGTGGTAATAATGACATTTTTTGAACGGATGTGAAGTAATTGAATTTTAGAAAAAAAATAGATGAGGCTGTCAGAATTGGAAGATATTTTGCTGATTTAGATTTTTGGGTTTTATGTATAATAAAATATAATTTAGTACACCTCAATAGTTTGTTTCTCTCTCTTGCAAATAAACCCTTCCAAAGATTTTAGGCAGCAGCTCCAAGTAAATAAAAACCATCAATAGACCGCTCGCCATTTACCATCTAACTAATTACATAGAGTACTTGGGGCGTTTTGCTACAATATTTAGCCTATTTCGCTAAAAATGGTACACCCTGTATGTATGTTCAGGGTGTTTTTTTATATATTGACACCCCACGTACAGCCTTTACCTTTACAGGTAGAGATGAAAAGTGTAAATACAAAAGTTGTACAGTATTAGCTAAATTTTTAGAATCCATGGTCATAAACAAAAATTGAATGTCAGAAATGTGAAATTTTGCATGCTTTCAGCTTTTTTCAAATGGGATACGCTATATTTGGTTCTATATTCTTGAAGAGCACAATTTCCCGATTCCAAAACTATAAGTTTGTCTATATTTGGTTGAACCGTCTCCAACATATTTGGTTCTAAAAATTTTAAAAATACTATCAGAGAAACCAAGTACCTCAAATTATTACCTACAGCTTTTACCTGTACAGGTAGAATGGTTCACAAAATCAGTCGTAGGATAGTATTTTTACAATTTTTTGAGCCAAATATATGAGAGATTGCTCAATGAAATATAGATCGGGGCATTGTGCTCTTCAAGAATATAGAATGAAATATAGGGCATCCCATTTGAAAAAAGCTGGAACCATTACATATGAGTGGATTATTGCGGAACTTATGGGTGAACCTCTGCAGGACGAGCGCAGCGAGTTCCGCAGCCATCTACTCACCAATATACTGTTGAACTGTTCAAATAATACATTCACCTGAAACGTGTAGTTTTTGAACTAATGAGAAAAATTCACAACTGAGTGAATCAGGTAAGTATTGTACTTGAACAACATATTGGTGAATAGATGGCTGGGTCCACCCATAAGTTCCGCAACAATTCACTCATTTGTACTTGAATAACTTGTCACATTATATTATTAGTTTGGTAAACTAACCCTGTTGAAAGGCAAATTGACAAAAAGTGGATAATCTTACAAATTTTGACTTTATATAATAAGTTATTGTTCAAATAGGTACAAATAAGTGGATTATTGCAGAACTTATGGGTGGACCTCTGCGGGAAGCGCGCAGCGAGTTCCGCAGCCATCTACTCACCAATATACTGTTGAACTGTTCAAGTAAGACATTCACCTGAAACGTGTAGTTTTTAAACTAATGAGAATAACTCACATTTGAGTGAGTCAGGTTAGTATCGTAATTAAACAACATATTGATGAATATAGATGGCTGCGCTCTGCCCGCAGAGGTCCACCCATAAGTTCCGCAACAATCCACTCGTTTGTACTTGAATAACTTGTCAAATATTACTAGTTTAGTAAAGTAACATTACTAATTCCTGTTGGAAGGCAAATTGACAAAAAGTGGATAATCTTACAAATTTTGACCTTATATAATAAGTTATTGCTCAAGTACAAATAAGTGGATTATTGCAGAACTTATGGGTGGACCTCTGCGGGACGAGCGCAGCGAGTTCCGCAGCCATCTACTCACCAATATACTATTGAACTATTCAAGTAAGATATTCACCTGAAACGTGTAGTTTTTAAACTAATGAGAATAATTCACATTTGAGTGAGTCAGGTTAGTATCGTAATTAAACAACATATTGATTAATAGATGGCTGCGGAACTCGCTACGCTCGTCCCGCAGAGGTCCTGCTATAAGTTCCGCAACAATCCACCCGTCTGTACTTGAATAACTTGTCACATTATATTACTAGTTTAGTAAAGTAACATTACTAATTCCTGTTAATAGGCTAATTGACAAAAAAAAGGATAATACTTTTACAATTTTTGGAGCCGAATATATGAGAGACTGTTCAGTCAAATATAGACATACTATATATTTTTGGAATCGGGGTATTGTGCTCTTCAAGAATATAGAATGAAATATAGGGCATCCCATTTGAAAAAAGCTGGAAGCATACAAAATTTCACATTTCTGATATTTAGATTTTGTTTCTGACCATGGTTTCTAAAAATTCAGCCAAAACTGTACAACATTTGTATTTTCACCTTTCTTTTACCTGTAAAGGTAAAGGCTGTGGGTGGGGTGTCAATATATAAAAAACACCCTGTATATTCTACAAACTCGGTTAATACGGAGTATGGACGTGTGTACCTCGGATAATCAAGATTTTTGGGTCTTCAGACTGGTTCGGTTAATCCAGAGCTCGGATAATTGCGACTCGGATAATCGGGGTTCTGCTGTATTTTGAACTTGCATTTTGAAAACTGCACTTTCTTGGAGAGTGTTTAATACTTTTATTAACTGATCAAAGCCTAGGTTACTAATAATACAAGTATTAAACAAAAAATAAATTAATAATAAAAGTAAGTACTTATTGTCCGTTAATCTGACACTTTCCGTATGTGGATTGAGGGGGTGAAGCTTATGGCAATGACAGGTGTGACGCCAGGTGACCATTGGCGTTTTGATGTGGGAAGCCACCAGCTCACCTTTTTTTGGAGTATCAGATTAAAATCGACAGACTTTACATATTAAAAACAAATTAAGTAGGTACCTAAGTAGTTTTCATTTTTTGTGCCAGGCGATTCAATTCAAGACGATTTAAAAAAAATTATACTTTTCTGTAAATTAGAAAAATCGCGCTTTCTAAGGACACCCTGTATAATAAATAATATACTTACTTTGGAAGTTCTTCACAGGGTGGAAGTACGTTAGTCAAATAGGCCCCACAAATATTTCCTGCCGGAGCATAATGAGCAACCACGACGATTTTGCCTGAACGAGAGCGGGCTTTACCTAATCCAAAGTGCTTGCTATCTGCCCACACTAACTGCGTAAAATGACCTGAAAAAAAAAAAACGAATGCCTTTCAACTCTGGATAGTCCAATTAGCAGAGTTGCTCCATTGAAAAAATTTAATTGGAGAACATTTTTAAGTTCTCTACTTTACGGAATAAAATCTTAAATAATAATTCTTACCAACATTAACATTAGCTCGTAACCGATCCGGTTCGTTGCTGAAATCATACTGTTTAACTGCTGAGTACCAATAAGTGGATACTTCCTGGCCTGTGACGTCAGTAACCAAAGCGTTGGTTGCTCTACAAAATAAATTCTGACCGATATCCTTGCCGTTCCTATAGTAAAATCGATTGGTGTGTGCTAAATGGTTCGCCCAGGTTTGAGCTAAATGGCACAACTACAACACACAAAAAAAAAGTTTTTTTGAAATATGCAAATAATTCTTTACCTCAGGTAACATGTTTAAGGGTGGCGAATTATGCCTTTGCCTATAGACGTTATGCCAGCACAGGCAGTCCGTAATAAAATCGCTATCCTGCCAGGCAGTTCTAGTGTCTGATATGTCTAGTACCATACTAACTGGACGGTTATGAAGAATCTACAACAAAAAAGTCCATAGTTAAAGGGTCGCTTTATATTGCACCTATTAAAAATTTCCCTTTTATATCACAACCCTTATAGCTTAATAACATTAGTTATGTAAATTTTAGGCACGAAAACCCTTCTTTTCGTGCCAGGTATGCATTTTGCCAACTAAAAAGGCGAATAAATTAGCTTTGTTAATGACTAGGTTGGAAAAGCTACAAGAAAATTTAGAACAGACTTTTTGATGGAGGCTTGCACGAGAAATTGTTAAATCTATAACAAATAAAATTGTATTTATGACCTTTGGGATCTCGAAATTTGTACCTATGTATATTTAAAAGAGGCACTTAACAAAAGTGTTTCCATATTTCCTGCAGTAAAAGCCTTTAAAGGTGGGAGTAAAAGTAAAATACAAATAGAGGCGCATTGCAGCTATTTAACGCGGGTGAAATTGCATTTTCTGAACATTTTCTGGTCTAAGTTTGTCCTAGAAGTGGTAGGTACTTTCTCTTGAAACACGTGAAGGAAATGTCCAAAACAAAAGTAAAATTGCATTTTGTAGACATTTTCAACAATATTTCTCATCTCAATATCCAAAGTTGACGTAACAAGGTTTTGTCATAACTTCGGAGAAGATCATGCCTTTCAAGTATAGAATATATCCAACATAAATATTAATAGAAACAGAAATGTTTAAGTATGTAATTATAAAATTCATTACATTTTATAATGAAAAACTTAATTCTAATTCTAAAAACCCTAATGTGCATGATATTTTGTATGTCCATGAAAATTTAAAAAAATAATCTAATATTTTACGACTATAAGGCATGTGATTTAACCATAAGTTGAAAAATTTATTACATTTTAAAACCTAGATGGTTTATTTCGATACAAAAATATTGCGTGTCAAACATAAATTCAAATTTGGCTTTCTTGGGGCTTGGGGTTTTCTGATTTATATGTATATAAGCGACATAAATCTCTCATTGCGGAGGATTTAAGATTTCAAGTGGAAAAGCAAAATTGCGAATTTCCTCGTCGTTTTAGTTTGTTTGGCACAAAATTTAATATTTTGATTTATTGTGCAGTATAATCTTATCAGATTAGGAAAGTCGTGCTTAGAGAAATTTTTATTGAAAATGAAAGGTTTATTAATAACTCAGCGAAATCACATGGCTTCAATTTTTTAGAGAAAAATCAAAAAGTTAACCTTTTTCAGGTTTAATTTATGCTGCTTCTGTGGATGCACGTAAACTTTGTCTAACTTTGTTTACAGCCATATTAAATTTATACTGTGAATGGAATTCAAATTTAAAATAATGGGATAAGTAGAATTTTTCTTAAAGCACGTGTTTGATGTGTGCTGGAAACTGCCAATTTACCTATAAAATTAAGCAAACAGGTTTTTTTTTGTAGAGAATAGTAATTATTGGAAATATTATTCCACGCCAACTATTGATTCCAAAATTTGACTTATGGAATATGGAATATAGTCAATTGAGTTCAGATGTGGGCTGTTAGGAGGTGGATATCTACATATTTCAATCTCTACAAAACTTGTCTGGATAATGCTACGACGTGTCCATTAGAGTTATACTGCTCTACATCCTCAAAAAATTAGACTGGGACTTTCTATTACGCTGTTCAAAGACTCCAAAATGAGAAAAATATCCAAAGGTCTTTCCTTTTAGACTCCCACATTGGATCATATTCTAATATTCAAGCTTCTCTTTAGCGAATATAAAGCATCTTTTCATCTAAAACCCATATATTTTTGCCATCATTCGCAAGAAATTGAAACGAAGTGGGTAGATAGGTAATACATTATGCAGGAGCCTGAATAAAATGATTCAATTTGAATAATTCCTATTTAAAGTAAATAGAGTTATAAAACATATCTGGGTAATACATTGTGCTACTAATTACGCCTCAAGTTTTCTTTCCACTCAGTTTAGAGATTACTGATACTAAGCTAAGGTTTAAAGGCATTTCCTCTTTCTAGGTTAATTTGTGGCCAACACGAAACACTTGCTGATTTTTTTATGAAAGAATTTGCAATTGCGTGCGTCTGTAGCCACTCATGTATGTGGCTAACATTTAAAATTAGGAATTAAATCAACTTGCTTACTTATTAACAAAGTACCTAACTAAATGTGCAAAATTATTATGATCGGGTAGAATCGATAATGAATTGATTCAAAGTCACAAAACATATAATTTTGGTGCTTGGTTTTCTTGTTCATCTCCAGTGACATGGATAGTGTAAAGTAATTTGTACATTGTCTTTCCTCAATCCATTCCAAATATACACGACTTTAATCGTCAGCAAATTACGTCACAGTGACTTTTCCTTAGCTAAGAGCTTTTCCAACTGCCTAAAATAAAACATCCAGGTTTCATCTGTATAGTGGCCGTTTCTGAACTTGAATCACCTCTCACTGAGTGGTGAGACTCATTCTCCAAGCCTCTGGTTTTATTTAGCAGATATATTGGAGTTTTGGAAGTCATTCATCTCTATACTCTTTCCAGCAATGCAATGTCTTTCATGTATTCATTATTTGAGTATTTATGTTTAAGTGCACTCTACAGAACAAATTTCTAAATACTACACTGAAGAAAATAAACGTAAATAATGATATGCAAATTTACAACTTATTAAAAATATACATACAGCCTGATTTCTGATGTTTTTATTTAATTTTTAACTTCTGGGAAAAATGCCAGTATCGAAAGTAAGTTGGAAAATATGCTTCAGAAGAGGTTCTTTTAAAGATGTGCAACAACCTTCAGGAAACACTGGGCATCGAGATCCAGAATTTTTCTCTGTATTTCCTCAACCGTGAAGAGATGATCGAAAAGGAACTGAGTAGTGTTCTTTGATCTCAATATCCTTGTGGTCAGAGTAACAATTCTGCAAGTGTGTGAAGAGTTCAGCAATCTGATGAGGATTCGAAAAACGAAACGGATATTGCTAAAGAGCATCTAATTCGGCAAGCCTGCATCTCTCTTCAAAGATCTTATAGCTCTGTTCCAACCGACATGAGAACCGTTCCAGAACCAGTAATTTCCACTTGCCCACCTATTTTTCAATAAGTTGAAAAACCCAGAACTGTCCTTGTTCAAATTTTAGGTCGTACACAACAGTCTCAAAATCATCTCGCTGGAATGGTCCCTAACAAAAGGCCCTAATGAGATAGATTAGGGTGTTGGCCTTTTCGCCCTTTTCCATAATCTGCGCTATGCTATGTGATACACTGATTTCAAATGCTACGTCTTTTAAACTTTGCCTCCAAAAACATTGACTTGAACATTAGTTTTTCATTAAACGAATTAAGAAGAAGCCTCCATTATTATTGAGGAACGAGTTCTTCTGTTGCGTTAGGAATGCTGTAGGTTCCCTATATTGATAAAATTCTTGCGGCGCAACCGTAAATAATTATATCATGTGATTGAATAATCCATTAGTGCAGTGTTTTTCAATCTTTTGTAGAGTGGGAAACCTTAGGGCGCATTTTTTTTTTCTAGGGAACCCCTTTTACAAGTACTCAAATCAAATATAAAACACACGTGCAGAACCACAATCGCCCCTTTGCGGAACCTTGGAGTTTCGCGGAACTCACTTTGAGAATCACTGCATTAGTGAATAAGTCAAAATTTTAAATTCTCTCAGTAAAAAGGATTATATTTGTTATCAGTGTTGCCAGAGGTGGTACAATTGTACCAGGTTTGGTAGAGTCTTAGCCTACTGCCTACTTAGTCTAATGTCGATGTTCTAATTAACTTGTATTTCTGTATCCAAATTCGATACAAGAATAATTTTCAATTCGTAAATAGATGACGTAACACTCATTTTGTGGTTTTTGGTTGAAGTAGTTTGTGTTTAGTTTAGGTTTTCGGCAGAAAATAAGGAAAACTCAAAGCCTCGTACTTTAAATCGGTTTTCCTGATCGGAAAAGCGGAAAATCCAAAGAAAAACCATTGAAAAATGACATTCCAAAGCCTACTTGATGAAACTTAAGTTTTTGTACTGTAAGTAACCCCGTTGAAAAACTCGAAATTTTTGATACAAAATGAAGGAAACTCAAAACCTCGTACTTTAAATCGATTTTCTCGCTCAAACACAGCCCCGAAAAATGGAAAATTCCAGGAAAAACTGGATAAAAATGTAAACACGTCAAATGAAAATGGCCGACTGTCAAAAATGACAAATGATATTTATTACAAGGCCTCCTTGATTGAAGTTAGCGACAAGCGGTGTTGCCACATCAAAAGCATTTAAAATGGGATTTTGCTAATTATCGCATTCAAAAGTGGAAATTTTTGCTAGAAAATGAAGAAAACTCAAAGCCTCGTATGTTAAATCGCTTTTTTTCATTAAAAATCCCCGGAAAAGTCGAAAATTCATGGAAAAACTGGCAAAAAATCACAAGACGTCACTTCAAAATGGCCGACTAAAAGCAACATTGCCACATTACATGTCGGAAAACCAAAATAACATTTTAAATGAGTTTTTTGTTTAAAATTCAATTAAAAATTATTAAATAATTAATAAATAATGATTAAAAATAATTAAAATTCCCTGGATAAAGCATCGGAAACTTGTTTTTAGTTTAATTTCAATGAAAATGACATTACAAGGTTTACTTATTGATTATAGTGAGTAAGACAAAGACAACGATAAAGTAGTATATGTTTGCAAAAACCACTGTTTTCTGGAAAAAGTAAAAATCTTAAGAAAACCCAATAGAAACCAACATTCCAAAGTCAACTTGATAAAATTAAAGTTTTTGAATATTCCCGGCTTTTTGATTGGGCGCTAAAAACCGCATTTTGAATATTCCCGGTTTAACTGGGCCCCGTGATTAAAATAACTCCGGCCTTTCGGGCTCGCGTATAACTCCGGCCCTTCGGGCTCGCGTATAACTCTGGCCCTTCGGGCTCGCATATAATTAGCAGTTTTCCCGATCGAAACCGGCCTGAAAAAGTGGAAAATTCGAGGAGAAATTGGATAAAAAAACTCGAAAATGGCCGACTGTCTAAAATGCCAAATGACATTACATTACAAGACCTACTTGATCAAAAGCGACGTTGCCATAATTACAATCTCAAACATAATGTTTTTCCAGATTTTAGTGAGTAAAACAAAGAAGAAGATAAGGTAGGATACATTAGTAAAAAACCAAAAGCGATTATAAATGAGTAAGATAAAGAGCGAGATAAAGTAGGAAACAATTTAAATGATCAGTTGGTCGAGCCAAACTATCATCAGAGTAAATTTTCAATTGTTTCCGGTTCAAACACTTGGAATAATGACTCAACTTTTTTTTGACAACTGACAAGCCTACATACAATATTATGACTATCGACAATTGACGAGTTCATTTTCAGGACCACCTACGATTATTATGACTTTTTTTTGTCAATTGACAGCCTTGTGATTCAGTGAAGCCTACAACAGCAACGTTACCACATTTTAACGGTAATTTTGGAGCATTTGTAATTGTAAATGTAAAACGTTGACAAGTGGCAATTGACATCAAGAAACGATTGTTATGGGCTGATTGAAAATTTTGGCAACACTGTAACGCTAGAGGATTGAAATAACGTTTTTTTTTTTTAATTATGAGCCCGAAGGGCGAGAGTGTTTTTAATCTTGGCCCACAGGACAACAAAGAAACGCCATTTTGTATCGAGTTTTAAAGAAAACAAGGCCTACTTTGAAACGTCAATTTTTTAACGTTTGTTGTATCATAACCAGTATTGCCATATGTTTTTTTCAAATCTCCAGCCTGAATGACCGGTGTTGTTTTAATTACACGTTACGAGTCCGAAGGGCCGAGGTTATACGAGCCCCAAGAACCGGAGTTATATGAGTCTGTTCATTGTCAATTGATTTTAATACCTATTATGAATATTACAGGTCTGTGATGCCCTTAGATGTTCTGGGCCGCACGCGCGCTATACTGAAAGAATCAGCGTGTCCTCCCTGACCGAGTGGTCGTATAACCCGCTCTGGTACAATTTTTCTTTAATTTTGGTACAAAAAAATTTTGCTCTCTGGCAACACTGTTTGTTATCCAATATTTAAGTCTTTCCAAATCATCCGTATCGCTTAATCCTCTGCCATCCAGTTCAATTTCCGTTTCCTTCACTCTGGGGAAACTCGACTTTGCCCCAAAGGTAATACTCTACTTAATGCATTAAGAAATTACAAACCGATTTGGTTCGAAGCCGTCACGTTACAAAAAGCCATCAATTATACGCTTTATCTGCTAAAGTTCGGAAAGCTGTTTCCCTAACGAGATTTGCTGACCTTGGCATTTTGGAGTCCGGTGGAAAATTGTGTTATTTCCATTGGTTAACCAAGCGTTTCGCCGTGTTTAACCTTTTTTGTTTATCGTTTTCTTGATAGGTTTATCGCTACACCGGCGTGGAAACGCTTGTTTATAGCTTTCCACAATTCGTTCGATAAAAATGTTCTGACAGGTTTTTCCTTCATGAATTTCAATCGCAATTTCAAAACAGAGTATTTCTGAGTCATAAAGTCTGTATTGAGTTAAGTATAGAAATCTAGTTCCGGAAACGGAATTTTATTTTTCGTTAGTTTCCAATTTCAAGGTGATATAAATACTTATAAAAGTTTTCAACTCGTCAGTTTTTATTTGGAATAATGCCAACTCAAATCCCAATATCTATAAGCCTTGTCTTCTTAATTCTTCTTGAAATGCAATGTTGCTTTATGAAAACAAAATTGCTAACTCCTAAAGTTTTTAGTCAACTTTCCTCTGGCTATTATTGGGTGTATTGTCAACTGCCTCTCTGGAAAGTGCCATCATGAAATGTATTATATATTTGTTGTTACACGTTTGGGGTTGCTATAGGTATCCCATTTACATTTTGTGCAAAGCATGTTCATACGTGCAAATCATCCAATCCTAATCGTAACTCATTCTCATTTGTTCCAAATTAAGCAATTCGCATGACTCACTCATTTTAGCTAAGATTTCCAGATAATTGAAACCGACACGTGAGTAGTTACACGACCTAATCACTTTCTCTCGTGTAATGAATGAAATCGTCGGAATCAAGCAATAAAAAACTCCTGCTAGAAGCAAAAAGCGTCGCATGTCTGCACGCTTCATATTTGTTGGGCCCTTTAAGAAATCCCTTGCTGTTAGTATATTTTGTCGCCGTAAATTCAGTCCATAGGGACACCATTATTTCAAATTCCAGCCATTAGGGTGGGTTATGATAGAAATCTCCGGAGTTTTGTTCACGCCCCGGAGTGGTTTGACAAAAGTGGAATTTAGTTTGGCCGAAGTTTTCGCGTTAATTTCAACTCAGACAAATTATGAAGTCGTTATGTTTCATTGAACCATTCTTGGAATCTTTGGAAAATAACCAGGAAAGTGGTGTGATTTAGTAAGACATTGATGGGAGATTGTTTGAGAGCATGCATAAAAATATATAAATGTTTGTTACCTTTCGTAATAAATAAGGCCGATTGTCGATTTCTTCCGGACTTAAATTATTATTGGCACAAGTTCTGGCCTCTATGGGTTCCGGCCGGTTGGCTTGTACGATTTTGGCGGCGTTTAGTCTCCTCCTCAGGTTCTGCAGTACCTTGGCTTCTTCGCGTTTCCTGCTCGGCTGATACTGCGGCGCAGACGGCAACACTGGAATGTGCGGCTCGGGATTTTGGGTCGAAGAATTCTGAAGCAGTCTGAAGCAAAGGAGTTTGATGATAGACATGAAGAAAGTTCCTAATTGCACAGAAATGTTTCAAAAACGTTTTAAAGACGTACCCGATTGGACGTTAGAACGTTTTAAAAACGTCAGTTGAAGTAACTGGGAACGTACAGTGGACGTTTTTCTACCTTGCAAACAATGTTCTTGGAAACAACTAAAAGATACCGTAATAAAACGTCTGTTCTATGATTATTTATGAAAACATAATATCGTTTTTGAGACTTCAATAATGGTGTTAGAAATGTTTTGTAAGAACTTTTAGGAAACGACCCTTTTATGACTTTTTTATAGAAACATACTTCTCCACCAAACTTATGTTTCTAGCGGAGGTTTTAGTAGGAGCAAGTTAAATCGAACGTCTAAAAAAGTCCTTTTCATACCTTCTCAAAAAACACTGATGTACCCATTAGAAAAAGTTAATAGACATTTGCTGTTGTTTGGTTTTTAAAAATGTCGTTTTGTGAACATATTTCGGGCGTTTTTTATGTCATTTTCAAAAATATTCTTGAACAAACGGTTTATGTCAGTCCTCGGGCGTAAGTAAACGGACTTTAAAAGAACATCCGTCGCACCTTTTGTGCTGTTATAGAGGTGGGTTCCCAGACAGCATAGAGTCATCTTAAAGACGTCCCTAAGATGTCCACAAACCACATTGAGGAAAACCACCTATTTAAAATATTATTTCTTAAAATCTTAACTTTAAAAAAAAAAAACGTTTACTGAATAAAAGTAAATGTTGCAACCATGTATGCGCCCTCAAGTTTAGGATTGAACAAGCGCGCCACAGAAAACTAAGGTACCGAAACCGAAGAGGATACAAGAGAATACGCAACTAGACTACAGAACGAGCTGGACTGGTCCCTTGGAAAACGTGTCGCGTGTCTGTAATTATTCATTATTCAATTTTCATTTTTATTTTGCATTAAAATTGATTGTTCAATCCAATTTGTTATTAGTGTATGTGTAAGAAGCGTTCACAGGTTAGTTGATTAATTATTATTTTGTTTGTGAGAGTTCAATTTATACAAATATCATTTTTTCCATTTTTATGTTGTTTTGTTTGTTTATAACATTTTTTTTTTTTTATAACATGTGCATTGTTCATGTATTTAACAAAAATCGTTTCATGCTGTAAACAACACAGATAAAGAAGTAAATTAAAACCTAAGAAATTATGTGCTGTCTTTTTGTGCTGAGATTTTGATTTTGTGTATTCAGAACGTGCATTAGAGCCTTGTTGAATTTACTAACATTTTCCTACCCTGACGAAAGAATATCCTAGCAAATTGAAATAATCAATTTAGAGATATTGGCTCAAAAACAACCATAGCTAAGTAGCTTCCCGTATGGGACCTCAGTACCTACTGGGAAACTGGCTAACTAACAAAACAACTCTTCAGTATTGAATATAGGTAGTGTTTGATTGTATGTAGTGTGTGTGTATTTGAAATTTTAGCATAAGAATAAAGAATGGTACCTAATTTAAACTTTTATTGACTTAAATTTTCAAATTAATGACTCACAATTATTTTAAAAATGACACAGTATGTTTCGGTTTCTCTGCCGTGCTCTTTCCCCTCGTTAGTTCCAGGATGAGAACGGTACGATCTACCTTAATAAAGAAGTAGACGTTTCACAAATTTTTCGTTTCTTTTACATATCACAACCTGTCGGGCGCATGTCCAGTAAGTAAAATTGAGTAAGTTTCCACAACGTAGGTCCTATTTGTTTCTCATTTCATTTTTCAGAAGATTTGTTGTTTAAAAGGTAATAAAAATTCTCATCGTTTAATCTTACTGAACAAACCCGGGTATGTTATACTACAACATTCAAGATAGTTTTTTTAGACATCTGCTTATGTGTTCAAGGCATCTTGAAGATATTTTGAAGACGTCGTTTGTTACAAAACCCAACGTCTTCCAAACGTCTTCATGACATTTTTCCAAGACATTCTAAAGACATTTTCAACGAGATGTCTCAAAAGACGTCATTGAATCTCGTCTTCTAGACATCTTTTTTTGGTTTTCAGATGTTTCAGACACAATGCAGACCTAAAAAAGACGTATTCAAGATTTTGTGTGCTGTCTGGGTTTTTACTAATGGTATTCAATAAACAAATCAATTGCGAAGCGTACCTACCCTCCAAATACGACTATTTTTCCCGGTTTACGCAGTTTCTAACTAAAGTAAGAAATCTAATTTAGCAAGTTATAATACCAGGAAACATCTCCTAGCTGGAGCTCAATTATCTGATCCCAGATCCCAGGACAATAAAAATTTATGATCTAAGTACGGATATAGCAATTTAGCAGAAGGTAATACAGCACTAAATATCTCCTAGTTGGAGCTCAATATCTGATCCCAGGACAATACAAATTTATGATCCAAGTATGGATATAGCGCACAAGGGGAAACGATTAAATTTGAGGGTCGCCCAACCAAAAAATCTGCAAATTTGGCTCTGTGGTTTTACTTCAGTCTCTCCATAAATAAAGAATTGAATGTTATTCGTAAAAATGCAAGAATGTTAGAAGAAAATTTGAATCTGTCATAGTGAAAATAGTTACCTCCAAAGTAATTATTGAGGTAGAGAGAGAAATTGTGGGTTAAGGACGAAGTCTGCTGTCTGGTTTGGTTTGTACATACATTTGTTGTTCAATTCTTATTACCGTATTTTTTCAATTTTTTATTTTTCTTAATTTTAAATATGGATGTTGAAAAACTATTGTCGCGTTTGTCGTGTTGTTGGAATTGTATTGTGAGCCTTTTAACTTGAAAACTTCTGTTATGTAAAGAGCCTTGATGAGGACCTCAATAAAAGGTCGAAACGTCGGCGAATTTGTAAGTAAGGAAGATTTATTCCACTTCGTCCTTAACCCACAACTTCTCTCTACCTTAATTTGAAATTGTGTTCCATATTCAATTCTTCACCACGTTAATTATTATTGACTGCACCTCCTGATTTATTTCAGGATAAAGTCCAAAGTTTAAAATTGAAACGTACAATTCTCCGTTTCAATAAACTCTTGATAGTTTTATAAGGAAACACTTGAAACTTTTAAATCGACTGATGCTTTCGAAGCAAAACAAAAACCAATTAATTTCCGCTAACGTAGATCACCAAGAGGAAAAAAGAACCTGTAACTATATTTGAAATTCTGATTAGTAAGTTTTGAAGATTACCACTTCAACAATGTGTTTGAAAAAGTTAATGTCCTTGCCAAAAACTGCTTCAAATTTGAATAAATTTACGAAAAGCCTGCGGATAAAAGAATCTCCGAAACTGAAATTAACATGGAATATTTGAGAATGCCGGAAGCTGACATATTGTTGATAGGAGTTCCAAGAGATTGGAACTGTGGAAAATCAGCACGCTTTGAACGTTTAATCTTTGATGAAATCGAAATTTCTATACTTGTTAGATTCGCAAACATGACAGTTTAATTTTCTTTGTCTATGAGAATTGAGAAATAATCAGTTTTACTAGTAATTTTATTTAAAAAAATGAATTACCTTTCTATTCGAGTTGTATAGATCCTGAAATGATTCGAACTTTGAAACATTTACAAGAAGCAGCTTTAGCATCTATTGAAATTCAACAAAAAAAATATATGAGCTGGAGCTGGATACAAGAGGTAGAAAAATTCAAATAGGCGCGTTTTATATGAACGGTTTTTGTCGACTTTCTTTTTACGTCAAATTCAATACTTTTTGTGTCTGCTTTTCTCTATCTTTTCAAATCGAAAGAAAATACTTGAATATAAATAGGATCCAATGAATAAACGCATTTTGTTTAAAAACCGACTATAAAATCACCAAACTTGTATAATTTTTACAAAAATGTTCAATGCAATTTCGTTGCAATCATCATCGATGCAACGGCATCGAACTCTCGGGACCAATATATTAACCATTGCAATCCAAAATCACCAATCGAAAATTTACCTCTTAGAAACGGGTGTCCTAGGTCTATTAGGAGGTTGCGTCAGCATTTGAAGTGGAGGACAGATGGAAGAATGAGAGGCGATCCTGGGGAGCTCCATGGTGTGGACGACGTCCCCAGCATCCGACGCGGAGGATCCCGCATATCGGGCGTCGCGACGACCGTTTAGACGCTTTTGGCGAAACTAAAACGGCCGATTTCTGTGGGGCGCCTTTATATAAAACCAGAAACACAGCCGGCGTCGCAGTGAAACAGAGACCATGCGCTTTGGAAAGCCGGTTTTTTTTTTTCAAGTGATTAATTAAGAAAGAAATGATTAATAACTGTGAGCATGAGCTCAAAGTTCACTTTCGAATGAAAAAATCTGATGAGAAATAACTTTTTCAATGGGGTGATTGCTGCCACCTAAACAATAAGGCATCATTTTTAAACAGCTCAACATTAAAATGTTTATGTCCAAAAAGAGGAAAACCCTCAGCAATGTATTTTTGTCTTTACCTACTTATTTATTTCTTAGTAAGCTTTTCACTTCTAAGTATTGAATCGTCCCAAATTGTTAAGCTGTATCTCTTTAATTTTTAATAATTTTATTGGAATGTACTTTGTCCTATATTTTAACCATTTTGTTTACTATAAAATCGTTGATTTTAATTTAATAACGATGTGTTTACATTGTTTGGTTTTCAGCTAATTATAGCAAAATGATATTATATAGACGCGTGTTTTGTGATTGCTGGATGTCTTCATTTTGTATTTTATTCCACCAACAGAATTCAATTTCGACTGAAATTTAATTTAGCTCAAATTTAATTAAAATTCAATTAACAATGACAACATACCTATTGAAAATGTTCAAAATTAGTCTTTTTACAGGTCCTTCCATCCTATACATCATTAATCCGCGACTCTGATTGATTAATTATAAAATGTACCGATAAATTTGGGTGGCGAACCTTTGAAGTTTGAAGTTTGAACATAATTCATCATTTCTTTTAATTGAATATGTACTTGAAAAATCCAATAAATAACAATTCCGCAATAATACTTTAAAACAATTATGTTGCCAAATAATAATCGTGACGGCTCAGGTTTTGCCGCCACACACCACGTGTATGGTATATAATCGTCTAAAGGTTGATTGGCTTAGCATTATAATTTGTCATCAAGATTTTGCCAATTAGCAACTATTGATTGCGTAATTTATTTATGCAAATATGAGATGTAACGAATTCTTACTGAGGTGTCAATATAGTTTAATTTTAACAAAGTGAAGCGTTTTTAGTTTTTCTTGCAATTTCAAAATAGGAAAATCCCCTATTTGGAAGGTTATTTTAAGAGTTTGTTCACTCTATGTTGGTCTCATACTCATCTTCTCTCCACTAATCACTACCATACAAATTCATCATCTGTATGTACTCTGCTCTCCAAAATAACAGATCAAAATCATCATAAAACAAGAATGGATAAGTAACATTGAAGTTCTTTTCTCTACTTTTTAAAATCTGAATTATCTTCCGCAATTACAAACCTGTAGACGCATTTGGGATTTGTCATATAGTATTCCGTTTGGGAAAACTCCATAACAGTTCTAATCTTTTGATGATGTTTTCTGCATCAAACCAGTTAGTTCATCAAGATGTAAGCTATCACAAGAAACATTGGTGAGCCCTTAGAAGTAGTAGGTAGTCCATCTTTTTGGGAGTAAAATTATTATTTTTCCAATAACTTATATATCCAACATTGATTTCACACCAACCTCAAAAGACAGATCTTAAAAATGCTGCGGAAGTAATTGAAATGGATTTTTGCATGAGAGCAACAGCATTATTTCCTTTACTTGTGTATTTTCCATTTATTTTGGTTTCAATTTTTGTTTATTGCAGACTTCTGAACTGTCTCTTTATTCTCTTCCTAACCGAACAAGAGTGAAGAAAATTGAAAAACCTGTCATACATTTGTTTTAACTTTCCTATACTATTAAGTATTTCTGAATTATTTCTGTTCTAATAGGTACCTAATTATTCTACACTCTTGAATTAGGTACCAGGCTATATCTTTTTCTCTTTTCAATTTCTTAAATTAAAATTTCGAAGAAGGTTCGAACCTGGAATAAGAAAGTTTTTCCATTTATATATTTGTTTCAATTTTTGTCTATTCCAGGCTCTTGAGTTACCTATGATTCTATTCTAAATTTCTTAAGCTAAAAGAGTGGAGTTGAAAGAGCCTGGAATAAAAAAATAATTCCCTTTACTGGAGTATTTTTCATTTATTTTTATTTCATCTTCTTACTAAAATGATGAAATTCCAAAAAATTTTATGGCAAGACAGTGTCCTAATGGTCCTTTGGGATCCCCCAAACACGATACACTAAATTATTCGCATATTTTGAGCCAGATTTATGGAAAAAGAGGCACTCAGAACAATTGAGAAATTGATAAATCACCCCAAATTGCTTAACACGATTTTATCTCAGGAACTATAAGTGCAAATGAGCTGAAATTTTCAGGGATTGTAGTCATTTGAAAGGGATAAAATTCAGTGAAAGTTTCAGCTTTTTATCTATAATAGAAAAAAAGTTATGACCTTTCAAAGTTTTCCAAAATCTAAATCATAAGGTAGGTAGGTACCTTCTTACTAAGACGATGAAATTTCAAAAAAAAATTTGTTGAGATTTTGTGTCCTAATGGTCGTTTGGGTCCCCCAAACTCCATGCACTAAATTATTCTGAGATTTGGAGCCAGGTTCTATGAAAAAAGGCACTATAAGTGCAAATGAGTATTGTAGTCCTCTATTGGGATAAGAATCACTGACAATTTCAGCTTTCTAACTTCAATAGAAAAAAAGTTATGACCTTCCAAATTTTTCCAAAATCTAAATCATAAGGTAGCTACATGAAAGTAGGCCTTGGGTGGCCATTTTGAAATTGTGTTTTTTAACAAAAATGGCCGTCGTACTATTTCGCTTTAATTTTTTATGAATATTTCCAGATTTTATTGCGTAAAAGTCTTTTAAAATGGTTTTTATGATACGAGGAATTGAATTTTCCATAATCGGCACAGTAATTTTCAAATAAAATGCCATTTTTTATGGAAAACATCTCCATGGTTAAGTGAAACTGTCATATTAGCCCTTCACGGAAACGCTGATCCGATTAACCCGATCACCTGCTGTTTGTTTTCTATCTTTATTTAACGTACACGATTGAAAAGAGACAAATTATATCAGCGTGTGATCAGGGATTAATCGAATCAGCGTTTCCGTAAAAACTTATTAGAGGCGATTTTCAGCCTGGAATGATTATTTATCGGTAAATACCGTGGTTATTCTTTTGGTTGACAACTTTGACAGCCAAGTTTGACGGCATAGCCTCCCACCATTCAAGAATCATAACCCAAGGAACTGACCGCTGAAATGATTTGGTTATAGCAGTGTAGGATTATGTTTATTATTCTTATTTGTTTTTTCGTTTCAACAATAGTTTTTTGCTTAGGTACAGAAAATGGAGCTGAATCTCTCGTTAGTCTCGTTTATCGAACAGATTTTCTTTGGGGATGATCTAAACCTCGATCTAAACATGGTGAATTGCAGTGAGTGAGTGAATGTTTACATCTTTCATTGTGCCAGGCTACAACGCAACTGCAAAATCACAAAACACCAATACAAATTTCAAAAATAATAACAATAACATCAAAAAGCTGTAACCAAAAGATTAACCCAAGTCCAAAGCTGGGTTATAATCGGTTATAAGTGGTAAATACCAAAAGCAAATCAGCTGATATGTGACGTCACAACTTCCCCTACTTTGGTTAAAACCGCGACGGCGGAAATGCATTGGTTATAACCAAATATTAATCATTCCAGGCTGAAAATCGCCTTAGCTAACTTAAGCTTTTAAAATAAACGTTAAAGTAAGTATTGGGCGGCCATTTTGAAACAGTGTTTTTCACAAAAATGGTCGCTGTAGTATTTTGCGCCGCGTCTTTGATTTTTTCGAATATTTTCCGATTTTCACGTGAATCTAAAGCGGAAGAAACGTGTCCTGTGATGTGTGCCATCAAACTTACCACAGACAACATAAAAATGGTAATTTACTGAAGAAAGCTTCATCAAGGTCAAGATTGTTTGAAAGAGGTAGATGGGTTGCCTGATAAATTTTATGGCCTGCCTAAAGTTCAATGCACAAACTAATACCTATACATAATGCAATTCTTCATTAGGCACCACAGATGACGTCATCGCTTTTTCATTATCAGGCAACCTATTAACTTTAGGAATTTTGCATCAAGGTGAGCAAAAATTATCATAGGCAGCATAACTTGCTCTATAGGAAAGAGTAATTTCAGGTAAGGGATCCTGTGCATCATTTTAGTTTTTTCCGAATATTTTTGTGCTTTTATAATTAATTTTTAGTGCGGAAAAGTATTTACTTTTGCAACGTTTCTTGTAGACAGAAAATAATTAGGCGGCCATATTTGCTAACTTCACGTTTCAAAAAACATCAAAGTAGGCCTTGGAACGGCCATTTTAAAATCGCAATTTTCATGAAATGTCGTTAGTCTATGAATTTTCCGAATTTAGTGCGGAAAAATGCTTTAAAACTTTCCTTGTGATGTGGAGCATCGAACTTACCATAAACAGCAGAAAAAAGGTGATTTTCTGAATCATCAAAGTAAGCACAAAATATCATAGGCGGCTATAACTGGTTTTACAGAAAACTGTAATTTCGGTTTTAAGATTCTGTGCACAATTTGAGTTTTTTCCCCAATATTTTCCAGTTTAGTACCAAAAAGTACCTACTTTTGTAACGTTCTTTGTAGTATAAAGCATGTAATTTTCTATAGACAACTTTTGAATAATCAATAGAAAATAGAAAACAAAAATGATCATAGACGGCCATATTTGCTAACTTCACTTTCCACTAACAAAGTAGGCCTTGGACCGCCATTTTAAAATGGCGCATTTTCGGATTTTTTTCGAATATTTTCCGATTTTTGTGTAAATTTAGTGCAAAAAAGTGTTTGGGAACGTTTTTTTGTAATGTGGGGCATCGAATTTACTAGAAAATAGCAATTTTTCGAAGAAAACATTGTTAAGGTAAGCAAATAAACTTGTCATATAATTTCATTTTTCAAAAATGTCAAAGTGGCCCTTTTCAAAATTGTATTTTTTAACAAAAATGATATTTTGTTCTTGTTTTCCACGAATATTTTCCGATTTTAGTGCGGAAAAGTGTTTTTAAAACTTTCCTTGTGATATGGGATATCGAACTTACCACAGACAGCAGGAAAATGGTAATTTTCTGGAGAAAACATCGTCAAGGTAAGTAAAAATTATCATTGGTAGCTATAACTTTTTTTTTCTGCGATTGACAAGAAATGTCAGCATTTTTGACCGGTTGACAGGTCGCAAAACTCAATATTCTGGTATTTTAATTATGTTTCAATAGTTGCTAAGCTATCAATGAATAACAATACGGGAAACACTTTTCCGGCCTAGGCCGGAAAAGTGATTCTCGTACTGCTGAATAATTGGAACGAAAAGACAAACATTTAACAGATATTTAACCGATCGCAGAAAAAATAGTATGTGCATTTCGGTGGAAAAGCACTGTCTGAAAAGCACATTCTCGGCTTTCGGTGTTTGCCGCTCACACCGTCGGCTGAGAATGTGTCACTTTTCTACCTAAATACACAATATACTAAGTCTTGAAGGTAACTGTAATTTTGGTTTTGGGATCCTAGATAGTTTTCTAGAATATTTTCGTGTTTCCAATCAGTTTTTAGTACGGAAAAGTACTTTTGCAACATTTCTTGTAGCAAGAAAATAATCAGGAGAAAACAGAAAGCAAAAATTATCATAGGCGGCCATAACTTGTTTTACAGAAAACTGTAATTTCTGTGCAATTTGAGTTTTTCCCCCAATATTTTCCGGTTTTCAACCAATTTTAGTACTAAAAAGTACTTTTGCTATGTTCCTTGTAGTATAAAGCATGTAATTTTCTATAGATAACTTTTGAATAATCAAAAAAAAAATGATCATAGGCGGTCGTATTTGCTAACTTCACTTTTCAAAAACGAAGTAGGCCTTGGACGGTGCGGAAAAGGGGAACGTTTTTTGTGATGCGGGGAATCGAATTTACTGGAAAATACCAATTTTCTGTAGAAAACATTGTCAAGGTAAGCAATACTTGTGATATAATTTCACTTTTCAAAAATGTCAAAGTAGAGGCTTTTTTAAAATTGTACAATACCTACAATAATTGTCTCGTCTCGTCTCCACGAGACAAAGGACCGCTTTTTTCAATCTTTGTTGCACGTCGAGACGAAAAACTCATTTTCTCTCGAACCTTCGAGACGAAAAACTCATTTTCTCTCGAACCTTCGAGACGAAAAATAGAGTATTCTCGTCTCGTTTTACGACATCACTAGTCTGGTTTTTCTCGAATATTTCTGGATTTTCAGTTGATTTTGATACTAAAACATGTTTTAAGCTAAAATTCTCACCATCTAAACTGTAAGGATTGTGCTCGAGCACAACAAAACTCAAATTCTCCTCGTTCAAATTCCTCAACTGGAATTGCATGCTGCAAAACAAAACTCAAATTCTCCTCGTTCAAATTCCTCAACTGGAATTGCATGCTGCAATTCCACATCAGACTGGGAATTTGCGGCGCCCCATTCTGAGACAAATTATTTCCATTATTCAAGCTGTCTTTGGCAGAATCGGTTTCTTGTTCTTGATTATTGCCCAAAGTCACTTTGCAATAGATGTTTTCTGTATGGGATTTACCTACGGAAACATTAAATTACAAACATCCTTTTAGAGGTTTGAGGTTTGTTCTCACAAAAATCACAAACCAGAAAACAGGTTTGCACCACTGTAAGAACAAACTTTACATACCACACTTTATTAAAACTACCTTTTCTCTAACTACAAGTTTGTATGGATTGCATTCCACCAGGATTTCTCTAGCTTCAGCTATGGTGACCCACAAGTACTTGCCAGTATTTAAAACTAGAAAACATGCAAAATCGAAATTAGCTTACCGGAAGAAATTGAGCGTTTTGAACGAGCATAAGCAGGCGACTGCACGAAGACCCAAAATGGAGCTCTGACATAAATAAAAAGCAACATAAATAATTTTCAGGGATTGTAGTCCTATACGACCTCTACTGGAATAAGAATCGCTGAAAATTTCAGCTTTCTATCTGTAATAGAAGAAAAGTTATGACCTTTCAAAGTTTTCCAAAATCTAAATCATTAGCTAGGTACCTACCTACCTACTTCTAAAACGAAAAAAAAAATTGTTGAGATTTTGTGTCCTAATGGTCCTTTGGGATCTCCCGAACTCCATACGCTAAATTATTCTGAGATTTGTACCTGTATTATTGACTATATGTATAACTAGACCAACCCTTAATTATCAAATAACATCAAGGGAAGTTTCCGTTGGCTTTAGTCACCCCCTGAAGCGCATAGACGCCGCTGTTTGTCCTATTCCTGTCTGCCGATAATAAAAGAAACCTTTCTATTTACCAAGAATCGAAACCCTAATTTTAGAAAAAGGACGTAATCCAAATAGAATAGAGTCGGTCGGAATTTGTATGGAAATATATTTAATTCAGTGGTGGTACCGTTCTCTCAGTCTCGTGCGCCGACGTTCGATGCTAAAAATTGCTACAGTACGACGTACGTTCGTAAGTCGTAGCTAGTTCAGAGTTCAAATAAAAAAAGCCGATCCTGTAAGTGTGGAATATCTCTAATAATATAATCAAACGAAAAACGTGCGTCGCTTATTTTACGAAATAAATATGCCGGCAACTGTAATCAGGACCACAGTTATTTGGCGCGAACAGAATTGACTCATCGTAGCAGTACCGCGCAACCACATAATCGTTTCGCGTATTTATAGGTAGTACCCGATACCCGAGTTTCGGTCGTTCAGTTTTTCGAAAACAAAGTTTCGCGCCGCGACATTAAAATACGACCACCATCGATGATCGAAGTATGGATGTTCGTTTGAAATTATTCGCTAATAATCAACATATTTTGGTGCTATTTAGAAAAAGAAAACGGCGGAAGGTTTGATTTTTGTTGATCAACTATATATTCCAATTTCGTTATTATTATTGTTTAAAACGTGATAATTATTCAAAAAAAAAGCTATACCTACATATTTATTTTCTAAGAAAAGATACACTTACACAAGTTATTTATTTTGTTAACATTTACGTTGTAAACGGGTGATATTAAATTTAAGTGCACAGAGATTAAAAGACTTAATAATTTTTAAGAAACAGTGAGTTAAAGAAATTTTCAAAAATGAACGGTACCGCGATAAGGAACGGTAATAACAGTTATCAACAACCACACGTTAATACTGTTTTTGAAACAGATACCCTCCAAAAAAAGAAACAATCAGGTAAGATTTTTTTTTAATTACTATGTTATTACAATGCTATTACCCAATGGTAAATTCTTCCTTGGGCTTGGGAATTTTAATAGTTCAGACATCCTTATCCGCCAAACACCAATTTTTGTTGCTTTTTTATCTCTAGACTCATTCGTATTTTCGTTCTTCCCATTGTTGCCATTTTTTTAACACCGCATCGATTTTTAAATGTCTCTTACATTATCAGTCATTCCAGATTTATCGATTATCAAGCATACAAGAATTACTTATCTTGCATTTTCGAAAATCAATCAAACATAAGTTGGGATTATGTTGTAAAGATAACCATATGTTGACGTTGAATATGTGGCAACTGTGGAAAGGCGACTATAAAAAGCACGTGCTCGGAACATGTGCTTAAGTAGCCGGGTTCTCGTTACAGAAAATTGTGTTGAAGGTTATTCAAGAAGATTCGGTTGAATGGCCTAAATTTTTTTATGGTTTAGCTTATATTATTTATTGGCTAGACAAGATAATCTTTAAGCTTGGACCACATTTAAAACATTCTAAAAAAATTCTAAAAATATAATTCGTACCTCGTCGAGAGTAGAATATATAGTTGTATCTGATGTAGTATAGTTTTTTTTCTTTTTGAATGTGGATCCTTCAAATCAAACCCATCACATACCACATACCACTTACCTACAGAGTGACCGACACCACTTTTCAATAGCCTTATTCATCGTACACACTACTACACACATGCAGAATTTTTACAAACTTGTTCAAGAAAACCCACCCGAAAAAATCCTACCCGAAAGAAAGGTTTGATCTACCCTTTATAAGCCGTCCACTCGAAAAATCCTCTTGCCAAACCATGGGTTGCCTGGGTGCCGGCTTGCTATCACTTTGACTTTGAACTTACCTTAGTAGATTGCAATTTGTTCCAGAAATTTGCTTTTGGGTCTGAACCAATGATATCTCTTTCTTATCAAGAGAAAATTTTCAACAAACATAATATTTGATACCTATAATAATGAAATAAAAACTCGGTATCAAAGAAACTATACACTCCTATACTCAAAAAGCCGCTATACTCCACACTTGCAATATTACAAAATTCTTCACACCACGAGTGGCATTCCAATGCGATGAACTTGAAAAATCGTCCATTGATTGGAAACTATAGCAGACTAAAATATTCTGAAAAAGTCATACAGGTAGGTACTTAGTATTCACCAAACAATTTAATGTGTTTTCAATCAATTAGGTACCTTTACCATTATAGAATAAGTAATCTGGGAGCTCAAATTCTCCTTCTTTGTATTTTTAAAAGAATTCCTATATTGTATTGAATTTATTGCATCTCCTCCATTCAAAAACTAATTTCTCATGGAGAATTGCATTCTTCCCCAGTTTTCCATCTAAAAATTTGATGTTGAATTGCCTTGGATTTCAGAATAGTTGTAAAACAATAATGCGTTATCTTATCTACTTATTTACACCAAAATCTGGTTTTCAAATATTTTTGGTTCGCAATTTTTATTTGAAATATGATTCAGGTATAATTTTGAACAAATAGTAAGGAAGGTCATGCTTGAGCGGTTATATAATAATTTGTTTGTATCTCCAAGCGCACAAAAACCTCTATTGTCAAGATGGAGTAATAGTTCAATGGATACGTCATCATAGCCTGAGGAATTTTGATTTTTGAAGATTATAAGGGTTTCTTCTTCGATCTTCTTCGTATCAGCCAGCCCTCATTCACCACTGAATGTAAGCTTCTTTCACATTATTTTTCCATTTTTGCCTCTTTTTTCCAGCAATGTTCTGGATGGATATCGTGAACTTTAATTCATCACAAAAAAAAGAAACAACTCTTTCCATTTGAACTTCCTCATTCTTCCCTGAATTCTCAAAAACTTTCCTTACTTCTCTGCACTTCTTTAAAATGGAAAGTAAAAAAACTTTTCAATTCGGTTCTTCTTTACTTAATTCAGATCATACCAGCATGTTTTTAATATGGATACGTATTTAATATATCTACTGTTCACTGTGTCAAAGAAAACGTTGAAGAAAAAGAGGAAATATACAATATTCAACAAGTCTAAAGTTGTATCAGAAAGCACAATGAAACATTTTTCTAAATATACTTTGTATACTTAGATATCTTCCTCTGGGGGATGTTCTTATCATATCACAGGACAACATTAATATAAATATTACTTGAAGCAATATTGAAGAATTGATACCACTCAGCATAAACTCAACATAGCAAAGACATTTTTTTTCCTCTCATAAATATCCAAATAGATAAGGGGAGTTTTTAGACTATACTTCTTTTTGATAATTTATACCATGACGATGCATGATTTGAATATTTTATAGACTACAATCAGAATTTTGGGCTTATATCATTCGAAAACAAGGGAAACCTCTTATAGGAATAGGTATAACAATGTAATCCATTTGATATATTATGCCTATTACTTTAGCTTTAGATTTGTCTTTTTCCAGTGAGCTCTCAACTTCTTCTTATGCAACTTTTTCCACTTAGGGACAAGTTTGAATCAGTTGAAATTTAAAAATGCCCAAAAGTATAAGATGATATTTTGCCACACTAAAAAGGTCACCCAGGCCCAGTCAAAATGATGTTCAGTTCATTTTAAGGTGTTGGTACCTACTCAATGACAAACATGAATTAAATTCTCGACTGATGAATTCTATATTAAACAATTTTTTTTTCCATTTTATATTACTTAGGTAAGTATTCCAATTATTATTGGAAGTAATTCAATTAAAACGCAGTATTTAATGGGTAAGCCAATTATCAATAGTATCGTACTTCAACTTACGTTATATTTAGAAAATAATTTTTTACCTTCGCATATCTACTCTACAACAACAGGTAAATTGGATTTGGATATATTCCAATGTTTCAAAGCAGTTTTATTGCATCACATACATTAATTAAGATAATAACATGCATATTAACGAAGGCCACCTATGGAACAGATTGATAATGATCTTTGAAAAACACCTAGGCATTTTATATTTTAAATAATCCATTAATAAGGTTCGGTTTAATAACAATTAGTTAATATTTAATCTAAGTTTCTAACGCTTCTTCCTCTATGAAATTAGTTCAAATGCACCAAAACTTTAACTAAAATAATTGAAGTTAGGAAAACTGCCATCAAATACTTAAAATACTCAGGTTGAGTTTGCAAAGTTAGGCTTACTTATTTATACATTGGCCTTGTGCGTTCGGCCCTATTGGCCTTTTTCTTATTTATTTTTTTTGACAAAATCACTTTAACAAAACTTGTAGATAATAACATTCTAATCAACTTTGCTTCATGCCTTTTTTTGCTAGCTATTTTAGTTAAGGCGTTGCGGCCATTTTAGTGCTCCAGAATTCGCAAAAAAATTAAATAGCAAACCTGCAGATTATTGTAACTTTAATAAAATTGCTGATTACATTTTCTGTTTCAGTCCAAGAAATGATACATTACATCACTAATCCGGTGAAATTATTTGCCCGGAGTGAAAGCGTGAAATCGAAATGATGTTTTTTTTGGACAATACTGGGACCTGTTACATGTTTGCAGTGACAAAATGTTTAGCTAGCAAAAAAGGTCATGAGTCAAAGTTGATCAGAATGTAATTATCTACAAGTTTTGTAAAGGTCATTTTGTCGAAAAAAAAAATAAATAAGAAAAGGCCAATAGGGCCGAACGCACAAGGCTTTCGAGTGTGATTTTTTGGTTCAATACTTAGGACACACTCCTCAATCAGCCCTGGAAAATCAGCCAAATTTTTTGCGGCCCAGGTATAAATTTCTTGGGCTATTGGGCCTGAAACCCGATTTGTTTCAATAGGAAATAAATAAAATAAAAAATGAAAATATACAGAACACCGACATTGAATAAAAGTTCTCAATATTTTGTTTTTTTTTTGTGTCTGGCCATTTGCCTACAGAGAATTCAGTTGATCACGTTAAATTTAGAAAAGTAATTTGGCAGGAAGATTTTTTCGGAGACCCGTGTTTCCGACTTTGTTACAAAGTCATCGTTCAGGTTTTGACTACTGTCTGAAGTATAATTTCAAATACAATAATTGTATATTGTATTGAAATGAAATATCCAGCTTTTGATGAATTAATTTATCAGGATATCCGCTTTCATAACTGCGCAGATATTTACCAAAACCATAATTATTTCTAAAAGCAAAAGTAACTAAATGAAACTAAAATAATGATAATTAAGTATTTCACATGAAATTATTCCTTATTTATCATATGCTGGCTCATATCTCGGTTTTTTTTTTGACAAATTATTATTTTTAACACATTTGGTAAATACATATTATCTATTTTACTCAACAAAATTCACGCTACAATAATGACTATTATTGCTTTTAATACGTTTTAACTCACCAACATTTATACTACTACTCACTAATTATCTAAAATTAATAATAATTTGCCTTGGCGATTGTTTATGGTAAACTTTTCGCAGCAAATAAATAAATTCATAAGTCAAAAATTTGTCTCAGTCCAAATGAAATTCGGCAAATTACCAACACAAATAATTATGGAAGTTATTTTTAAAATCACGTTGGTTTTACGTCAAATTGGTCATACAATCTGATAAAATTGTTACTGCAATTTTTGGCAAGTTAACAGTACCTATAGCTTTTTAAGCATCAAAGATAATGCATTCATTAAATTTAGGATGGCATAATTAATGTTGAATTGTGCTAAATTATTTGATATAATTATTATAATGCTCGTGCAAACTTCAGTCAGCACTAGCAGTATTTGTAACTGCTGACATGATAAATACAATAGATAAATATCATCACCTCACAATAGGACTATTAAAGTAAAGCTGAACAGATTAATTTAATGTGTACCTTTAACTCGACTAAATTACGTCATCTAAAGTGAATCATTTTCCATCTAATTGACGGTGAATTTGCTAATTTAACCCAGTTAAATAACTAATTGGAGTAGCCGAAAATTTCATGAACTGCCTTGAACTACTGGCAATTGATATTCTTGTGTGACTTTTCATGAGGAGAAATATATGTTAATTATTTAGTAAAGAGGATGTAATTTTTGATGACTATTGATTCAATAGCTACTGTTTGGCTCTCTTATTCCACTCACAATGCAACTAAAATCTCTGGAACATAAATCTTTCTCTGTTCATCAATGTCAGCTTCAGAATCGTTACCTGAAAACATTAAAGCATTTCATGCAAAAAACTCAGAAAATTTTCCATATCAATAACGCAAAATGCTTCTTTTTGAGTATTTTCTTGATAGTTTTTTCTTCATTGATTGATCATGGACCAAGATTTTATTTATACAAGAAATATCACTTTCAATGAATCAATAAAACATGTTAGGAAGATGGATAAATCTCCATCTTATCTAAGGGGATTGGGTCAATGCTTATCAACAATAATGTATTGACTGTCTTAATCAGCACTATGCGTTAAACTCGAGGTTAAACTATACTATACTTTGTATTATATTGATTAAGAAAAATTACATTTATTATAACTCATTTCAGGATTCTTTCACATAGTCACGGTTGCAATTAGTAATTATACATAGGTCCTTATTCAAGAAAAAATTTACCTCGAAGACAATAATTCTGAAGTTATTTGGGACAATTTTTCTGAAAACTTCAACAATTTTATAATAGGAAAAGGTCATTTCATTTTTTTAATGAAATAAAACCGTATCGTTGCAACACTGTACTTATTTGTTGCATAATAAACGTGATACATAATTTGTTTTTACGATGATCACGAGTGGAGTGGACAATGTGTTTTGAATAAGCATTTACTAATTACCTTGCGTAAATAAACTACCTATATTTTGCAGTTAGTATTCATTTATTATTTTTCAAATAAGAAAACTGCAAACATTTTTCTTTTTGACCAAACACTGTTTTCTTCAATTCCCAATTTTTCTAACAATTCATTGGCCCATTCTAATCGCTTATAAGAATTGGAGCAAAATCATTTGATAACCCAACAGCAGGTATTAACCTTCTTGGTGGTCATTAGCACCATTAAAATGTTTGTTCATGATTACGCAGTAAAATGCGTGACAGAAGAAATGCGATAGTATAAACAATAATGCGATAACAAATCGTCAAGACGTATTGTTAAGATTTTTTAAAACTTACATCAAGGTCTAGTTGTATCGTTGGAGATAAGTTTAAATGTTGAGAAACAAGTTTAGAAATATCTAACTAGGGATTTTTTTGTTACAGGATGGTTCGGAACAAGACATTTCGTCACATTTATGCTCGCCTTGGGCATGGCAAATGCTTACGTCATGAGGACCAACATGTCCGTAGCTATAGTAGCTATGGTGAATCACACAGCTATAGCTATCGATGATAGGTCGGAGAGTGATGACGTCAGCGTGACTGAGTGCGGAGTGCTGATTAATCAAACATTGGTAAGTTCTTTTAACAAGTTGAAGCTTACGAACAGATAAATACAGAATTCTAAGTAGGTAGGTTTATCCGGATATAACTTTTCCTCAATTTACAGAAAATCGGGAAAAGTCGTATGCAATTTGAGGCACAAAAATCCTCTCTAATAAATCGAGAAAACTGTTTTTCGTTTACTAGTAAAAGCACATCCTATTACAGCATTCAATATCAATTTGTCCCGAGGTTATATGGAAATTTAATTTACATGGAAATTGAAAATCGGGTGTTTCATTAAACGCAAATCGAATCAGACGCAATAAGGTAGAGACAAGATTGAATTTACCTTTGCTAAATGTTTTTGGTTTAAATGTTTCTAGTTTTATTTGAGCCAGAATGAGCAAAATCTAATCCTTACACTTTCTCTATTGACTTTTAACAAAGATTACAAAAAAAAAGCTATAGGTGATTTGAATGGAAAGATCGTGTTTTGAAGAGCTCTGTGAAGTAGGCAAGCACAGTTGAAGTACAGAAGTTAAATTTTGCATAATCGTTTAGCGCTTCGTTAGTGCTTCAATGTGCTTCAATCCCCAAATTAGCAACCCTTGTATTTTCGGAGATATTTCGGTTTTTTGAAATCGCCTGCTCACTTCACACCCAGCAGGAACAAGCAAAGAACCAAGATTCAGTTGCAGATAAATGGTTAGTGCTTCGTTAGTGCTTCAATGTGCTTGAATCCCCAATCTAGCAACCCTCAAATTTTCAGAGATATTTCGAATCTTAGAAATTGCCTGCCTGATTACTTCACAGCAAGCAAGGGAAGCACCAACGTTCAGTTACAGATGAATGGTTAGTGCTTCAATGTGCTTCAATTCCTAAATAAGCAACCCCTATATTTTCAGAGAAATTCCGTTTTTCAGAAATCGCCTGCTTACTTCACATCCAGCAGGTACATGGAAAGCATCAACGTTCAGTTGTAGATGAATCGTTAATGCTTCGTTAGTGTTTCAGGATGCACCACCTCAACTTTTAACAACTCTTATACTTCCCGAGATATTTCGACTTTCTGCAAACGCCTGCGGATTTCATCCTACCAGGGCCGAGAACCGGGAATATGAATAGCGTAAACTCTGGTCTGAATTACTTATAAATATGATTAGAAGGTACTAATTGCTTCTTAATGCTTAGGCCGGTTCAGAGCTGGGCAGGGCTTTAGGGCTTTGTGCTTGTAAAAGTGCTTGAAGCACTTTGAGGACTTGAAAGGTTCAAGCCCTTTTATATATTTGTAATTGGGGCTTGCAAAGTCAATTACATCAGAAAAGTGCTTGGTAATTTGTAATTGAAAAAAAGTAATTCAAGCCCTTTCAATGAGCTTCAATTACTTTTAGAGGGCTTGAAGCACTTTGAAAGGGCTTGAAGCACTTTGAAGGGGCTTGAAGCACTTTAAAAGGGCTTGAAGCACTTTAAAAGGGCTTCAAGCACTTTAAAAGGGCTTGAAGCACTTTAAAAGAGCTTGAAGCACTCTGAAAGGAATTTGAACTGACCATCATTCAACCTATCCCCTACCTAAAAATTTTGGATCGACTCCAATTTCTTTTCTTTATTAATAATGGAGGTTTTGGGTTTGAGCTTAGAATTTAATGATTGTTCAAATAAATAATTAATTTATATAAGGTATCCTATTTAACTTCATCACTGGAATTTTTTCCACTTTTCCTCATTTAACAACTTGAAAACCACAAAATTGAATTACCATGTAGTACTCCAACTACCCCAAGTACCCCAGCCAGAACTTCATCTTAAAAAATAAAATAAAGTACTACTGCTACTTTGTAAAATTTAAAGTTCATTTCTATTTCTACTATACTAATTCAACTGATGAGTGTATGTGCGGTAGTTTTTGCAACTTTGAGAATTGTATCACAAATTCAAAGTACTTTAGGCACATTTCAAGAGCTTCAAGCACATTTAAAGAGCTTCAAAGCACTTTTTAAGGCACCCCAAGCACTTTTGAAAAGGGCTTGAAGCACAAGCCCTTTTCAAATAACTTTGAGGGCTTTGTGCTTGCCAAGCCCAAAGCACTTTGAGGGCTTTGTGCTTGTGAAGCACTTTTGAAAATAAAAAGGAATTTGTGCTTGGAATTGAAAGCACTTTGAGAAAGGGCTTAGGGCTTAGTGCTTCAAGCCCTTTCAGTTAGAGCTTTGCCCAGCTCTGGGCCGGTTTAATCATCTTCCGATAAAAGTATTCTGGTAACTATTTACAAGACAAATTTGCCAATAGATAATCCTATTGGTCGACGTATAACTGGACGACCAATACGATTATAGGTTACGTTTTTCATTCGTCAGATAATATACCTGATGGTTTATCAGTATATGAATAAACCAGGCCTTAGTTTCTCTTTTGACCGTCCGTTATATTCATCTTCTCACAAATGTTATAGATCAGCACTAGCAGTACACTCCTTCCCATCTTCTCAATTTGATATTTACCAACACTCCCAAATTTTGGAATCCTTTTTCGTGTATCTTCTGCAGGAGCGGATGGGGTAGGTCGGACCGGCCCTGGATTTCTCAAGCGTACCGGCCCTTTGCCTTTGAGCCGTAGAAAGCAAGAAAAATGTACCACGCCACAGCCACCACGCCCAAAGACGTTTATGGGTGGGTTTCTCAATAGCGAGTCACCTCCGTGTTGGTTTTAACTCCGGAATAAACGTGTTCAGTTGCAATTTTTACCCTGGAGTTATGCTTAACCCGGGGGTGACTCAAGGGTGACTCGCTATTGAGAAATCGGTCCTATGTTAAAGGGGGTGTGACCTAGAAATGGAAAGTTCTGGTGCAAAAAAATCTAAGAATGGATATTTAAACCGCATCTTGCTACGATGAACAGTTCTCGAGTCAGGGCGGTTTAAAGTTACGGATGCCTAGGTTATGTCGTCACACCGGCTTCGGAGGCACAGTATTATTAACACGTGTAAGAATTATCCAGAACGAAAATCAACGACCTCATTCGAGAGCGAATTGCAATCAAAGTATAGGGCACGATTTACTGACGACTGATTAACGAACAGAAGGCTGCGATTTCGGCGATTAACCGGTATAATGACACAAGCTCCGGTAAAATTCATCTTCATGATTCATAAGGGATACCGTGTATTTTGAATATAAGACTGCGAGTCATATTGGACTGCGGTTTTCACGAGAGATCTTACAGCACAGTCACATACCTATATGAGTGAAAAAAGGTGCTTTACACAAATAAGTATTGCATGCAAAATTTTTTCTACTACCAATCAAGTATGTGTAAAAATAGTGCATTAAAATATAAGTTTCATAAGACGTCATTTTATCGCACGAGCCGGAGGCGAGTTTTCTAAAGGGTGAGTGCGATCAAATGTCTTATGAAACGAATAGTTTATACTATTTTTTCTATTTTGGTATTGTTTAATTAGAAAAACAAATTTTTCTTGGAAATTTTATTTTCATATTTCCTAATTTCATATGTTTAGGTTGGTAACACTACATGCCAAATAAAAGAAATCTTCTATTTTAAAATCGCGAATGACAGTTCGATGACCATCAGTCAGCCAGTGTAACCAACCTCCGATAAGTAAAAAAGGAGTGTTACAAAGAGCTTCTTTTCGAAACTACTTTTAGTGTCGAAAAGACTTCGATTTCGATATGACACCAAAATAGAAAAAATATTTTTTCTACTACGGTGCGTAAAGTACTCACTTTGCGCACTATTCAAAAGGTGTAAAACAGTACTAGTGCGTGAAGTAATGTCAATGACAGATGTCGACACTGTCAATTTGCGTAAAGTGAAAATACTTTTAGTGGGTAAAGTATTTGTCTACATTTATTTTTTATACGTCATGTTTTATTGTTAGTAGAAAAAAAAGTGTATGTAATATGTGTGTAAAGCACCTTTTTTGGTTCACTTTACACTCTTGTTGCATCAATAGCTATTAGACATATACTTTACGAACTAGTGCGTGAAGTAATTTCCTTGAAAAATACTAAATTGACAGTGCCGAAATCTGTCATTGACAACACTTTACACGTGTAAAGTGGATTATTACGCACGCTAGTAGAAGAATACCTTTTTCAAGCCCAAAAGCTTCTTTTTTCTACGACTGCTCTAGAAAGCTATTAAAAACGCACTATTAACTTACCTGGAAAATCAATTATCCCGCACAGCACTTTTCACACGGTTTTGCGTGCGAAAAGTCCTTTTCACACGCTAAAATAAAAATGACACTTCTACTGAATTTTTGTTTTGCAAGTTACTCTGAGTGCATTCAACGTACGTACCAAAATGGTTCGTTGATTATAACTACAGTGGCTAAATAAACCTTTACATACAGTGGCGACAATAGAGGTCCCGCCGCCATCTTGTTCCCAACCTTTTGTTACTTTTAAATATTAATGTATAGGATTTAAATGGACATCTATCATAAAAAATTGAAATTGACGTATTTGATGACCATTATTAGGTCCATCAACTACGTTGTTTTCCATGATTTATGATGGATGTTCACCTAAATCCCATATATTCATATTTAAAAGTAACAAGAGGTTGGGAACAAGATGGCGGCGTTTCAATAGAAACATATGGGATTTTAGAACCAATCAAAAATAGGACAGCAATTGTCGCCACTGTGGTTATAACCCTAAATAATAATTTTTAACAAAAAAAAAAATAAATCTCAATGTGAATGTAGTTATTTCGCAGTCGTAGAAAAAGTATAGTGTGCAACGCGTGTGAAAAGTACTTTTCACACTCGTGCGGTTTGTGCCACTCGCCTGCGGCTCGTGTCACAAAACTTCCCCACGCGTGTGAAAAGTGCTATTTTCAACACTTGTTGCACAATATACTATTTCAGGGCCAAAAATAGCTTTCTAGTGCTTCAAAAACATTTGCACGCCAGAGGGGAAGTTACTAGTGATAACGGATAATAAGAGAATATACTAAATGAGTCCAATAACACAAAAAAATTATCGGACAGCAAGTCTTTTTTCAACTGAAAATAAATTATTCTGAACAAGAAAAAAATTGACAATAACAAAATATCCTAAATGAGATAATGATTTCTGCAACAACCTACTAGACACAGCAAGTTTGTTTATAATAACTTCGCTGTTGATTTTTTTTTAAAAATCTCTCTCTAAGGATTCTAAACACACCTCTGATAATGAATTCCTCAATCCTGTTCTTTATAGTGTATATTTCAGAATTGAGAAGCTTTGTTTACAAGATATTTGAATTACTGGAAGAATTAGAATTAGGCAATTCAATCCATCTGTCAGATAGGAAAACTCAATATGGCGTGGCGGCTAAGCAAGTTTGTTTTGAATGTGTTTTTATGCGTATTTCAAATTATTTCGGTTGCAACTTTGATTTTGATTATTTAATAAAATATTTGTTGACCTAAACTAATAAATCGGGCAGAATCTAGATATTTTTTTGTGTTTTTTGGCCCATGTGTGGCACAGTGGCCGCCACGCCATTTTGAAAGTCACGTGGTTTGGATTGCCTAATGTATTGATATATAATATACAGTATACAGGCTGTTTAAAATACTTATGCCGCCGGAAACGGAGAGAGATATCGATGGTGGCCTATGGTATTTTAGACACCCTGTATAGATAAGGATATGCGACACGCATTTTGGTATGACCAGCCAATCATGGACTGAGCGGTATGGTAGGACTAAAAAGTAGGGCTGGGCAACAAAAGTAAACTGGAACAGGTCCCTGTTCTTGATGATATAACAATTAAGAAGATAATATTATTGGAGCTAACATTTTTGGTGTGAGGTTTACAACAAGAACTTATAATTTTTTTTTATGAAGACGGCAGACGGCGGCCCAATTTTGGTGTCCAGCCCACCGGGCATTTGCCCGGTGTCCCGGCGGTCCCATCCGCCCCTGATCTTCTGGATCGATTCAAATTCCGAGACAAATTACGTCACTTTCTGTTCTTTGAAATAGTGACATTCAGGAGAAAGACGTTTATTTTTAAGAATAAATGTGTACATAACAATCAATAAAACAGTCAGTCACGTCGCAGCTATTCTGAATAAAATTAAGTATGGTAGGGCTGTTTGACAAAGTAGTTTTCTTGAAGATCGTTGTTCTGTAGAGCAGTTCAGCTCTTAACTGATTTAATTCTAGAGATTGCTCCATGCTCCATATTTCCAAAATTCCTTAAGGAAGAAAAAAAAAAAGGTAACTCACTTTGAGCAGTAACGAATTGTTGAACGCCATCACTCGAATCGCAGATAGCACTTGAGAAGCACTAGTGTATCGAAGATCGGAGAGACATGTGTTTTGAATCTAAACTTTTTCTTCATCCATATATGTCTACGCTTTGGGATTTTGGTGGGTGCTTCCAATGTTCCTGCTATGTGCGAATTAAGTAGGCAATTTCTAAAAACCGAACTGGAAATTCAAAAGTTGCTAATTTGGGGATTGAAGCACATTGAAGCACTAACCATTTATCTGTAACTTAACGTTGGTGCTTCCTTTATTCCTGCTGGGTGTGAAGTAAGCAGGCGATTTCAAAAATCCGAAATATCTCCAAGAATACAAGGGTTGCTAATTTGGAGATTGAAGCACATTGTAGCACTAACGAAGCACTAAACGATGACGTAAAATTCAACTTTTGTGCTTCAAGTGTTCCTGCCTACTTCACAGAGCCTGTTTTGAGAACAACACAATTTCCAAAGTATTTTCAAGTTGTTCACAGTGTTAAGCTGTTCACAGTCTTCGGTAGCTGAGAAATAGTTTCTTAAGCAGTCAAAAAGGTTGTGTAAGTGAGACTACTTTTCCGTAGTCAACAACACGAAACTTGCATTATTATTACAACACTTTCTATCAGAATGCTAAACTGGTCCTAAAACTGTATCAGCATGAACTGTCCGATTCATAACTGCGACAGTTATGATCGAGTTATACTGATCTCTTACTCTAGAGAAGTCAAATTCTTATTGACTCGAATTTTGACTAGGTTCTGACTAGTTTATGTAGCACTCTTTCCATCATGGTCCGGGAATAGCCTTCTGATATACTGGGCTTTTCCTACCTGGGCTCTTTTATTTATTAAGTCATCTTATTCCTTCCATCTTTTAATCCCATTGAAGCCAGTATTCCTTCTTCGTATGACTTAAACTGGACTTTTAATTATGACCATTCAGGTCGTTCTCTCTTGTCTATAGCCACAAACACTTATTTCCAGTTGTTTTTTGTCAGCACTTTGTTCTTTCTGGAAGTCTTTTTTTGACAATGTGTCTTTACGTAATGGCAATGTTTACCACCTTCAAAATACACCTGACATTCCATTCAAGTAAAACTAAACTGACTAAACTTTCTATTCCAGGATGATTCATCATCACCAGAAGCGGACGGTGAATTCATCTGGCAAACAGACGTCCAAGCTTACGTCTTATCGGCTTTCTTCTACGGTTACGTCATCACTCAAATACCTGCCGGAATTTTGGGAAAAACTTACGGCAACATCCGTTTTTTGGGAATAGGAATGCTGATCAATTCAGTCTTCGGCCTTCTGGTACCCATAGCAGCTGAAATGGGTTTGTGGTGGTTGTTGGCCGTCAGATTTATCCAAGGATTAGGAGAGGTAAGTAGCCACTGATTGGTGGCGTCTTTACAACGGCACAGATGCTTGGCAGCTTTGTGAAGACGCGCATCCGATCTGGTGGACGATGGATTCGGTGGCGAGGAATTAACGTTGCTTTGTCTTAAATCAATAATTGAAAAGATTACATATGGCCATGTTTTACTTTGGATGTCCTCTAGTACAATTCCAGATTTATTCACACGAAATGTTTGTATAGTACTTAGTATTTTGCCTTGAGGCCTAAGTTGGGGTTTGCATGTAAACGCATTGTAAATATTAGAATAATATTAAGCCTACTAAATACTTCAGCCTTTTACTTTAGAGTTAAAAATCCTTTGTTGAGATATCATTCAAGCTTAAGTTTAACATTGCCAAATTCTTCTTTGTTTCTGGTAACTGATAACCTTAAAAGAAAAATGAGAGATAGTTAAAAAAGTTATAGCCATATAGGGTACCTGGAAAGTAAGTTCTTGTAAATAGTCACAAATTATTTTTCTGAGTCAAATAAAAATGAAATTTGATGGTGATCAAAATATGTTGATGAAAAATGAAATTAGGATCTAATTGAAGAAATATAACGACAAAGCAGCGTTTTTATCCGGATAACGCCGGTTTTTTGAAATGTTCCTATTCTCGGGCAGGGTCCAATCGTCCCGTGCAGCCACGCCTTACTGGCTAAGTGGATCCCCCCTAATGAGAGGAGCCGAATGGGTTCATTTGTATACGCAGGTACTACTTAAAATACATAAATTGATTTTCCGACGTAGGTATAGGTATAATCGGTAATAGAACAATTTGGCTATAGTGAAAGAGAGTTCTAATAATACTTAGATATACATTTAAACCACAATTAATTCAACCATAACGTTTTTGTAAATATGTATAAATATGTCCTAAAAATCGTAAACTTCCTGTTGAATATAAGTCATTAAAATGCAAAGTCAATAACCAATTAAGAGGCGAACAACTTTACTGCTCAAATTATCAAACAAACTCCAGTTTAGTTTCGGTGAGAGAAAATCCATAGTCCAGGCAAATTTGAGAGTGTTGTAAGCTATTGTGGAGACTTTTGAGGGAGGACAACAATTCTTATAGCTAACTATTCGGGGACTGCATCTTAGAGACAAGACTGACTGACTAACATTTCTGGATCCTTTTACCTCCTAAACTATGTTGATCATTTGGCAGACCAATTCTGATTTCCAAACACCATTTTTTCTGGTCTTTCAGGGGCTCCATGATCAGTTTAAATTTAAAATGCCAGAATTTTTTTTTAATAGTGACACAACATCGCATTGAAACAACACCTTGCTGTCCAGGAATAAGGTATACTGATTACTTGATACAAAATCACCGGATTAATCATAAATACTTCTAACAAGTGGTATTTTTTAACCATCATCAATGTTAGACATAATAATTATTAGCAAATGATTGTTAAACAATATCGAAAAATGTTTACCAAACATTTTGTGAACCGAATATTATCTTTTTTCCAATACCTACTTTTTGAGGTCATTTCGTGACCCAAAATTGTAAAATAAATACATACAAACTTTCCTTAAAACCTGTTGCAAATCATTTAGAAAACAGTTTTCAAAAACAAACGTAGGTCTATGTATATGGGACAATTTTCGCAGAAAACATCCTCGTCCAAGGCCGTTACGCAACACACGAGACCGAATCGAAATTGCAAATGATTTTATTTGGAACAAACAATAAGCTAAAAATAGGAACTCAATTAAATGAACTAATTATCTGTTTTGTCTTTTTGATTATAGCCATTTAAGGAAACAGCTAATTGTCATCTAATTGTCTCTATACACTAATGATCAATTTTCGGAAAAAGAATTATTCTATAATCAAGGTTCTAATTGCTGAGGCGTAACCTTAGACCCAGTGGTTCGAAATCGACTAAGTTTAATGTAATGAATATGTGATTTAATGATTGCTGTAACAGAATTTCAAACCACTGTGGTTTATTCTTAGGTAATGGGGAGCTGAGTGATGAGCAAACGTTTGCCAAATTGCTTCGGAGATGGAAATGTTGAGAGATACTCCAAAGCTTTCCTCCATTACATATACAAACATGTATTGTATTTCACATTACGGATTATAGTTTAATGCCTTTAAGACAATTTTGTTTTTGTACAAAAATTTCCTACCAACTCATATTTACGAAGATTTCAAAATTCAAAGCTTAAAAGTCAACAAAATATAATGCGGCGTCTAAACAAGGAATTACGCTTATCTGAGTTCACTTTTACAGTAAAGATGAGCTTGTTAACCTATAATACATAAATACAAATTGTTATTTACATTAACATTATTAAAACGAATAATATTGATCTATTCTTTTGAGCTGTTATTTGTTGATTTATCCTACACAACGATTTTCTGGCAAGTTGAGTAGGTAATTTTTATTGCATCCACGTCTCAAGTCAGTCCAAAACATATAATTAATAAAAATTTTAAATGATTATCAGCATACTTAAATGGTTTGAATAAATTATTAACTGCCACCTATCTATGTGTAGGTGAAGGATTACAATTTTAAGTAATTTTAATAAAAAAACAGTAATTAAAATACATAATTGCCTTTTGACTGTCACGAAACGAAGAAAAAATGTTTATGAAAAAATATGGTAACTAAACTATAATTTGTATGATTATTGAAACTTTTGACCCTAATTAGTAAATTTTGAAAGTTTGAAGTCCCTCTGATTGCTTGAAGTATTTTTCAGAAGCTTTCAAGATGATTCAATAGAAATGTTTTATGAGTTTTTACATCTAAGTGAGAAAAAATTCATAATTCCATTTCTGAGACTGTGATCCACTCGCGGTTCGTTTTCTTTGTAGTCGGGAATGTGAGGTGCTGAATTCGACCACCTCTATACAAGTCGCGAACATCCACCTAAAAAACATGAAATCCTATGTAAAATGACCTGCCGGATTCGAATTCCTTGTTCGCCCTTTGATCCGGAATTGCGAAATGTGTCAAAACATGACATTTTTGAAAAAACTGAAAATTTCCATTGAAATAATTTTTTTTGAAAACTACTGCATAACTTTGTTAATTGATGTCCGATTGTTATGAATTTTGGATATGATATTTTTCAGTACTTCCCTGACATAGTTTCATAACAATAAAAAACATAGAACGTCACAAAAAAGCTACGTAATTTTTTTTTCGCCAGATGACACAAATATCGTCATTTTGCAGCGTTAAATGGTGAGTCGAGAAAACTTTTTTATCTTTAGAGATAGATACCAAGTATAAGCGAGAAAAATGTTGCCAATGGAGTAAAGAAACTTTTTTACTAAAACTGTTTTTCCATACGACGTTTAGTTTGAGGTGTATTCTTTTTTAAAAACCGAAGAAAATTGAATCGCCGCGTCTCAACTCTCGGCATTACCGGTGAGCGCGGTCTCAGGACGCGGTGCAGCGGATAAAGCGATCAGTGTATCAAAGAGAGTTAACACCACAGCCTTCTTCATATGTGCAAGAAAGATAACGCGACGACACCGACGGCAGAAGCGTTCCTTTTGAATTTCATTTTGTTTTTCTCCCGCTTATGTTTGTTATTGGAAAAGACATGAAGTTCCTACCTATCATAAGTCAAAATATCAATTTCAACGAGTGTATTTTGTGTCAATCAAGTAATTTGGAAACGGTACAGAGTGTCACAAAAGAAGCCGTACCTACGTTTCCTGTTTCAAGCATGTATTGTCATTGAGAAAGGCGATCGTTATTCCATAGCTCTTAAGGCCAATTTCATAATCAACTTAAAGTAAACTTTCCATTTGAAGTTGAAAAATCCTATCCTATAAAGTCTATTTAGCTAAAGTAACTTTTAATTCTCTATTATGAAATTGGCCGTTAGATACTATGCTGACAAAACAGAACTGTTTTTATCATAAATCCTGTTTATCACCCTAAATTCTAAATGTAGACGAGCTTATACCAGGAAAGCCTACAAGAAAAAACCTGAACCAGAAGAAGGTGCTTCAAAATGTACTAGTAAGCGAATTAAATCCTCTTATTCAAAGATTTGCATATTATGCAATAAAATTCGCCATAGTAGGGGTTTGAGAAGATTCAAGCAAATACTGACATTTGATAAGCAAAATGAAATATGGAACATGGCAAAAACAACCATCAACGTTTGCATTGAATTTAAGGATTTGGTAATAATTGTATTGACATGATTGCTCACGAATGTGCATATCAATCGTATCATAGTCTATGTTTCTTGAAACTATTCCAAAAATCAAAATCAGAAGTAAATTCCCTACAAGAATCTGAAGTACTTTCGTTTGGAACTATTTTTATTAAAATTCAATCTTATATAGAAAATGCCCTATTTGTAGAAAATAGGGTCTTCACAATACAAATCATCCTACATAGGGAAGCAAGAAAGCAAAGTTATGGAACGTTGAGTGAACTGCACAATATCCATCGTCAGAAGAGATTATCAATAACCTGCAAAGTCTTTTTAAGAGAACAATTATGGTTGTTCTCCGAGATGGAAAACTTTCAAGTTATCTTTGCTCTACTAAAATAATTATCAATAAATAAGACGCTGTAAGGAATTCAAGTTCTTCAAATTCTGACGCTGACGCCACATCTTTCAATGAAGGCCATTTTCCTTATAAACTATAATCAAATGTTTAATATTTAAGGGCGGATTACTGCAAATTGTGTGCAGCAAGACACTTTGACAATTACTGAAGAATGTGCATCCTTATATCATACCAAAGTCATTATACAACCTTTTTCGTGGATACTTACTGAGAAACTAGTGAAAAAGAGGCAAATTTTGACAAAGATTGAAAAGTTCTGTTGGAAGAGAAGCTTGAAGAAAAGGTTTTGGATATTTGTCAAGATTTATTATTTGTATTGATTGGAATGAAAACACCAAAACATGTGGAATTAGCCGTTTACTACAAAATTTTGAATTGAGCCTGATGCTTTGTTTTAAAAAAGAAGTCTTGTTGCTATTCTTTTTTTACTGACATTAATTGCATTCCCTAGAAATAGATTCCATATTGCATTGTGAAATAAATATTTTGATTGGGTAATGATAATATTGTTTTTTATACTTGTAAAAAAAATTATTATTAATATTTTTCCTATTCATATTGTTTCCCAACCCAACCAAACCCATAAATCCCCCATTCCCCTATACTCCCTACAATATTATAACAATATCGTAATGCGTTTCTTTGTTGCACGTATGAAGAAAGCTGTGGTGTTAACTCTCTCTGACACACTGATTCGCTGCACCGCGTCCTAAGATCGCGTTCACCGGCAATGCCGAGAGTTGAGACGCGGCGATTCAATTTTCTTCGGTTTTTAAAAAAGAATACACCTCAAACTAAACGTCGTATGGAAAAAAAGTTTTAGTAAAAAAGTTTCTTTACTCTATTGGCAACATTTTTCTCGCTTATACTAGGTATCTATCTCTAAAGATAAAAAAGTTTTCTCGACTCACCATTTAACGCTGCAAAATGACGATATTTGTGTCATCTGGCGAAAAAAAAATTACGCAGCTTTTTTGTGACGTTCTATGTTTTTTATTGTTATGAAACTATGTCAGGGAAGTACTGAAAAATATCATATACAAAATTCATAACAATCGGACATCAATTAACAAAGTTATGCACTAGTTTTCAAAAAAAATTATTTCAATGGAAATTTTCAGTTTTTTCAAAAATGTCTTGTTTTGACACATTTCGCAACTCTGGATCAAAGGGCGAACAAGAAATTCGAATCCGGCAGGTCATTTTACATAGGATTTCATGTTTTTTAGTTGGATGTTCGCGACTTGTATAGAGCATCTTTAAAAGGCTTCCTAGGAGGCGTCAGATTCCCAACTATTGATAAAAAGAGTCTGATCAATGATTTCTGAATGTTTGAAGCTCGTCTGATTGCTTGAAATATTTTTCAGAAGCTTGCAAGTGTGATTCAATAGAAATTTTACATGATATTTTTGTATTTAAGTGAAAAAACAAATCATAATTCCATTTCTGAGTATGAGATTCACTCAGCCCTCAGGGTGTGTTTTTTTTTTGATAAAAAGACCCTTCTCAATAAATCGTAAAAGTTTGAAGTCCCTGTGATTACTTGAAGTATTTTTCAGAAGCTTTCAACGGTGATTTAATAGAAATTTTACACATTTTTTTTTGCTTGTAAGTGAGAAAAAAATTCATAATTCGAGTTCTGAGCCTGAGATCCACTCGCGTTTTGTTTTGGTTGATAAGAAGACCCTACTTGAAAAATCCTGAAAGTTTGAAGTCCTTCTGATTGCTTGAAGTATTTTTCATAAGCCTTCAAAAGTGATTTAATAGAAATTTTACAAGATTTTTTTGCATCTTAACGAGAAAAAATTCACAATTCCATTTCTGAGCCTGTGATCTACTCGTGCTTTGTTTAGTTTGATAAAAAGATCCAAGTTAATAAATCCTGAAAGTTTGAAGTTCCTCTGATTGCTTGAAGCTTTCAAAGGTGATTTAATAGAGAGAAAAATAATAATTAGGAAATACATTGCAAGGGTTGTTGAAAAAAATATTCATTCATCCACCCCTAGGGCAAATTTGTTAGAAACACAATATTATAGTTAAAAAGTAATTAAATACATCATTATCAACTTTAAGGAAAAAACGACAAGAGGTCATTAGCAGCAAAGAGCGGAAATGTGTGGTGAAATGAGGTAACTGTTAAAATTTTCCAGTTTTATTTTATCAAATTTCATCATAATTTGAACAACCTTGAATCTCTACAATAAAAGGCCTGGAATTTGATCTAACATAAAATATTGTAAATATTAAATTTGGTTTGATTTATTGGACTTTCTATTTATTACTTTACTTTTTACTTCTATAGACTGTGTTTAAGAATAAACATTTACTTAATATGTAGATATATAAATCAATTTGAATTAGTTTACCATCCACAAAATCACAATTTTTTAACAGAATGGTATTAGTCTAGGAAAATTGTCGATTTTCAAAAAAAAAAAATTCCTACCCAAATGAATTTTTCAGGCATGATAGGGAGCAGATGGGTGATCATAAAACCGAAGATATCAAACATTCACCCCTCTGGCGTTTTGCGCTATAGGGGTTGAAAGTGCACCATTGGCGATTTCTTGGTACCTATTGATTTTACAAAAAAATGTTTCAAATAAAAGATGTGCAATATTATTTGATCTACAATGTTTATCTAAAGACTTTTACGATTAAGGGCCGTTTGTGATCGTAAGGGCCGTTTGAAATTTCATATTGAAAATAAAAAATTTTAACCAAGGTGAAAAAAATTTCTACAACACATACAACGTTTTTGCTTTATGAAGTTTTTACTCACCCCCTGCCGTTTTTCAATAGGGGTAGTTCACAGTTTTTTATTTTTTTGTCAAAAAAAAATTCTCAATAAAAGTTATTACATTTCCTACAATTTTTCCCTATAAACTTTTTCTGTAACTCACCCTCATTCAGCGTGGGGACACTTCCCTTTGGGAAATTTTAGTTTTTAGGGTTTTTTTTTATTCTTTTCTCGTCTCTAGTGCATATAAAAAGTTGCAATTAACATTGTCTTAGAAGGATTTTTTTTCCACCACCTTTTTGTTTTTAGGGGTAGTTTGCCTATTTTCAATTTTACAAAAAAAAAATTAGGAAGAAAAGTTGTTCAAAATAATAAAATGAACAAGTTTTCTTAATAATTTTTTTTTGTAAAGTTGAAAATAGGCAAACTACCCCTAAAAATAAAAAGGTGGTGGAAAAAAAAAACTTTGTTATGCAATGTTAATTGCAACTTTTTATATGCACTAAAGGCGAAAAAAGAAAAAAAAAACAATATATACCCCTAAAAACTAAAATTTCCCTAAGGGAAGTATCCCCCCGCTGAATGGGGGTGAGTTACAAAAAAAGTTTATAGGAAAAAATTGTAGGAAATGTAATATTATAAAACTTTTATCAAGAAATTTTTTTTGTAAAAAAATAAAAAAAACTTTAAACTACCCTTATTGAAAAACGGCAGGGGGTGAGTAAAAACTTCATAAAGCAAAAACGTTGTATGTATTGTAGAAAAAATTTTCTCGTTGGGTAAATTTTTTTATTTTCATTATAAAATTTCAAACGGCCCTTATGACCACAGACGGCCCTTAATCAAAAAAGTCTTCAGACAAACATTGTAGATCAAATAATCATAAATAATGTTGCACATCTTTTATTTGAAACATTTTTTTGTAAAATCAATAGGTACCAAGAAATCGCCAATGGCGCACTTTCAACCCCTATAGCGCAAAACGCCAGAGGGGTGAATGTTTGATATCTTCGGTTTTATGATCACCCACCCGCCCCCTATCATCCCTGAAAAATTCATTTGGGTAGGAATTTTTTTTTTGCAATTCATGTATTTTTCGACAATTTTCGTAGACTATATATTTTCACTCAAAATTAAGTACCTATATCTTTGACACACTTAGATAACAATACCTAGGTAGGTTTTAGTCAGGACATAAGGATTCAAATCCAGGATTAAGATTTCTAAATTATGAAATATAATCATAAAAAGCACATAACTGACGTTGAAATTTATCTTTTAAAATTGAACTTTAACACTTAGATAGAAAAGTTACGTCATAAAAATCACGTTGCATGATAAGTTCATTAAGAAAAAATGTAGGCTATTTGAATGTTTGGTTGTAATTCTATCCGGAAACCACTGGATCTAATTTAATCTGAATCATGAGGCAAATTTTTTGGCATTAGGCATTCAAAGGTAAATTATCAGATTTTATGGACAACTTGTCTGTAAAAACAACATAGCTAAAAGCAAATTATAAATGAAATGTGAATTTTGCGGTTTGAATTCTGGCCAAAAAATTGAGATCAATAGATATGACTTGCAAACTTAGGTATACAAACATTTGGAGGATTATCAAACGAATGTATGTACACTGATTTTCCAGATATTTTTAAAAACACACAAATTGGCATAAATAAAATATTTTTTTCTGGATCAGTAATCACATTATTTATATACCTATGTTGTGTTTTTGTTATTAAATGCATCATATTTATTAAAGAATATACATATACCTTCTTACCTATACATAAAAGAAACTATACCTATGTCATTAAATTCGTTTTGTTTTCGTCCTATTTTTTATATTTTATGAAAATAACAAACTAAAAAGCTTTTTTTTTTATTCTACAGGAGCTCAACTTGGTACAGTAATTTCCCTACCTCTGAGTGGTCTACTATCAGTTTCCGAATGGCGCTGGCCCGGTGTTTTCTACGTTTTCGGTGCAGTAGGAGCTATTTGGTGCATAGCTTTTCTTATTTGGATCAAGGAAGATCCAGAATCCAATAGGAAAATGGACCCTTTGGAGCGGGAATATATTCAGAAGTCTCTTGGAACGATTGTAGGATCAACTGTAAGGAATTGAGCAGTTTACATTTATTTCTTATCATTCTTGCAATAAGTAAATTGAAATTTTCCAAATTAGAAGTTATTGTTGCATCAAATTTCTATTTTGATGATATTTTGGTTCACAACTGCAAAATTATGGTCTCACAGTAATTTCAATAAATGTTCAAAATATTGAGTATTAACAAAGAATCTTCAATTCTCGTGACAAAAATATCATGACATTGCATTGTATGAATTTCGCTACTAACGGTTTCTCTCCTAAAATTCTCTATTTATAGAGGACCCATAAAAGATGTAGTCATTTTGAATATTTTACCTAAATAACCCTCTGGTAATTTTAATTTAGGTATTTATAAACTCCAACATATATACTAATTTAATAACAAATTTACAGTTTTGTAATTTTCTTTTAGAAATCACCACCAACTCCATGGTTAGAAATAGCAAAATCTTTACCATTCTGGGCTATATTGTTAGCCCACATGGGCTACAATTATGGTTACGAGACCCTGATGACTGAGCTGCCGACTTACATGAAGCAAGTTCTACATTTCAGTATTAAAGACGTAAGTATAGGAATAACGAAGATTGTTTCAGAAATAAGAAATAAACATTCCTTCCAACGAGGTAAAATATTAAATTTTTCATTATATTTATTACTTGATGCATAATTCATTACCATCTACTTGTTGGCTTGTCAAAAATTTAAATTCCACGAGCGCTTGTTGAATATTTCAAATAGGTATGTAAATTTATAATCGGATTTTTCAAATCTACTGCTCCATTTAAGTATATCTAATATACCATATGTAGGTACTAAGTAGGTATATTCATAGCTATCTTTTTTTGATTGCAGAAATAATTAGGATATAAACGAAAAAATGAAATATGTATAATAATATGTAAGTTTCGGTACTTGAGACTTCCTGTTTTGAGGTTGCTCAAGAATGGAACTTAAGAATGGAACTTCTTTACCATCAAATTTTCTGTTTCTTTATGTTATCAAAAATTGCGAAAATGCAAAATGTAGTCATTTACTAGAAAATTCGTAACTGAAAAAAGCATGTAAAAGACTGATTCGCGGTTTTCACTATTAGAAAAGGCACTTTCTCTACCACCCCCATATGAAAATTTCCATTTTTCATCATTTCTCAGATCTTTCTCAGTGTGTAGTAGGTCAAGAATGAAGTAGATATCAAGGGCGGTTCAAAAGGGGAGGTTGAGGGGGTAATTACCCCTCCCAGACAAAGTTTTTTAATACATTTATTAATTACAAGAACATTTCAATAAGAGACAAGTTTTACAAAATAAAGCATTTTTAAAGACGTTGTATAAATTAATTAGGCTCACCCAGTACCAAAGTTTGCCAGTACCAACATACCTACTCGTAACTATCGTAACTCATTAATAATAACTCAATCGCTTTGAGTTTTTAGTATTTTTTACATTGAATCATTAAGAAAAAGTACTCAAAATTTCAATTTTCCACTTACTTTAGTTTTTGAGTGAAAAAATTATTTGTGAGTCTTACTTTACAAAACATCATTATTTTCAAAAAATCGTAATTCCATTAATAATAACTCAATCGCTTTGAATTTTTAGTATTTTTTACATTGAATCATTAGGAAAAAGTCCTCAAAATTTCAACTCTCCACTCACTTTAGTTTTTGAGTGAAAAAATTGTTTGTAGAGTCTTATTTTACAAAACATCATTATTTTCAAAAAATCGTAATTCCATTAATAATAACTCAATCGCTTTGAATTTTTAGTATTTTTTACATTAAATCATTGGGAAAAAGTCCTCAAAATTTCAACTCTCCACTCACTTTAGTTTTTGAGTGAAAAAATTGTTTGTAGAGTCTTATTTTACAAAACATCATTATTTTCAAAAAATCCTAACTCCATTAATAATAACTCAATCGCTTTGAATTTTTAGTATTTTTTACATTGAATCATTAGGAAAAAGTCCTCAAAATTTCAACTTTCCACTCACTTTAGTTTTTGAGTGAAAAAATTGTTTGTAGAGTCTTATTTTACAAAACATCATTATTTTCAAAAAATCGTAACTCTATAAATAATAACTCAATCGCTTTGAATTTTTAGTATTTTTTACATTGAATCATTGGGAAAAAGTTCTCAAAATTTCAACTCTCCACTCACTTTAGTTTTTGAGTGAAAAAATTGTTTGTAGAGTCTTATTTTACAAAACATCATTATTTTCAAAAAATCGTAACTCCATTAATAATAACTCAATCGCTTTGAATTTTTAGTATTTTTTACATTGAATCATTGGGAAAAAGTCCTCAAAATTTCAACTCTCCACTCACTTTAGTTTTTGAGTGAAAAAATTGTTTGTAGAGTCTTATTTTACAAAACATCATTATTTTCAAAAAATCCTAACTCCATTAATAATAACTCAATCGCTTTGAATTTTTAGTATTTTTTACATTGAATCATTAGGAAAAAGTCCTCAAAATTTCAACTTTCCACTCACTTTAGTTTTTGAGTGAAAAAATTGTTTGTAGAGTCTTATTTTACAAAACATCATTATTTTCAAAAAATCCTAACTCCATTAATAATAACTCAATCGCTTTGAATTTTTAGTATTTTTTACATTGAATCATTAGGAAAAAGTCCTCAAAATTTCAATTTTCCACTCACTTTAGTTTTTGAGTGAAAAAATTGTTTGTAGAGTCTTATTTTACAAAACATCATTATTTTCAAAAAATCGTAACTCCATTAATAATAACTCAATCGCTTTGAATTTTTAGTATTTTTTACATTGAATCATTGGGAAAAAGTTCTCAAAATTTCAACTCTCCACTCACTTTAGTTTTTGAGTGAAAAAATTGTTTCTAGAGTCTTATTTTAAAAAACATCATTATTTTCAAAAAATCCTAACTCCATTAATAATAACTCAATCGCTTTGAATTTTTAGTATTTTTTACATTGAATCATTGGGAAAAAGTTCTCAAAATTTCAACTCTCCACTCACTTTAGTTTTTGAGTGAAAAAATTGTTTGTAGAGTCTTATTTTAAAAAACATCATTATTTTCAAAAAATCCTAACTCCATTAATAATAACTCAATCGCCTTGAATTTTTAGTATTTTTTACATTGAATCATTGGAAAAAAGTTCTCAAAATTTCAACTCTCCACTCACTTTAGTTTTTGAGTGAAAAAATTGTTTGTAGAGTCTTATTTTAAAAAACATCATTATTTTCAAAAAATCCTAACTCCATTAATAATAACTCAATCGCTTTGAATTTTTAGTATTTTTTACATTGAATCATTAGGAAAAAGTCCTCAAAATTTCAACTCTCCACTCACTTTAGTTTTTGAGTGAAAAAATTGTTTGTAGAGTCTTACTTTACAAAACATCATTATTTTCAAAAAATCGTAACTCCATTAATAATAACTCAATCGCTTTGAATTTTTAGTATTTTTTACATTGAATCATTAGGAAAAAGTCCTCAAAATTTCAACTCTCCACTCACTTTAGTTTTTGAGTGAAAAAATTGTTTGTAGAGTCTTATTTTAAAAAACATCATTATTTTCAAAAAATCCTAACTCCATTAATAATAACTCAATCGCTTTGAATTTTTAGTATTTTTTACATTGAATCATTGGGAAAAAGTTCTCAAAATTTCAACTCTCCACTCACTTTAGTTTTTGAGTGAAAAAATTGTTTGTAGAGTCTTATTTTAAAAAACATCATTATTTTCAAAAAATCCTAACTCCATTAATAATAACTCAATCGCTTTGAATTTTTAGTATTTTTTACATTGAATCATTAGGAAAAAGTCCTCAAAATTTCAACTCTCCACTCACTTTAGTTTTTGAGTGAAAAAATTGTTTGTAGAGTCTTACTTTACAAAACATCATTATTTTCAAAAAATCGTAACTCCATTAATAATAACTCAATCGCTTTGAATTTTTAGTATTTTTTACATTGAATCATTAGGAAAAAGTCCTCAAAATTTCAACTCTCCACTCACTTTAGTTTTTGAGTGAAAAAATTGTTTGTAGAGTCTTACTTTACAAAACATCATTATTTTCAAAAAATCGTAACTCCATTAATAATAACTCAATCGCTTTGAATTTTTAGTATTTTTTACATTGAATCATTAGGAAAAAGTCCTCAAAATTTCAACTCTCCACTCACTTTAGTTTTTGAGTGAAAAAATTGTTTGTAGAGTCTTACTTTACAAAACATCATTATTTTCAAAAAATCGTAACTCCATTAATAATAACTCAATCGCTTTGAATTTTTAGTATTTTTTACATTGAATCATTAGGAAAAAGTCCTCAAAATTTCAACTCTCCACTCACTTTAGTTTTTGAGTGAAAAAATTGTTTGTAGAGTCTTACTTTACAAAACATCATTATTTTCAAAAAATCGTAACTCCATTAATAATAACTCAATCGCTTTGAATTTTTAGTATTTTTTACATTGAATCATTAGGAAAAAGTCCTCAAAATTTCAACTCTCCACTCACTTTAGTTTTTCAGTGAAAAAATTGTTTGTAGAGTCTTACTTTACAAAACATCATTTTTTCAAAAAATCCTAACTCCATTAATAATAACTCAATCGCTTTGAATTTTTAGTATTTTTTACATTGAATCATTAGGAAAAAGTCCTCAAAATTTCAACTCTCCACTCACTTTAGTTTTTGAGTGAAAAAATTGTTTGTAGAGTCTTACTTTACAAAACATCATTATTTTCAAAAAATCGTAACTCCATTAATAATAACTCAATTGCTTTGAATTTTTAGTATTTTGATTAGGAAAAAGTCCTCAAAATTTCAACTTTCCACTCACTTTAGTTTTTGAGTGAAAAAATTGTTTGTATAGAGTCTTTACTTTACAAAACATCATTATTTTCAAAAAATCGTAACTCCATTAATAATAACTCAATCGCTTTGAATTTTTAGTATTTTTTACATTGAATCATTAGGAAAAAGTCCTCAAAATTTCAACTCTCCACTCACTTTAGTTTTTGAGTGAAAAAATTGTTTGTAGAGTCTTATTTTAAAAAACATCATTATTTTCAAAAAATCCTAACTCCATTAATAATAACTCAATCGCTTTGAATTTTTAGTATTTTTTACATTGAATCATTGGGAAAAAGTTCTCAAAATTTCAACTCTCCACTCACTTTAGTTTTTGAGTGAAAAAATTGTTTGTAGAGTCTTATTTTAAAAAACATCATTATTTTCAAAAAATCCTAACTCCATTAATAATAACTCAATCGCTTTGAATTTTTAGTATTTTTTACATTGAATCATTAGGAAAAAGTCCTCAAAATTTCAACTCTCCACTCACTTTAGTTTTTGAGTGAAAAAATTGTTTGTAGAGTCTTACTTTACAAAACATCATTATTTTCAAAAAATCGTAACTCCATTAATAATAACTCAATCGCTTTGAATTTTTAGTATTTTTTACATTGAATCATTAGGAAAAAGTCCTCAAAATTTCAACTCTCCACTCACTTTAGTTTTTGAGTGAAAAAATTGTTTGTAGAGTCTTACTTTACAAAACATCATTATTTTCAAAAAATCGTAACTCCATTAATAATAACTCAATCGCTTTGAATTTTTAGTATTTTTTACATTGAATCATTAGGAAAAAGTCCTCAAAATTTCAACTCTCCACTCACTTTAGTTTTTGAGTGAAAAAATTGTTTGTAGAGTCTTACTTTACAAAACATCATTATTTTCAAAAAATCGTAACTCCATTAATAATAACTCAATCGCTTTGAATTTTTAGTATTTTTTACATTGAATCATTAGGAAAAAGTCCTCAAAATTTCAACTCTCCACTCACTTTAGTTTTTGAGTGAAAAAATTGTTTGTAGAGTCTTACTTTACAAAACATCATTATTTTCAAAAAATCGTAACTCCATTAATAATAACTCAATCGCTTTGAATTTTTAGTATTTTTTACATTGAATCATTAGGAAAAAGTCCTCAAAATTTCAACTCTCCACTCACTTTAGTTTTTCAGTGAAAAAATTGTTTGTAGAGTCTTACTTTACAAAACATCATTATTTTCAAAAAATCCTAACTCCATTAATAATAACTCAATCGCTTTGAATTTTTAGTATTTTTTACATTGAATCATTAGGAAAAAGTCCTCAAAATTTCAACTCTCCACTCACTTTAGTTTTTGAGTGAAAAAATTGTTTGTAGAGTCTTACTTTACAAAACATCATTATTTTCAAAAAATCGTAACTCCATTAATAATAACTCAATTGCTTTGAATTTTTAGTATTTTGATTAGGAAAAAGTCCTCAAAATTTCAACTTTCCACTCACTTTAGTTTTTGAGTGAAAAAATTGTTTGTATAGAGTCTTTACTTTACAAAACATCATTATTTTCAAAAAATCGTAACTCCATTAATAATAACTCAATCGCTTTGAATTTTTAGTATTTTCTACATTGAATCATTAGGAAAAAGTCTTTAAAATTTCAACTCTCCACTCACTTTAGTTTTTGAGTGAAAAAATTGTTTGTAGAGTCTTACTTTACAAAACATCATTATTTTCAAAAAATTGTAACTACATTAATAATAACTCAATCGCTTTGAGTTTTTAGTATTTTTTACATTGAATCATTAGGAAAAAGTCCTCAAAATTTCAATTTTCCACTCACTTCAGTTTTTGAGTGGAACTTTACAAAACATCATTATTTTTAAAAATCGTAACTCCATTAATAATAACTCAATCGTTTTGAGTTTTAAGTATTTTTTACATATGATTTTTCCGTCATCCATTACCCCTTCTAGATAATCATAGACCGTCACTGGTAGGTATAGGAATCTTAAATAATTCAAGTTAACTTCAAATAAAAATAACAATTTTTCCATGTATTCTAAAGGTTATCAGGACATTGCTGACATAATTAAATGTGTAAACTATGGTTGAATGAAATAATATTTTCAAGAGCTTTACTAATTATTAGGACAAATTTGAAGATTTCAATGTCAAATGCTAGAACGCAACATTTATTTTCTAGAAATGTTACTTACCGTAATGCAATTTTATTAAATCTGTAATATCACTTTCCGCAATTAACTTATAATGATCGAAATCAATCAGTGATAATTTAATAAATGCATTAATTAGTGATTTGATTTTCCGATTTTACTATGGAGAAACCAATATAGCATCTAGGGTTTTTCAAAATGTATCAATATTTAATCAACGCTGAGTTTCTTCAAATCTGTAATCATTTCTAAAATCATTCACATTGTTGATTCATATGTGTAATGACTAAATATATTATCATCAATTCTAGCTAGTCAGTGATGTTTTATTGTATAATATAAAATTTCAAATAATTCCAGAATGGATTCCTTTCCGCATTACCTTACCTGGCTATGTGGTTGTTTTCTATCCTCGTAAGTCAGGTGGCTGATTGGATGTTGACCAAGCCATACTTCACCACTACCAAAGTTAGGAAAATTTTAAACGGAATCGGTAAGTAACAAATTAATAAATATAGCAAAATCTAACAAACAATCATTATTTTAGGTCAGTTTGGTCCAGCAGTAGCTCTATTCGCAGTAGCTTTCACTGGTTGCGATAAATGGCTCTCAGTTTCCCTCCTCACTGTTGGTGTTGGCTTGAATGGTGGTACCAATTCAGGTTTCAGAGTGAACCATTTGGATATTTCACCACAATTTGCTGGGATTCTCATGTCGTTTACCAACTGTATGGCTAATATTGTCGGTCTGATGGCTCCCATTTATGCCGGTTTTATGATTAAAGGCGCAGTGAGTAGTTTTTTTTTTTTAATTCACAACAGACGAATATCTGATTTTTTAATAAGCTTTATAACTGGTTTAAATTGATCTGAAGTGTTTGGTAACCATCAAAACTTTTTTATTGCAATTTATCCTAATTGGTTCATGTACTCTGATTCACTTACGTACGTTCAACGACATTCTTTAGCTATTTTTATGCCTATTATAATACTTCCTACGATAATTTAACATTGCCAAATTCTTTATAATAATTAATATCTTTTTGAATTTTATTTTAGTAACAAAGCAATTTTTCTTTTTATTTTAGCCCAGTATTGCCAAATGGAGGACAGTTTTTATTACAGCTTCAGCTGTGTACGCTTTTTGCTGTACATTCTATTTGATTTTTGCCTCAGGAGAAAGACAGCCATGGGACCGACCTCAAGAGGAAGAAAAAGACAAAGAACAAAAAGAGCCGATGGTGGCATAAAAGTGCTGTGAATTTTTTTTATGTTAGATAGCGGATAGAAGGGTATTGTTGATAAGATATTTTAGTTTAGGTACTAAAATCTTTTTATGCAACAGAGTTGAATAGTTTTAACTACAGATATTATGCGAATTTTATATGAATGAGAACCTTTTGTTTTGGAGGATTACTTCAAAATATGTTTGAGGCAATTAGGTATATAGAAATGGACTAATTAGGTAGTCCAAAATTTTTCGTTGTATAGAGGAGGGTCAAGCGTGTTTTTATTTATTAGGTTTTTGGTTTTAAATATAGATACATTTTAGTGTATATGTACATTATGATTTGTTAGATATAGGTGATTATAAATATTATGATTAGTAGTTATTTTTATTAATTTTATAATTTCCAAAAAAACGCGACAATCAAAAAATTGTCCGAAGGAACTACAACACTACAATCATGAAAGAATTGTTTCATAGACTAATTTTCCTTAAAAACCATTTGTTTTCCAAAAATATATTGGTTTATATTAATGATTTGATATGTAGGTACTAGCAAAATGTTTGGATATCAAAGAAGCATATCACGATGATGAAACAAAATATCTTTAAAAAAATATCGAGTTTGTTGAAGTCTAGGTAGGTACGTTTAATTTTCAATATAATGTAGTTGCAAATAGAGTTTTGAATGATAGAATAGAGTTATTTAAAAATTTCAACACATAATAAAGGATACTTATACAAAGCTACAAAATAAGGGGCTTAAAATCCCTCTATTATTAGACTAGACAATTTGTAACATTAATCTACTTAGCACAAAACCTGTATTTCTTATATTAAAAAAGATCCACAAAGTTTGTAGTTTTCATACAAAATTTAAACAGTTTTCCGTATAAACTGTAAAATGATTTTATGAATGATTTGGTTATATTATCCGTTCACAATCCGATGTCCACTGGTACCAGTAAAATTTATATCACCTTTCAATGCTATTTGATAGGGAAAGGTGATGAATGTACCTGCACCTGTGGACATCGGATTGTGAACAGGATATACTTAAATATTATTGTAAAATAATTATTTGAAATAAGCCCAGTTCTTATACTTAGGTCACCAAAAATAATAAAATATTTTTTTACCGAGTTATATTTCAATTGCTTCTCTTTGTTCCCTAAATCATTCTGAGTACATATCGCCCCTGTAGAGCAACAAGGGGCCATGAACCAATTACAAGGGGCCGATGTAATTTCGACCGGAATATGTACAGGTATTTGAAGGGGACATGTAAATTCGACCAGAGGTTTAAGGGTTCGATCTTATGTTACGAGTATTTTCGACCCAAAGGAGCAGGTAGGTATAATAAAATATAATGATAATGATGTATAAAAGCTTCTTTATTAAACTAAAATCAAAGACAAAATTGCTGTCGAGAAAAAGGAGAACGTGTACAACTCAAATAAGGGGAATATAGGCCCACTTTCCAGTCTATGAATGGTAAATAATTGATAAAAGTACTTCATACAGAAAGAAAATGTGCTATCCATGTATATAACATCAATTTTACACAAAGTGGTAATATTTGTATGGCAAGAAAATACAATGATATTTTCTGCTGAACTATTGATAAACAAAAAATTTTCACCCGTTGTCGTTTTTAGAGAATACATGTCAACTACAGTATGTACTTCATGAATATCTTTAGGCAGGGCTGGCAAGATCTTATGACGACTGTTATAGACATTTCTTCCGATAAGATTTATATCCATGGCCATCAATTCCTCTGGTAAATTTGTTGAAAGGACGATTTTTATAATCTTCGAAGGTTTTTCCGATATGTCTTCCTGGGCTTTTCTCTTGCATGAAGCTGTAACAATTTTTCTCTGCAAAGAACCCTCGGTCGAAATTACTTATGTCAATAAATGGGCCTCTTGCTTTGGGCAGGTAGACGAGGGGATTACCGGTCGAAATTACGCCCGCCGATTACAAGATTGTTGAGAAAACCAAGAATACCTTAAATAAAACTGCAATTTTGGAAATTATTATTTATTTGCAATTATTTGTACTTTTCCGGTCTACGTGAGTTTATCTATACGTGCTGCTTGTCGCCTTTTTACACAACATGAGTTGGGGTATAGAGATGTTATGGTGGTGATCTCAAAAGAGGTTCAGTTGGCCCCTTTTTGCTCTACAGAGGCGATATTTACATTAAAAGATGAGTGAATTATTGATTTTTGTATGTGTATTGGAAACTGTTTATACACTATAGTGTATCATTTTAACTGCACTATTCAGGGGCGTTCAGATTTCTCTGATATTGCAATTATAGTAGTTAGGTACTGGTTATTTTCTATGTTTAGATTAAGTTTCCTCTATGTCTTCTCTAATCTAAAGTTGTAAGATAAGTTTTAATCTTGTCAATTTCTCTTTGTATAAAAGATCTCGTAGTTCTAGTGGTATTTTTGTAACTTATCTTTGTATCTTATCTGGAAGGGATTCCACACTGAGAAAGCGTATTCAAAGATTTGTCACAGATTGTAAGGTCACATTGCTTGGTTCGTTCGTTTGGATTGTTTGGACCGATTCTTAAGACTGTACATTTAGACTTATTCAACTTCATTCCCCAATCTGTAGACTATTCTTCAAAATCTTCAACAGTTTTTAGGTCAGCCTTAAGCTGCTCTGCATGTACAGGGTGGCCCAAATTCGAGCCTCATCATTGGAATCTCGGAAACCGTAAGAAATACAGGGTCGGTTAAATTATGGCAAAGTTGCACAATTTTATGACCAATAGAATGCCGTTTTGAAATTAGAAAGATTCCGAATACTTCCGGAGATATACGGAAAAAACCAAAATTTTGTAAAATCGTTTTTATTTTTTCCCGGGCTTATTTGAAGAGCAATTTTAAAATTAAGGTCACTTCATCGTTGTCATTTTTTCCCCTCTAGGCGATGGTGCTACTAAATTTAAAATCCGACATTTCGTCTTCAGGCGGCCATCATGAACTTACTTTTTTTAAAAACGGACCTGGATTTTTTATTTGCGATTTTGTCATATTTGGGCATCCTAAAACCTATAATGTTTATAATTTGTCAATAACACAATAAAAAACGCAGGTCCGTATTTAAAAAAATAAATTGATGATGATTCCAGAGGAACGAAACGTTGGATTTTAAATTTAATACCGCCATCTTGTAGAGAAGAAAAAGTGACAGTGGGAATGTGGCATTAGTTTTTGAAAATATTTTTAAATAAAATCAGGAAAAAATCAATACTATACGAAAAAAACATGAGTTTCTCGTATTTTTCAAATTTGTTCGTGATTTCATTTGAAAAGATTTCGAAAAACTAATTTCACATTCTCATTGTCACTTTTTCTTCTCTACAAGATGGCCATATTAAATTTAAAATCCAACGTTTCGTTCCTCTGGAATCATCATCAATTTATTTTTTTCAAATACGGACCTGCTTTTTTTACTGTGGTATTGAAAAATTTTAAACAGTACCTATCGGTTTCAGGATGCCCAAAGATGACAAAATCGCAAATAAGATCTGAATGCCATAATATTTCTCAAACATCATATAAAAACTATGTGAAAAATTTAGAAAATCAACTGCATGATAGGCAATCTTTTTGGAGCTTTGTGAAATCAAAAAAAATATAATTTTCGTTATAATGTCTGCATTGCCACAAAAATCCATAAACTAGCTTAAAAAATAAATATTTATAAGATACAGTAATAAAAGTTTGATGATATTAAAGTAATTACAAAAATTAAAGCTAAAGTAAACTATACAAATTACATACTTGCACGTTTAATTTTCTTATTCATAAGGTGGCCATACAAACTTGAGTTTTTGAATTGGGATCTTTGAACTATTTCTGTAACAAGGTCCAGTGTTTTTTTTTAATGCAAACCAAATTAGACACTGTGTCAAACTATACCCCAAAGTATGATAAATATCGTAATCCATCTGGTAATATTCCATCCTTTCATCTTGATTTTTTTTTTTTTTAATTCACTTTAAAACAAAACATCCCAAATCCTAAACATATATGCATAAATGAAACCAATAGACCTAGTTTTCCTATTCTTTATTATTTACTCCCCGTGTTTACTTATGATAAAGTCCGTGACGTCAATACTTTTCAGTGCCAAACACCTCTCATTGCATAAATGAAGCAATGCCACAATTGCAATAGGAGGACTCAGCTCAACTGCCATTTTCTCAGGCAGTCTTTTATAAAGTTCCTTGTAGACAACTGCGAAATTTCTTGGCACCACTTTATCAGTCTCATTCTGAAATAATTTGTTAGAATATACATTAAAATTGCTTTAAAAATGTACTTACATATTCAGCAGATTGTGTTAATGTACACCACAACGCTTGTTTCAGTTTCTTCATGTCCATCTTTTTGGCCTTTGTTGCGTAATGCATATAGTCTTGTTGGATCTAAACAAACATAAATGTCACACGTTATGAACAATGAAGCAGCAAACCTGAATCCACTTACCAACTGTGGTGCGTCAATCAAATTTGCACCAGTGAAATTTTCTTCTGCCTGGAACCCAGACATATTATCGCCATTATCAGCACCATTCTCGAAGATATCATCTCCAAGATCTTCTCCCATATCATCATTAATAGGCTAAAAATATTGAGAGGAAGATATTAAATTTGAGTCCCTGAAAATTGTTCGAAAATAATTGTTCGAACAAAAAAATTCTTCGAAAGGAAAATTGTTCGAATGGAAAATTGTTCGAATGGAAAATTGTTCGAAAGAAAAATTGTTGGAATGGAAAATGGGCGCAGGTCAAAATATTATTGGCAACCAGTACACGTCTAATCAGTATTAAATGAACTGTAACGAAACTAACCAAAAATATGCAAACTAACCCGTCAATGTAATGCGTGCTAGTCCTTGTATGTTAATATTAAATTTAAAAAACCAAGCGCCTCCTATTGTCAAGCAGTACGCTTTTAGCCAGTATTAAACGAACTGTGACCAAAATAAACAAAAATATGCAAACTAGACCAAACTAACCCAAATTAACTCATCACCTAATGGGTGCTAGTCCTTGTATATTAATATTGAATTTAAAAAACCAAGAATTAAGAATCAGGGACAAATAGTAATAATTTAGGAATTGGGTAACTCCGGTCATAGATTCATTCACGATTCACAGTTAAACTATTGATTTTTCAGCAAAAAAACAATTTTCCGTTCGAACAATTTACTTTCGAACAAATTTCTTTCGAACAAATTTCTTTCGAACAATTATTTTCGAACAATTTTCCGTTCGAATAATTTCCTGTTCGAATAATTTTCAGTTCGAATAATTTTCCAATCGAACAATTTTCTTTCGATCAATTTTCTTGCAAACAATTATTTTCGAACAATTTTCCGTGGACGATTAAATTCAATTCCAAGTACAAATTTTGGAAAATATTTACCCTTTGTGGACAGTAATCGTTATCGTCTGGATTTTTGAAATTATAATCTGGCACATCATAGTGGCAATTTTCATTTTGTGATTTGTCTCTATTGGTTTTCTTAATTGGCTTCATGGTAGGGATATTAAGAAGGTACTCAATATTGTCTCTTAAATGTTCACATGATGACTCGTATATTGGCATTGTGACCCTGAGTGGAAAAAAACCTATAAAGTCAAAAATTGGAAAAAAATAATAACTCACTTGTCTTCATCTACTGCAAGACTTCTCTTTTTGAACGGCTTTTTAGTGGATTTAGAGTAGTCTTTTGGCGGTTTCAAATTGTCAAAGTCTATAGGAAAGTATTCAATTTTCTTTCTTTTTCGGCCTGGCTTGTTCTTTTCCTTGAGTTTTTCGTCATTTTTATCCATACCTAAAAATTAAAATGTATTATTATTCTCAATCCAAACATGATTGATTTGCTAACAAATTTCATACCGCTATAAATCAGTTTGGTTCTTCTGATACATTTCAATTTCCAATGGCTAGGACCAGCCCAAATCTGGTCGATTTTTCTTCCCGCACTAGTTTCATCCATACTGTTGAAAGTCCAAGCTGATTTATCGGAAAAAGTTGCTAAACTTTGTTCAATGGGTCTGAAATCAACAATGTGTTCAACCTCTCGATGTAATAGTTGATTGACCACTTCTTCTTCGCCCATATCGTCGTCATTCACTTAAAATTGAGTCAAGTAAAAAAAATGCATTATAAATTCTGAAACACTTACTAATATTATCACCTTGTTCCGCAAAAACATCATGGAAAGATCCATCCATTTCTGGTATTGGTACTCCATTATCATCCAGAACAACTTCATCCAATAAAGAGTTTTTTTTCTGTACACTAAAATTCAATAAATAATAAGCTGCTAATAAAAATTGGGATTCAAATATAATTTAAAGTTTTTGTACCATTAGTGTAAATTCACATGCTGTAATAAAACATATTCTTACTCATTATTTTCCTGATCAGGATCCCAGAAATCCACTCGAAAATCTTTAAATGCAGCGCAAGTGTCATAATTTTTCACAGATTTCACTGTGATTGGGAATTCTTTCGTCCAAGTTTCTGGTTTCGCTGATACATCGTTCCCTGGATTGAATGCCCAGGCACTCTCTTTACTCCTAAAAAATTTGGATAAACCAATCCAAAACTTAATTAATAACTTTGTATTACTTACGCAAACATAAACTTATATCCAGCTGGGTCCATTCTAACTTTGTTGGTGAATAGATTGGATGTAGCACTTAGAGTATTATCTGTCCTAGCAGAAAATGTAGCGGAATCTAATTTAGGCAGGGATTCCATAAAAGCTTTTTTATCAGTGTTGACAGTGCGTTTGTCTCCTGAAAGAACAAACTTTTTCTTTTTTGGTTCCTTCTTCTTTTTCTTTTGTGTTTCATTCGCTTGATCTTCACCATTGGGTCCATCACTGTTAGCTATTTAAATTAATTATTAATAATCATTAGCAATTCAACATTTAGAATATTTACATTCGTCATGTTGTTGGTTTGAGGCAAAATTTCTGGCAAAATTTCCAGCCATTTTCAATCCATCTGAATGTAAAGTATCTACTCTTATGCCGTACACTTTTGAAGCAACCTCCAAAGAACTTCCAGCAACTTTTAAAGCATCTGGATTGTTTTTGCTCGCTATTTGAGTTATAATGTCTATAATACGAAGATGCCAAGCATTTTTTGAATTTATTTTCTGGAAGATGAGTGAAATTAATAATGTAATACATATTAAAAAAAATTAAATTTTACATTTTCAGCATGTAGTTTAACAACAGTCTGCAACTGTGCTTGAAGGTCTTTGTCAGATAATGCTTGCACTGAATCATTCAGAGATGGCGACTCGGCACGAGGTATAGCTAATATGGACCGTCTTGTCGCTGCAGATTTTCTCCTTTCTTGCCGCTCAGCATCGTCATTGGTCTAAATCAAAAATATGATAGTTATGCATAATATCCAACATAATAAATAAAATTTTGGACTTACCTCATCCAGCAAACCATCCAGATTTCTGGGCCTCGCCAGAGGTGATAAATGCTGTCCGTTTGTATTTAGAAAGCTGACACGCCGATGGGATGGTCCTGGTACAGGTGTTGACGCCTGCAGCATGTTGTGTACAATTGTATCTGCAATTTAAGAACATTATTTTATTTTTATATACGAACGACATAGAACTTATAAGTAGGCAACTCATTTTAGCCTGTTTGATTTAAGTACATAATAAGTTGTATTATCATACTAGTGATGTAATAGGGTCATCAGGTATGAAACTCAGCAAAAAACTCATTTTTATTAAAAAAAACGAGCAATTTATAATTATTTATTATTTATCATTTATTTAAACACAAAACAAGTTTAGAATTAGAATGATGCTGATGAACAGCACCTGGGCTGTGTTTTGAACATTTTGAATATTTAAAGAAGTGCTTGCAGCTTTACTTGAAGTACTTGTTGCAGAAATAGGAGATATTTCCCAAAATTTTTAATGTAAGAAATGAAAACCATTTTGAATAGATAAAAAAAATCGGGGTCGTTACAGCACTTAGTAGTTATCCTACCATTGTTGTGGCAATAATTATTGCACACTTGTTACTGTAATAAAGCTCATAACTCACTAGTGATATAAATAACTATTGTATTAAAAAAAAATATACTTTTACACATTTTTAAACAGAATTGAACAGCAGTTCAATAGAACTAAACACGGTCTGTGGAAGAGGAAACATTTTCTGGAACAAATCGATATCATTATGTTAGTTGAAAAAATGGAGAATTAATGGATTTCTGATGGCTTGATACAACTAATGAAAATTACATGCTGTACATGAACTATACAGGGCTCTACAGAAATGGACAGGACTACTCTACCTTGCGAACATGTTGCTACTGTAGAAAGTATACAAATTTGGAGGCACCTGATGGCCCCTTTGAACATAATTAAACCAAAAACTAGAAAGGAGAATTATTGACCAAGTAAACTTTCGTTTAGCTTAAAAATTAATTACTGACTACTAAAAAAACCAGTTTGTATCCGCAGTGGCAGTGGATACATGTGGCCCCAGAAACATTGTGCCCTATATATCCATGTTGAATCAACGTGTTAATATAACTTACCAGAAACGTTATAAACACAAACAAAGGTCTACTATTCTATCACTTCACTACTAAAAACGGTATTTTGTGCTAAAAAGTAAAAACTTAAAGCCAAATTGTGCTTGCCCTTATAGAATTTGGACCAACAACAACAGAAATACGTTAATTCAAATTTGACATTGAGGTCGGTGACAATTGACAAAAGACATAAAATAGAGGCGTTTTCCGGTTCTCTTCGAGCGCTTTCCTTCATTCACCGATGGATCCATCGATTACTAGTCTATCTTTGTCTAGTTCATAGAAAATTGGAATGGCTGTCTCATAATGGTGGCAGTAGATGGATCCATTGACGAATAAAAGAAAGCGCCCTTTTTGTTTTAACACATTGTTTTAACATCACAATATTCCTTATTTCATACCTATGAGAAGCTCCGGGGCGTTACGCGCTTATTCTTTTCGACAAGTGTTTGTTGCACAAGAGTAGTACTCAAGCCGGAACTAAACCACGAAAGCACGAAAACCAGCGCATCTGTTCCTTTCAAATCGGGGCGACTAACACCGGAGCGAGTAGTTCTAGTGTTTCAAACTCTTGAAAGGAATGCAGCTACAATGGCTGCGTTCACCAGAAACGAGTGATAAACGCTTTGCGATTGTTCTGCTGTGCTAAACGCTACATTGAATTTGTGTTGAACTCAATGGTTGAAACGTGAAACCAAGCATGTTTTACCAACGGTCGCCATTTTTGCAAACATAATTTAAGAGTCATTATAATTTTCAACACTTTGTAATTTTGTATAAAGAGAGTTCGGAATAATACAAAGTGTCGACACTTTTTACACTGTTGACACTGTGGCGTTCTTTAATTGATAGTAAAAAAAATATAGTAAATTTGGTATACACTTTATTTGAGTTTAGAAATAACTTGGTACCCGAATGATGTCAAGATGGTGTGACACCTTTCACTCGGTACAAAATGATGGTGTATCCGGTGTTACACCGCCGATTAAACCTTCATCACGTGATATAACCCTGCACTCTGCACTACACGAACACCGCACTAAAATCCCATTCCGAACTCCAGGGCCGTAGCTAGAGTCAAATTTATAATAGGGCATCACAAATTTGACATAGGGCATACACTACTTGCCCCCCCCCTTATATTATAACTAAACAATCTGGTGGTAATAGCGCCGAAGGCAAATTTTTCAATAAATAACATATCTGGCAAGTGAACAAAATGGCGCTGATTCTCGCGCCGCCTTGTACCATTCGCACCAAGGATAATACACACTAATAGTGAAATCCATTGGTAAGTTCAATGTGCACTGAGTGCATTCGTGTCCTCTTCTACTAGCATGATATAAAAGAAAGTGATAGAAATACATGTTTTTTGCGATAATTTCACCAATGGTTTTCGTCATAACTACTACTACTATTACAGGATAGCTTATCATCATAAGGCCTGTGTACATCAAATCTCAAGCCCCCCACCACGTCAAAGAACCAGCGATTACGTAGGCAGCGTGTCGTTTCTCGCCTTGACGTTGGGTGTTTTCACCACAGGTTATAATCCCATGATAACATTTTTCATCATAAATGTATATTCTAAACTACGACCGCTGGCGCAAACAGCTCACGACGTAGTTGATGATGTCGTCAATAGTAGCTGCTTACGAACAGACCACTTTCTGACCTAACTTGAAGTAAAAATCTGAACAGTACGAAAAAAAATTATCTTTATCCTTATGTTTTACATGTTATTAGAAAAAGATGGGAATATACTCAGTGCACACTGATCGATAAATGAAAATCGAAAACTTCAACAGGTCAGAAAATGGTCAGTTCGTAAGCAGCTCGTGTTACACCATAATATGGACGTCACGATATCCATGCTCATACCGTTCCGCTCCGCGGAGTGCAACTAAATTTATCACCTTTCCCTATCAAATAGCATTGAAAGAAAAAACAAACTTTATGTTATACTTGACATAACGCTACTAACCATTTTGTAACCCGGTTAGTTTAAACCGGAGCAACGTGAAAAGGACTATAGGGAACTTGCACATTTTTTTTTTAATTTCAAAAATGTATTCTACTGCACTAAAGACATAGTCATGCCAAATATCAAGCATTAAAAATCAGCCGTTAATTTTTTATAAATATTTGAAGTTACGCTCGAAACATCGCCATATGAAACGACCGATTAGTGTGACGTCACTCGGCAGCAAAATTCTGTTGACAGTGACGAGCACTTCGCACTTCGAGCAGTAGATTTTTATGATGTAGATTATTAGGTGTGTTGTTATGTATGCCGTTTACAATATATTTGACATTGGCGAGGCAGTGGCGCGGCCTGATTATTACTGCCTTGTGACGTCACGACCCATAGAAACACGTTTTTGATCGCGTTATGAAAACTAGTTTCAAACAATAAAATTCACTCTGGTTTGTGATTTTTGCAGAAACAGACATATTTGTTATGATCAAACCATCAAACCCTTTAATTCTTTTCACGTGGCTCCGGTTTAACTAACTGGGTTACAAAACGGTTAGAGAAATGACATACCGTTTTCTAACCCGGTTACAAAGTGACGTGATGGATACCTACCACTCGAATTTGAGCGGTATGTTGCGGTTTGTTAAACCGGAGCCACCTGAAAAGGGTTTTTGGTCATTCGAATTTGACGGAACAAGAACGAACGGTCCGTGCGAGTTTTGAAGGCGATTCACTGCTCAAGTTTAACACGTGAATCTCGCAGAGAGCAATGCTCTGTTTTAAGCCAAATATGTGGATCCGTTTCGAATCGCTTTTTGATCAACCGGGTGCACCTTTGGTGCACAAATCGAAAGCGCTATCAAACGTTTCAACTTCTTGACAGTGACAGATGACAAGAGCCTAGTTCTTTAACTTTAACCTCAAAATTTCAAAAAAACATTGTTGAGTTTTATACACGCTGCACATGTAAAATTGTTAAATGGGAAACTTTTCGATAAACAAACCCGAAAAATGTCGTTTTTTATAAAAGGAAAACAATCTGGCGGAGTCAAAAGGGGTCAGGCCCCGAACCGCAAAGCCAAGAAACGGAAACCCGACTCGAGAGCATCGAAAAATGAAGAAATAACCAGCAGTGAAGACGAAGATTTAATTGAGGACAAAGTTGAGGATTTCAGTGCTTCCGAGGACGAAAACGAGACTGCTCAAGAGAAAAAAGTTCGTCTAGCTAAAGTGTACCTTGAAGAAATCGAACGGGAAGAAAAGGCGCGCCTCGAAAAAGAGGAAATAGATCAAAGTGTTATATCTAAAAGACTCAAAGAAGACTATCTTAAGGAAACTGGTAAACTAAGATTAACTGTAGCAGATAAATATAAACAGCAAATAGACTTAAATACCATTAAAACCCTCAAGTGTAAACATCAGAGAAACAGTTTAACTTGTTCATGTATTTCAAGCGATAATGAGTTTTTATTCAGTGGAAGCAAAGATGGAGTTGTAATAAAATACTCTCTAAAAACTTTTTTAAAAGTTGGACACATACCTTTTGTCCAGAATAACAATACTAAGGACCTAATAGGGCACTCAAGTGAAATTTTGAGCTTGGCCATATCAACAGACAATAAATATTTAGCAGTAGGTGACAAAATAGGAAATGTTCACATTTGGGATCCAAATACATTGAAACATATTAAAACACTTACTGGACATAAAAATTCAATTTACGGTTTATGTTTTAAAAAAGAATCCCACACACTATATTCTTGTAGCAAAGATAAAACAATAAAAGTTTGGAGTTTGGATGAAATGGCTTACGTAGAGACACTATTTGGACATCAGGACATAGTGGCTTCAATTGATACACTTTATAGAGACAGGGTGGTCACTTCAGGAGGTCATGATTTAAGAGTTTGGAAAATCACTGAAGAAACTCAATTAATTTATAATGGACATTTGGGTAATATTGATAATGTTAGACTCATCAATGAAGAACATTTTGTATCTGCAGGAGACGATGGACAAATTTGCATTTGGAGTGTCATGAGAAAAAAACCTTTACAATGCATTGAAAGTGCACATGGAAAAGAGTTATTGAACGAGCAACCCAGATGGATAACTGCCGTAGCAGCCCTAATGAATACAGATTTAATCGCCTCTGGTTCATATGACGGCTATGTCAGGCTATGGAAACTTGAAGATACATTTAAAAAATCCAAGGAAATATCCAAAATTCCTGTCGATGGAATTGTTAATGCTTTGTGTTTTACTTCTGATGGATTAAAGCTTTTAGTCTCAGTCAGTCGAGATTACAGATTGGGCAGATGGAACACAGTTAAAACTGCTAAAAATTGTATACTTGTTATACCTTTTATTATTTCTAGTTGATTGTTACAGTTGAATAAACCTTTTTCCTGGAACAAGTAGTTTTTGTTTGTCAATATTAAAAAATTTAAAATGTTTAAAATATACAGCTAAAAATCTTGTTGATACATGAATGAGCTGCTTTCGGGTGCCACCCTTTGAGCGCTCCTGAGTTACTCCAAAGTAGTCCGGCTACAGTTTGACCCGTTCAGTTTCGAGCGTTCGAGTGCAAAACGTATGGAGTATGACAGGTCACTGACAAGTGTTCTAGGAGCACCCTAAAGCGGCTAGTTGAAGGTTCAATTAACTGGCCTTATGTGTCCAGCCAGCCTTGCGTTCGGTATTTTGCTCAAAGAGCAGACCGTGCATCGAGTACACTTTTTAAATAAACGAACGGTAAATTCAAGCTCGGAGAACTCAGATCAAATTACCGAACGCACGGCAGGTAAAAGAGAGCGAGCTTAGAGCCGCTTTTCAGCTGACCAGTTTGAGGACGCAATCGCGCTTTTACGCGTGCAAATGCTTCAAGCGCGTGTTCGTGTTCCAGCCGTACTGCGCTTCGAAAGCTGCTAACTTTTGCGTTTCAAACACAGAACACTACTCTGTGCTGCACCGTGTTTGAAGCACAAACACGTCAGTGGAATGCGGCTTTCTGGGTAGGTACTCGATTGTAACGCGAAAGAGAACACTCTGAGTGCTAGAACGAACAGGATCTTATCGTTTCGAGCGCGTTCAGAGTTTACAGAGTGTGAAGCCGAACTTAGCAACTGGGCATTCGGTATTTTCGTTTATATAAAAAGGGTCCTCGGTGCACGCTCATTCGCATTCGATGATTAAAATATCTAGTGCTCTGATACAGCGTTAAATTGCTCTGTGCGCTTACTGGTCACGTGATTACGGCTCCGCTTCAGCACGCTCTGCTCTTTGAGCAAAATACCGAACGCAAGTTCAGTGAGCAGGCGGCAAGCTATGAAATGAGAGTAAGAACCAAAGAAAAAAATTATTGATTTATATCAAAAACTCACTGAACTGTTATTGATGCCGTGAACGAGATCAATGAAATACGAAATCGCTTATATCTGGAGGAGGTATTGGTAATTTGTTGGCAACACTGTAGGTACTGAGTATCATCAACACAACAAATAGTAAATAGTGGAAAGGATTAAAAGGAAAGAGATAAAGGTTTTACAAAAACAAAATGATAAGCGATAACTTAAATTTAAAATTCAAATCAAATGTAATTAGGTGATAAAATGCTTAACTTATCGGTAAATACAATCGGACAAGCAAAAGTCAACACTTGGCTGATTACGTCCTAATTCTAACCTTGCTTTGTCATTTCATTCCACATTACATTCAGCAGACAGTGAGTTTTGGCTGATCTCAGGACTCAGAATCTTTAATTTTATTTTGCCAATCAGTTCAAATAAATATGGGCTCGAAAATTAACGGGTTTGCCAAAAAAATGGCCAATCAATTGAAATCCAAAGAGTTTCGAGAATACTTGATGAGGTAAGCAAAAATCATTTTCGAAAAGCTGATTTTCCAAAACAATTTTCGTAGCACGCACTTTTGGGGTCCAGTCGCCAATTGGGGCATACCTCTAGCAGCTATAGCGGACTTCAAAAAGGACCCCAAGTTTATCAGTGGCAAGATGACAGTTGGTAAATATCTATTGAATTATTCTATAACAGATTACATAATAATTTTGAACAGAGTTTGGAGCAAGGTTAAGTTTATTATTTGAATGCGATTACTCAACTATTTTTGAGGTTTTTTCATGTACAATTTGGGATTTAATAATTAAAGACTTTATTTTAACAATAGGTTTGCTCCTGCAGAAATCACAACCAAGTCAGAGCGAATTTCATTGATTGAAAACAGTCAGAAAACAAATTTCAACCAATGAAATTCATTCCGACTGGTTTGTGATTTCTGCAGAAACAGACCTAATATTAATGTGACTGGACTCTGGACTTAAATTTGAAGAATGTTTTTGCTTTGAACAAGGTCTGCTTGTCTAAAGTTCCTTAGAACTGTTCCTGATTTAAGTTTCAAATATTTTAAGCCATAGTTTCTTGAAAAGCTTAATTACCTATTTGTTATAATTTTCCTAGAAACTGATGTTTAACTGAAGGGCTTGGCATCAATTTGAGATCTTAACTTTTTAAAAAGTGTGTTGGAATGTTTTCTTGAGAATTTGGATCTTAAATTTGAACTGAACCCTTTGGGGAACTTTGGAACAATCATTATAGGGCTTCTAAAGGAACTATACTCTATTCAGAGGGCTCAGACAACTCACAAGTTGAAGATGCTTGACACCAATTTGAGATCTCAACTCTTTAAAAAGTGTGTTGGAATGTCTTTGTGAGAATTTGGATCGCAAATGAGCTGAGCCTGAGGCTGAGCCCTTTGGGGAACTTGTGGAACAATTTTCCTAAAAATTAGCCTTTAGCGAGGTCTTTAGTTTCAAATGTAAGGGGTTTGTAGTCCCTCTCTTTATTTTTTTTTTGGCGAAAATTTGTGTATTTGATATATGTATAGTACCTTTATTTTTATGTATTAAAACCTTACATTGATAACTACAGAAGTATCAAGGAGCGCTTAAGAACATTTGGAAGATTTATTATTACTCTTAGAACATCCTAGCATTAAAAAAACATGAAGAACCCAATTAAAACCTTTGAAAAGCATTTTGAATAGCTTCAGAATGCGCCAATGCCAAGTTAGAACATTTTAAAGCATTTTTAGATGCTCTAGACACTCTAGAGCAATTTAGAACTTTGTTAACCTTCAAAAGATGTTCAATTCAAATTCTCAATTCTCCTGCATTTATTCGAGACAAATTGCAAGACAAATTGGAATCTCTAAGAACATTGTAAAACATTATAGAACACTTTAGAAACAATTTAGAATTCGAGAGACATTCTAAAATAGACCAGAGCACTTCTGAATTTGCGGCAACAGTTTAGAAAGCATTTGGAACACTCTAGAACACTTTACAAATCATATGCAAACAATCTAGAACTGGAAACTCTTGGAATATCCTAAAAATCGTCACATGACACTTTAGAACTAACCTAAAACTTCCATGAACATATTAGAATACTGTAAAACATGTCTCAACTTATTAAGAATTTCAATTAGAACAACCAAAAGGCGTTTAAAAATATTTGAGATATTTCTGATAACTGCTAGAACATTCTAACGCTTCAAGAGCATTAAGCAACCAATTGGAAACTTAAGAAAGCATTTTGAAAAGCTTCAGAATGCGCTCTACACCATTTCAACCTCAATTTCAGAAAAAATAACTTTTATTTAGGAAAATGTAAAGTCATTTTCGGAAAAAATCGAATTAATTTCAGAAAAAGTAGAGTTAATTTCGGAAAAAGTAAATTCAAATTCGGAATAAGAAAATTCTAATTTGATTTCAAATTTGAATTTACTTTTTCCGAAATTAACTTTACTTTTTCTGAAATTAAATTGATTTTTTCCGAAAATAACTTACATTTTCCTAAATAAAAGTTACTTTTTCCGAAATTGAGGTTGAAATGGTGTAGAACACTTAGAAGGTTCAGCGAGGGGCATTTCACTGAAGTTTTTTTGTACATATATTGTGCAATACCCAGGTATTGCAGAGTATTGTGAGAGTATTGTGGACTATTTGCAACCTATTGCCCAATGATTCTAGATATTGCAAACCATTGCGAGTATTGTGAACTATTGCAAGTTTTTGCAGTACATAGATATTCCCTATTTCTTCAAACTTTTATATTTTTCTTTCATATTATTCAAATATTTATGATTTAAATCAAATGGATGAGATCATCAGTTTCATCTTTTTCAGGCCATCTAAATTGGCATACGTTCAATTTTAGAAACTTCACTTTGCTTTTCTGGTTGTCTGTATGCAGTACTTTTGCGATGTACCACGCAGTATCATAACATAATATACCTACTTCATAGTAATATTTAAGTCGAATATATAGTCTTCCTCCTTCATCATTTATTACTCCTACATAATGGAGCTTTAATTTTCGAATAAATTTTCACTTGTGTGAATATCAGAGTTGTCTGTTTTCTCAGCAAAAACACAACATAGAGTTAACTTTCTTACTGCCTTTGACTTTCTGTTTTTTAAATGTATTTTTAAAAACCTTCTATTGTTCATATCTGTTACCTAAGCATTGTAATCTTTAACATTAAAAGCTACCCTGTTCATATAATTTTCAAGAGAGTTGAGCTCCTCTGGTTCTTTGTCTGCCATCTCGACGTCATTAGTCTGAATAGTCTCAGATGAGTCAGTCGAATTGAGTTCATCTTTGTTAAAATTGGCGTCAAGTTGAGTTCATCTTTGTTGAAATTGACGTCAAGTTCAGAGTTAATTATTGTTTATGGGATAGTATGTCCATCAAAACAGTTAACTGTATAATCTTGGATATTGTCTATTTCTAACATCTGAAGAACAGCGACGCAAACACGAGATCAAAAAGAGGGACGGTAGAAAGAAGCGATAGAACAGGGTCCTCATTCTTGAAACAGGGAAGCAACGTTCACAGGAGAACGAGTGTTTCGTCTTTCTTAATGATATGCGAATGATAATATGAGTATAAGTAACAAAGACGGAACACTCATTCTCCTGGAAACGCTGCTCCCCTGGATCAAGAATAAAGGCCCAGAGGAAAAGACAATCCCGCCCTTATATTTTACAGTTATTCCATTTTCCTACACTCGTATGTTAAAGTTATAATAAAGTGCAATAAAAATTGAAATCCGTATTCAAATTTATACCCCACGAGTGATAGACACTGATGTATAGCTTTCGGTATAGCGATAGTTGAATAATGCGCATGCCATGTGCATTTGTTTTCCAATGCAAAAATTAAATATATAGCATGCTACTGCAAAAATATTCCATATACCTAACTTATCAAATATGAGAAAATCACACACTAAAATACAACAATCTTAGAGATAATTTCGAGGATAATTTCAAGGATTTTCATCGACAAGAGTATAAAAATTAAAGTGAAGAACTACTGGAAACCTATTGCAAGCTATTGTGATAGTATTTTCGATTATTGTAATGATATTGTCAACTATTGCAAGCATATTGTAGACTATTGTGAGAGTATTGCAGGCTATTGTGAGAGTATTGTAGATAATTGCTATAGTTTTGTGGAACATTGCGAATTATTGTAGACTACTGCAATACTATACCGAAATTTGTACATATATTATGGCCAGTGAAATACCCCTCGAGGTTCAGAAGACTTTCAATTAAATTTTCAATACTCCTGCATTTGTTGGAGACAAACTGGAACATTCAAGAACATTGTAAAACGCTACAGAACACTTCTGGACTTTTAGGAACGTTTAAGAAAACTTGAGATACTTGAAAGTTTAGGTCCAGATCCATTTTAAAATTTCCAGAAGTATTTTGGAACGCTCTAGAACACTCTACAGATTACAAATCATACGGAATTTTTGGATGCAAACTAAAACTGGAAACTTTCAAAATATCTAAAAAATCGTTACATGATGACACTTTAGAACTAACTTAAAACTTTCATGAACATATTAGAACACTCTTCTATATATTTTAATTGGATTTTTCTGTGAATTTATGTGGAAATACCCATCAAAAATCCATCCATAAATCAAAGTAGGGAAAATTGCTTGCCAACCCTGGTTTTAAGGTTTTTGAGCCCCTTGGGCACATTATTAGATCCTTAAGGAGCTTAATGAGTTAATGAGTATGTAAATTGTCTTGTGGCATGCTCAAGTTAATGGCTCAAAATTCTCAAGAAAATCTTCCAATTAATGTTTTTTTTTATACACTAATCAACATGTTTTGTATTTCAGCCCTTTGCCTATACTCTGCGATGTTCATGAGATTCGCCTGGAAAGTCCAACCTAGAAACATGCTTTTGTTCGCCTGCCATTTTACTAATGAGGGCGCCCAATTAGTGCAACTAACTAGATTTGTTCAGTTCAATTATTTTGAAAAAAAAGATGTGCAGAGCTAGTAGAACTGTTGAAATTTGTTAGTAGAACAGGTAAAGGTTATTGGATCTGTAGGTAATTTTATATTATATTTTATACAATTTTACTAAAAATTTATACTTGTAAATATATGGTTTTTATGGTCAAATACTGTCACATGGACATAGATACTGAAAACAAATGAGAATAGGCAAATATTACTATTTGTCCTATGTATTTGAATATTTCTTTTTACTTTATTATTTTTTTAGCTTTAGGCAAGATGTTCAAATGTTTGTTTTGGAAAGTAATTATTATTATTGCTTTTCATTCCAAGTACATGCTTATATAATTTTTTTTTATTTAATTGTTATCTTTACTAAAAACAGTACAGAGTACAGAGAAAAGTTTTCTCAATGGGCTAAAAAATGTTACCTTATTATATACCTCAATTATATACATGTTTTTGTGCAATTTCAAGTTTGTAATGTGTTTCTCAACTTGATTGGATTATTTATTATGTGCAATATTTATCATTATTAGAATAATGTAAATAAATGTATAGGAAATATTTATTTTATATATTGGGCACAAGAAATTTCTTACCATACAAAAACAACCTACCACTATAAATAATTTAATTTTTTTATGTATAAATCATATTATGTATTTGTATATAATTTCAAGGGTAAGTTACCCAAAGTAGATTTTATTAAATTAATATTTTAAACAAGAAAAGCTTGTTATCATAATGTATCTGCATTTAAAAACTCTTTTCTTATTATAAATTTTTAAAATTATTGTTTTAAAAGTAGTAAGTAGTAGAAATTTTTACTCGAGCACATTTAGGCTAGATTCTTCACTTTTTAAATCAAATATACATTGTAATTTAGTGAGATTTTGATCTACCTAACAATATGCTCAAATATATACTGTGTTAGAGTATACAATTGAAATCAGGGGACATTAGTAGTTTTTAGTCAGTCAACAAATCTTTGTTCCTTATTGTAAAGAATCTTGAAATAATGTAGTTCAGGAGTCCCTTATTGGACCAAAGCCAAAATAATTTTAGAAAAAAAAAGATTGGTGTTTTAAACAATCACTTCCACTATTTTTTAGTTATTATTTCATTGTTGTTTATTAATAAATACATATTTTATTTAATCAGCTTTGTTTGATTTTTACATGCTGTTTCTCTTTTCTGTAGGCAATACAAAGGTGAAGAATGCAATGTAGTCATGTAATTTGTCCAATAGCAGGCGGTAAAATCGATGAAGCTGGCTGCGTTTAAAAATCTGTTTTTCTCGCATGTGTTTTGAAAACTGTCTATTCTGGAGCTCTTTGTCCATTTTTGAACGGGTTGATACTTGGTGCTGATACTGCCTTTCCAGGGCGTTCCGTGAGCAAACATTTCTGTTGCTCAGAAAGTGGATTGCCCACGAAGATAGTTTTGGTTTTGTACAAAGATTTCTCTGATATTGCAATTATAGTGGTTACTGGTTATCTTGTATGTTTTGATTAAGTGTCCTCTATGTCTTCTATACTTTAAAGTTGTTAGTTTTAGTTTCGTCAATGTTTCTGTGTATGGAAGATCTTGTAGTTCTGGTATTATTGTAACTCGTTTTTGTATCTTGTCTTGAACTTCTATATTTTTGACAGAGTAGGGATTCCACATTGAGAAAGCGTATTCAAGTTTTGGTCATATGCATTGACCTTTGGCTTTTTTGTCAATCTTTAAAATATTGCTCACCCATTTCAGGTATGAAGTTATCATGACTCCTAGGTCATTTTGATTTGTCACAGATTGTTAATGTCACCATTGTTTAGTTTATATTCTTCGTTTGGACCAATTCGTAAGACTGTACGTTTGGAATCATTTCGTAAGACTGTACATTTGGAATCATTCAACTTAATTCCCCAATAATCTGTAGACCATTCTTCAATAGTTTTTAGGTAAGCCCTTAGCTGCCCTGCATGTACTAGCGGATTTGTATAAAGCTTTCCATCATCTGCTAAGTTTTTCATTTTACATTCAATAAAACTGACAAAATCAAACAAATACTATCACGTGAAAAGCAAAGGGTCCATGACCAAACTTTGGACAACTCCGTTACTAACAAGATGTTGATGTGACAGTAGCACACCATTTACTCTTAACTTGATAAAAACTCTCATACCGTATAGGTCGTCTATTACTACATGGAGTGAACCTCTCATTCCAAAGTGATTCAACTTTCCTAGAAGTAGATTTTGTAGGACTAGAACTTTTTCGAATGACTTTTCATAATCGAAATAGATCACATTATCTGTGGGTTGAGAATTTATCATGGTCGTCTTGAAGACATTCAAGTAAATTTGTTATTGTAGAATGTTAAGAGAGAAATTCTATTCTCTGGATTTTTGGACTATACTCACAAGCTTTTGACTGCATGCATAATTTCATACTTTTGGATAAATGTTGCCATTTCAAAAGTCTAGTCTAATAATCTATTTTGCTCAAATCAACGATATTGAAGATAAAACTAAGTTACTGTTTTTTTTTCAATTCTTATGGTGAAATAATTGGTAGAATAGAAAAATAGAAGGTCACTTGCATCTTTCGTCAAACTTTTACTGATTGGTTTTGATTTTTTTTAGAGAGCAGGAAGGTTTATCGAAATGTTGCAGTATAAAGGACAAACTTGCCGCAAAAACAATTAATTTTAAACTATACCTCATTTTAGCAATTCATCCTGTTAAACGATAAATTATATGAAAATCTCTGGTCGAAATTATGTTAATAGAAACAATAAACCATTGTCGATTAAAGGGAACGGTTTTGGCCTAAAGCATTTGTAATTGAAATGCAGTTGAAGAATAAAAAAGGCGTTGGGTGACCATGCACTATAATACAATTATATTTTCGTAATGTCTAATTTGTTAACACAAATTAGCAATACCTACTGCTAAAAACTGAATTGATTTTTTGTATAATAAAGTCGAAAAACATGAATTATTTACTCTCTAAAATGCATTTTTACCCCTGGTAAATTTACGGAAATTGCTACAATTTCAATAGTTCAATGCCTTGGTAGCAAACAATAATGTATTTATTGGTGATGAAATTAATTGAAAGTAGAGCATTTTTGCTTGGTTGATTTGTTTTGTTTGATAAGGCTTTTTTTTACAGAAACATTCTTTTTGCAGTGTTCATGGGCAAATTAAGAAAATTTTCATAAAATTTGATTAAGGAAATCTACCAGGGTTCAAGTGTAGCAATACCTATACCTATACCTACTCTTTGAGACAATCTCGAAATAGACTCTGACCTGTAACTTTTTATCAGTTGATGATTCAGGCTCATAGAACTTCAGATAGTGACATATTTAGGTGCCTCATTTTCGCATACTAGCCTCGAAGAGGGTTGGAAAGTACATCGATTTTGAGTAGAATGAAGGTATTATTTCATGGGTGGCTCCTGGGGATAACATATGGAAAATTTGATTTTCCATAACAGAAAATGAAAGACGTCCCCCCAGGCGCCCATATTTTCCCGCAAGCCGTGTTCATCAAAGGATTAATTAATTAAATCTGGCTTCGTGAAAACAAAGAAGGGGGTATTGCAGATGGCTAAAGGTTTGAAATAAGAGCGTAATCTTGTAGGGAAAAATCGAGATTTTGGGCGATTTTTCCACACAAGCCCATGGGAAAGATGAAAATCTACAAAGTTAGTAGCAAGAAAACATATTGGCTTGAGTGTCGCGAATGGAAAAGTACATTTTAGGGTAACATAAGTAAAATCGAATTTTCCATATGTTATCCCCAGGAGTCACTCGTGAGAATACCTTCATCCTACTCAAAATCCATGTACTTTTCAATCCTATTCGAGGCTTGATGTATGCGAAAATTGAGCACCTAAATATGTCACTATCTGACGCGGTCTATCAGTTCTTTTGAAGAAAAAAGTATACTATACCTACCTACTGCGAATCATTATTGGGAGTGGTTGAAAATTCCGATTTTTCAACAAGATCAAATCTTTCCTAGGTACCTACCTGCCTAAAAATTGTAATCTAATTCTAAGCATTTAATTTCTTCCTTCAGATACAATTAAAACGTGTAAATGTCCGATTTTAATGAACTTACAACAATTATTGTTTAATATCTGCTTGATCTGTTCGATCCAACTGGATTGTGTAATTCGGTCAAGAAGATAATTTTTCTTTATTTAAAAAATTATTTCTTACTCAAAATCCCATTCTAAATGATTGTTCTTTAATACGCTCGTAATTTATTATAGTATAGGTAGTACCTATCCAATTAGATTCAGCGTTAATTGTTAAGTAATAATTGATCCTGACACAGATAAACGCCTAATTAATATCGATCCGTGAAGTATTAGTACCCTTATGAGGAAATATCTGTTATTAGTTTGGTTTGGTACCGATTTTTTTTCTTCTGTGAGTTCGCGGACTGTTTCGTTTTAGAGAGGTCAACTTGAACGGACGAAAAAAAAAATGTAAACACCACCATTTGATATAAAAGAATTAATATAAAGCGTCGTTTTGCTAGTTAGTGTTTAAAAATGCACCTGCCTAGTCCGTTATTGTTTTTATCCTTGGTGGTTGGTTGTTTTTCGTCACAATTTACGGATTACCCGTTTTCGTTCGGGAAGTATTCACCAGATCGCGGCAATGATTCTGAACTTTATTCTCCTGGTGTTTTTTCGCCCGAATTGTTCGACTATCAACGACTTACGGAAGAAGTTGATTATGTGCTGAAACGCTATCGAAACTATGTGATACCGGGCAATAATGAGCAGTATTACTATGCTTCTAAGCATACAGATTCTGATCCTTGTTTGGGTAAGAATTAATCAGAGGATTTCTCAAAAAGTATATCTTCTATTTCTAAAAATGCTTGTTAAGAACAAAAACTTCTTCACTTGATCATGATCCTGTTGGTAACAAGAACAAGATAGAGATTTCTATAGTTTCCCTGTGTTGATTTCCAGCCACGATCTTGATAATCATGTGAGACAAATGCATAGATTATCGTGATCCTTGAAAGTTTTTTTTCAAAAGAATCCAGAACAATAATTTTGAAGCAAACCAGTGAGAGTCTCTCAAATGTGTTTTTAAAGGCATCCATAATTTTGTGATCTTGTTCGCTCTATACCATCTTTTTTAAAGCTTTTCAAATTAGTAACTGTTCTAATATTACCAGGTAGATTCCAACACCAACAATCTCAGAGTTTTAGAACTGCAATAGTAGGTATAGTTTTTCCAAAGTCAATTGGAACAAGGTGAACATAAATCTTAACTGGTGGCTGACTATAGTGACAGTGTATTTCTTATGGAAATTTCCAGTGACCAGTCAGCCACCAGTTGGTACCTTGTTCCAATTGAGTCTGGAAATACTATAACGCCTATCGTATTATTTGGGATTTGAGGTTTGCAAAATGTAAATTCAGTCATTTTGTTACTGTTGAACGGAACTTGAGAATTTCATTTGCGATCTTTTTTGGAGAAAAGTAATCGATTTTATCTTCCTTCCACTATATAAGTTTGTTTTTATTATAAATATCCCCATCATCCTCATCATTTTCGTGTTTTTCATTTAAAGTTTTTTTAGAATTACCTACACAAGGGAAGTTCAAGACTCGTGATGTTTTTCCTTCTCAGACAGTACACAGACATCTTGAAGATTTCGCAGCGTCTTTCAGACGTCTGCGTAAAGACGTCTTCAAGATCAGTATTTCATTATTATTATATTCATTTTATAACTTTCAATTTTTGTCTATTCCAAACGCTAGGCTCTCTGAAATAATTCTGAGGTTTTAAATTGTTCTGAAGCCTTTCAAAATGCTGCTCGAAAGTGTTTTGAAACGTTCTAAATGGCGTAGGTATATTGAAGTTCTAAACTGTTCTAACTTGGCTCAGAGAGTTCTGAAGCATTCTAGAAGTTTTTCAGTAATTTTTAAATTGTTCCAACAGATTTTTTAGTATTTTAGAGCCCTATTGATGCTCCAAAGTGTTCTAAATTAGTTCAATGGTTCCGGAAGCTTTCCAGTTCTATCCCAATTGTTCCAAAATAACTTTGAAGTTTCTAAATTATTGTTCCCAAATGCACCTGAAAATTCTGATTTAGATCTGAACTGTTTTGGATGCTCATTGCAGGTTCAAAGTTTTACAACAATTTAAATTGGCTCTGAACGTTTTGTTATTTTTAACCTGAATCGTAAGATTCTGGGGCTTTTCAACATGTTTCTGGGAAGTCTAAAATGTTTGGGTGTTTTGGAGCTTCCTAAAATGGGGTTTCAATTATTCTAACATGCTTTTCGAAATTGTAAATCGGTTTTGGGTCATTCTAAAATGGTTCTGAATAGGGTTTCATCAAGACGAGATATTTTGACTTGAACGTAATTTCTTGACTTGACTTAAAATTCAAGATCAAGAAATCAAACATGTCTTGACTCGATGGATTCTTGAACGCAAAAGTCTTAACTTGAATTCAAGATATCTTGAAATTTTTCTACCTTTATTTTTCGCCGCTTCAATAGTTTCGCAGCTGCAAAGCTTCAAAGTCTTTTGACTAAGATTTTTGTCAAGATGAGGAAGCAGAAGTAAATTTTAAAATTTTTACCTAAATTTCGATCTTTTCTCTATCTACTTGAAAAATTTCAATCCAATCCCTCGGACATTTTCTTAAAAAAAAAAAAACGTCCCTCAATGTAATTTTTTGGAAATTTGAACTTTCCCAGAACGACATCAACACACATTTTGCCTCACAATTTTGTTAATTTCAATCCGATCTTAATGTAATTAGACTTTAATTAAAGCCAATTAAATTCTCTGCAATTCCCCACTGAATAATTGCAATCCAGCTTCAATAGTTTTATAGCTGTAAAGCTTCAAAGTCTGCAGAAGAAAATTTAAAATTTTTTACCTAAATTTCGATCTTTCCTTTATCCAATTGCAAAGTTTCAATCCATACCCTCAAACATTTTCCTCAAAAAATAGTACATTATACACCTAGGGACTAAAGTGGTACTTTTAATCCCGAGACAAAAAGTTATAATTTGTCGAGGGATTAAAAAACACTTTAGTCCTGAGGTGTATACACTATTTTATGCACTTCACTTTATTTCCCGGGGATTAAATAAAACAGGGAAAAAAAGGGTACTTTTAATCCCCGGGAAATAAAGTAAAAATTTAATCCCCGCGAAATAAAGTGAAATTTAATCCCGGGGGGATTAAAAGACCCACTTTACTCCCTTAAAACAAGGATTAAAAGTACATAAAATATGCCTCAATGTAATTTTTTGGGAATTTGAACTTTCCTAAAATGACACCAGGCTGGGACGAATGGAAATATTTTCTCTATCTCTATTGACGTCTCCTCTCTATTGATTTTGAGAAGGCATCAGAAGAAGACAGCAAGTGCCATAGCGATAGGGATAACGATCTCTATCCGTTACAGAATTCCAGCCCAGCATACATTTCGTCTCACAACTTTATTAATTTCAATCCGATCTCAACGTAATTAACTTTTAATTAAAGCCAATTAAATTCTCTACGAATCTCCAGTGAATAATTTCAATACAGCTTCAATAGTTTTGCACCTGCAAAGCTTCAAAGTCTTTTGACTATAATCATCTGGAGTTCAAACGAACACTTTGGTCCGTAGCTGGAGTGAGAAAGTCGAATTTCACTATGTGTACTTCCGCGACTTCATTCTATTGGAAGGGTTAGTGCACACTGAGTGTATTCGTGTCTTTTTCTATCAGCTTCTATAGGAACGAGATACCCTCATACATATGGGAATATGGGATCCCGATTATAGCCGAAGGCTATTGTCTGTAACTTGTATTTCAATATACTATTACAGCCACTTAGAAAACTGTTAATTTCAAGAAATTCAAGAATTTCTTGGTTTCTAGACGAGAAATGAAATAGGGAATCTTGACTTGTCTTGAAAACAGTTTCAGATTTCTTGACTTGAAATTTTCTTGAATTCAAGTCAAGATCAAGTCAAGAAGAAGAAATTTCTTGAACATCGTAAAAACCTAGTTCTGAAGTTTCCAAAATTGTTCTGAAGCGCTACAGAATACTTTTGGAAATTCTGAAATGAATTTTAAGTGTTCTGAACTCTCCAAAAGGCTTATTAAAGTTCTAAAGTGTTCTGTAGCATTCTCTAAATGGTTTCCAGTAACTTCTGAATTGAATGAGAAAAGAATTCTATCGAAAATTTTTAGACGAAGACGCCTTGCTTACGTTTTTAAGGCGTCTGGAAGGCGTCGTTGTGTTACAAATTTCAACGTCTTTCAGACGTCTGCGTAAACACATCTTTGGGACGAAGACATTCTGGAGACGTTTTCAACGAGATGTCCTAAAGAGACGTACGTACCTACGTCTTTGAATCTTTTTTCAATACCATTATCCACTTTTAGGCCTGGTTGTACCAAATAAGGTACCTACATACTTAGTTGTCTTTAAGAGGTGAATTCACAACATCTTATGGACGTCTTAATTTTGTATCCTTAAGAAATTTAATTAAAAAATAAATAAAAACAACGTCTTCTAGACGCTTTTTTGGTCTTCAGACGTTTAGACATAATGCAGACCTGAAATAAACATCTTTGGGTCTTTGTGTGTTGTCTGGGTTATTCCATTATGTTCCCATCCAGAGCTTGGACTGCAAAAAAAATAGCCTATATGTATATAAAATTGATCACAAATGCTGCGAAAAATTAAACATGCATGCAAAAGATATGAAAAATTAAACAATAAGTCTAAATAATTTGAATGAAACAATAAGCAAACAATCACCTTGATAATGTACATAATTTTAATTGTTAAACAATTCAAGGCCTCCACAAATATAAATACGAAACGTACCTACTTCAAATTTAGCTGCTCAAGAATAATCAACAAAGACAGCCACAAAGTAAATTTTTGGTAACCTCGTTATGAAAAAAAACCTTGAAAAGATCGATAAGGGGTGACTAGCAGTGGGCTTCCTATACCTAACTGTTACCTATAAAATCATTCATAAATAAATAAATTTAATAACAACAATTCATAACTGCATTTTGAGTTTTTTATTAAACAAAATAATAGAGATATTGCCCCACCTATCTAATAAGGCATGAAACCACAAAGATTTAGCTTTGTAGTTCAAGTTCATATAATTTGGTTAACCAAGATAAATTGAATATTTATGCAATGAAGCCTTAGTTATCAATATTTTTATTTTACACTTGAAAAAAAAAAAAATGTTGATTATAATATAATGTACTTATGATCAATGTTACAAACATACTTCAATAGGTATTGAAATTATTTTTTCAGGCAATGAAGAATACGATTTTATCATAGCCGGTACAGGAACAGCCGGAGGAGTCCTGGCTAATCGACTTACCGAAGAAAATTACAAAGTGCTGGCCCTTGAAGCAGGCGAAGAAGCACCCACTTTATCCAATATGTTTGGAATGAATGTCTATCTTCATAATTCTGGATTGAATTGGGGATATACAACCACTCCTCAACATCATGGCTGTTTAGGTATGCAAAATATACTCATACTGATGAGAAATGATTTTCTATTCATTATTATAACATGAGACTATTCTTAAGGTTCTCGAAATAACAGCTGCATGTACCCGAGAGGGCGCGTTCTAGGAGGCAGCAGCGTCATAAACTTTGGAATGTACGTCAGAGGCAACCGTTTAGACTACGACAAATGGGAAGCGCTAGGAAATCCTGGCTGGAGTTACGAAGATGTTTTGCCCTACTTCAAAAAACCTGAACATGCCACTTTCACTGGAATTATTGACGAAGATTATCATGGATTCGATGGGCCTCAACGAGTGGGAATTCCTGATGATATTCCAATAATGGTAAGGAATTGATCTTTCTTCATCAAAATCCAACACAACTAGAAAAATTTACTTAATCTGATTTAGTCTGAAGCTATAATTGAAGCCCACAAAGAAATAGGAAAACGTGAACTAGACTACAACGGAGCAGACCAAGACGGTGTCAGCAGATTGCAGTTCTTTCTAGACAGAAATGTCAGAGCCAGCACAGCACACGCGTTTTTGAATCCCATCCGAGACCGCAAAAATCTCATAATAAGTACTCGATCGTACGTTTCCAAAGTGCTGATTGCTGACAAAACAGCTTACGGAGTCGAATACGTAAGAGACGGACATAAATGTGTGGCAACGGCCAGAAAAGAAGTGATTGTTTCTGCTGGATCGATAAATTCGCCTCAAATTCTTATGTTGTCTGGAATTGGACCGGCAGAGGAGCTTCTCAAGCATGGAATTGACATAATTGAAGATTTGCCTGTTGGAAAAAACATGCAAGATCATTTATTTTTCCCTGGTGTATTTTACAGGTATAATGATTGTTTTGTGGTTAGTCATTTTTCATCATCATATTTTTTCCAGATTTAATCATAAGTGGTACGACATGACCATCCAAGAACACGTAAAATTGTGGACTGAAAATAAACGTCCTTTAACTCCAAGTCTTGGACAAACGGCTATAAGTTTCTTCAATTTTGAAGGTCCGGAGGACAGCCAACCAGAAATTGAATTATTCTTTTTTGGACCTCCTTTAGTCACATCTGATTTAGCTGTGATTTTTAAGTAATGAGTTTTTCGAAAATTGAAACAATTAATACCTATTGAATTTTAGTTTTGATGACGCACATATTGATGCTTTCGGAGCCCTCAACGGGCTCACAGATCTTTGTATAAACATCGAACTTTTACATCCAAGATCCAGAGGGAAGGTGACATTAAAATCCAAAGATCCGCGTGATTTTCCTTTGGTCGATCCAAATTATTTTTCGGATCTCGAAGGCGGAGACATTGAAAATATGTATTTGGGAATTGTGGCTGCGCTGCAGCTGAATAATACCGAAGCGTTCAAGAAAGCACAAGCTGAACTGCTGGTTATTCCGTTTCCACGTTGCGATTATAAATATGAGCAGTTGTCGAAGGAATGGTGGTATTGTGCTTTGAGGAGTATAGCTACAACAGTAAGTGAATTGTTTATTTGATTGTCTAATGTTTTTATCGATTACGCATGCACTTTATTCTCATTCTGGTATTTCCCTTATTATGGAATTAGTGAAAGATCTTTCCAATTTTCAAATCTCGAGTCAGAAATACAGAGGATTGAAGCTAATGGCGATTATTTCAACCAACGACACATTCCAGACATATATATGCAGGCAGATCATTTTGTGATGAGTTCTTCAAAGGACATTCCACTAGAAAAAAAAATCACAAATATCAGCAGTTTCTTATTGACCAAATACATTTGAAACATTTTACACAGGTTCATTCAAAGCATACAGTGGCGGATACAGTGGTAGGGGGGAGCGAAAAAAGCTGAAAGCATGCAAAATTTCACATTTCTGACATTCAAATTTCGTTTCTGACCATGGTTTCTAAAAACTCAGCCAAAACTGTATACCTTTGGTATTTAAAGTTTTCTTCTACCTGTGAAGGTAAAGTCTGTAGGTGGGGTTTCAATATATAAAAAAACACCCTGTACAAATAAGTGGATTAATGCGGAACTTATAGGTGGACCTCTGCGGGACGAGCGCAGCGAGTTCCGCAGCCATCTACTCACCAATATACCATTGAACTGTTCAAATAAGACACTTACCTGAAACGTGTAGTTTTTGAACTAATGAGAAATTATCAACTGAGTGAATCAGGTTAGTAGGTATTATTTTTCCACAATATATTGGTGAATAGATGGCTGGGTCCACCCATAAGTTCCGCAACAATCCACTCGTTTGTACTTGAATAACTTGTCACAATATATTACTAGTTTGGTAAAGTAACAACTAATTCCTGTTAGTACACATTGCGTGCCATGGTCATATAGGGAAAACTTCCCCGGGGGCCAAGACACGTCACCTATTGGTGACACTGAAAAAATCTCTGTACTATTATGTATTTGTTATTCCAGATATCTGCAGAGATTCAATAAGGAGCACTGAAAAAACGAACCTTGCTTACTCGGTTTTGATTGTCAAGAAATAGGTTCATTTCCCGGAAATCAAGTTTTCATGGCAAAGTTTAAGACCGAGATTACAAGGTTCTTTTATTCACAGTTTTACTTAATTGATGATAAAAAGAATATTTGAATTCATTTACTCACACCAAAAATATGAAGATGTTTCTCAGGGAGCCACCTTGAATACAGTCAATACAGACCATTAAAAATACATATAACGTTACCAAAGGAATCGGTGACGTGGCTTGCAGTGAAACACTACGCTTCACCAATATATTGGCGACAGCCCCCCTGGGAAACATGACTGTCACCAATATATTGGTGACGTGGCACGCAATGTGTTAAAAGGCCAATTGACAAAAAGTGAATAATCTTACAAATTCTGACTTTATATAAGTTCTTGTTCAAGTACAAATAAGTGGATTGTTGCGGAACTTATGGGTGGACCTCGCTGCGCTCGTCTCGCAGCCATCTAATCACCAATATACTGTTGAACTGTTCAAGTAAGATATTCACCTGAAACTAATGAGAATAACGCACATTTGAGTGAGTCCGTTTAGTATCGTAATTAAACAACATATTGATGAATAGATAGGAAGTCCACCCATAAGTTCCGCAACAATTCACTCATTTGTACTTGAATAACTTGTCACATTATGTTACTAGTTTGGTAAAGTAACAGTAATTAATTCCTGTTGAAAGGCAAATTGACAAAAAGTGGAAAATCTTACAAATTCTGACTTTATATAATAAGTTATTGTTCAAGTACAAATAAGTGGATTATTGCGGAACTTATAAGTGGACCTCTGTGGGACGAGCGCCGCAAATTCCGCAGCCATCTACTCACCAGTATACTGTTGAACTATTCAATTAAGACACTCACCTGAAACTTGTAGTTTTTGAACTAATGAAAATAACTGACATTTGAGTGAGTCAGGTTAGTATCGTATTTGAAAAACGTATTAATGAATAGATGACTGCGGAACTCGCTGCGCTCGTCCCGCAGAGGTCCACCCATAAGTTCCGCAACAATTCACTCATTTGTACTTGAATAACTTGTCACATTATGTTACTAGTTTGGTAAAGTAACATTACTAATTCCTGTTGAAAGGCAAATTGACAAAAAGTGGATAATCTTACAAATTCTGACTTTATAATAAGTTATTATTCAAGTACAGGGTGTTTTTTTATGTATTGACACCCCACCTACAGCCTTCTTCACCTTTACAAGTAGATGAAAGGTGTAAATACAAAAGTTATACAGTATTGGCTAAATTTTTAGAATCCATGGTCAGAAACAAAAAGTGAATGTCAGAAATGTGAAATGTTGCATGCTTTCAGCTTTTTTCAAATGGGATGTCCTATATTTGGTTCCATATTCTTGAAGAGCACAATAATTTCCCGATTCCAAAGCTATATAGTTTGGCTATATTTGGTTGAGCCGTGTCCAACATATTTGGTTCTAAAAATTTTAAAAATACTATCAGAGAAACCAAGTACATACCTCAAATTTTACCTACAGCTTTCACCTATATAGGTATAGAATGGTTCACAAAATCAGTAGTAGGATAGTATTTTTTCCTACAGCCGTGCGGAAAAATCGATTTTCCGCACTGATATGCGTGCGGAAAATGAGTTTTCCCGCACGGTGCGGTAAAACTTTTTTTTTTGACATATCAGTGCGGAAAAAGTTTTTCCGCACGGCTGTCAGTGCGGAAAAAATTTTACCGCACTGATATGTCAAAAAAAAAAGAAAAATTTTACATTTTTACGCCTGTAGGAAAAATATTGTACCTAACACTTGCGGAAAAATTAATTTTCCGCACTTGTTAGGTAAATAGCTATTACAATTTTTGGAGCCGAATATATGAGAGACTGTTCAATCAAATAAGACAAATTATATATTTTTGGAATCGGGGCATTGTCCTCTTCAAGAATATAGAATGAAATATAGGGCATCCCATTTGAAAAAAGCGCTGGAAGCATGCAAAATTTCACATTTCTGACATTCAAATTTTGTTTTAGAATGAATTAGAAAGATAACTATTATTCTTTTCAGCTTTTCCATCCAATTGGTACAACATCAATGGGTCCAGATCCTAAAACCTCAGTAGTAGACTCGGACTTGAAAGTACACGGAATTAAAAAATTGAGAGTGGTTGATGCAGGAATAATACCAGATCACATTTCCGGTCATCCCAATGCGGCAGTGGTGATGATAGCAGAAAAAATATCTGATGCAATTAAACACGAACATTCTACATTTGCCAAAGATTCCGATTTATTTGAAAACGAAGACTTTTTGGAAAAATGATTTATTTGTTAATGTGTGATATATGTTATTAGGTACTATGTTTTTGGAGCCTGAATTTTGTATATTTGTTTTTAATTATGTATATTAGGTGTTAAAGAGATTCCATACAAATTGATGAAAATTTGATGAAACAATTATTATGCCATAACTTAAATTTCTGGCTCTGATTCATAATATTTCATGAAATTAAAGTTTATTGCCAAGAGCCCAATTTATAAACTATAGTGGTTGAGTTTCCCATAGATGTTTTTACCAAAAAACATTGACACCCCAAACATTCTTCAGGATTAAATAAAACTCGGTAAATTGTTTTTTATTAAATTAATATTTGTATTTTTATAAATAACAGGACAATTTGCCCGAATTTTTCCTCGTTGCTACAAAGGCATCAGTAGGTATATACTATGTACAGAAATACATATTTACAATACATAATAAAAAGAGTTCTTTTTTGACTATTTTTCATTTTTATTGACACTGATTGTCATGTAAATATTAGTACAGAAAAAGAATTATGTCGAACATCAAATTTTAAAATAAATAGAAAATTAAATTTTGTATGTAAAACTAAAATAATAATAATAATAATTGGAAATTTGTTAAAAGATTTATTATTGTAATATAAAAAAAATTCCCAAATGAAAGTGGGAACCAAATATGACCAATTGATTTGTGGACAATATAAAATTATTATATTCAATCTAACAACAGTCATTATGAAATATTAATAATATAAAGAGTAGTACAAATCACAAGAACATTTTTTCAAGCTTCTATAATTATTATTATTTTTATTATAAATTTCAATAAATATTTGCTGTATTTTTCATCAAGGCACTAAAAGACAACTGCATTATTTATTTTTTTTTAAATGGACCTATCGTACAATGTAAAGCGTTCTTTCCACCTGGGAAAAAGAAGTTCCATGAATGACTAGTTTAACTTAGTTTTTACTTTTAAGTAAAATAATTTTTTACATAAGGAAACTAAAATAAGTACGGGTTTTTTTTTAATTAAAAGAAATGCTTATGAAAATGTTTTGCCAGTTAATTTTTCATTCGTGATGAAAAACAAATTATAAACTTAACCCAAAAAAAACAAAGATGGAAATTATGGTCCCTTCCTCTACAAAAAAGACTTCAAAGTCTTTTTATTAAAGCACCGAAATATATAGATTCTATATAAACCTTAAAATTACATCTCACTATCGAGTAGATGTAGCATAAGGCAACTTCTAATTTTTTATTTAAATAGGCAAATCAGTACGAGGCTCTAAATTTATATACTTTGTGTGTTTATCATAGGATTTTTTTTTTTGGATAGAATTTTTTTTTAAATAAAAAATTGCTCCCCAAAAATAAGAGTAACAATAATCCTGGTCTTAACGAGGAGACCTGGACATTTTACAAAACAAAATTTGAACAGTCAGTACAAAAATACAAAAAAAAAAAACAAGGGGGACGGATTTTAACATTCTCTTTTCCTTAACTTTAATAATTCAGCCTTTTTATCTTCGTGCACTGGCTTCTAACAACTTTAGTGAATTTAGTACTGAGGATTCTTGAGAAAATAGCTGTTTTACAGAAAATTTTACTATTCACTCAAAAAATCCTTTCGTAATAAGGCCACATACAAATCCTAATAACAACATCTAATATTATTCGCTTCTGCTGTCTTTATTTTTATCACTTTCCACTATTTTTTAAATATAAAAAAGTTTAGCGCAGTATTGTGTATCCTTTCGTCTCAGTTTCTCTCTCGAATCCTTGGGATGCGTGGTTTTTTTTTTCTCGCCTAACAGTACTTTTTGCACGAATCACCTGCAAGGCGCCAACAGGACTTCTAACCAGCAGGGACATGAGGTTATTTCTCGTCTGGAATAACGGGTACCCCAACCTTTAACGAAACTGACCCTGGAAAAAAAAAATAAGATTTAATATCTATTATTATTATTGTTGGAATTGAAATTTTCTCACAGAATTGTGGTTTAATGTTGCTGTGACGGGCTATATGCCCTGACAATATGGCATTTTTTTAAGGTGACTGATTTCTAAAAGTTTTTGTGTATGTTAGTGTTGAGTCCTAGCTGTTTCAGGTGTGATTTGTATATTTTGAGTGTGAGGCCTGTGACTGACATAATCAGGGGGATAATAGTAACTTTTTCCTTCGTTGTATATGTCTATTGGATGTGTTGTTTGGGATAGGTTGAGGGGTGGATAGTTTTCATCTGCTATGCTTCTCACTGTGTGGAGGCCAGTCAGTCTAGCATGGAAGAATTTCCTAAGTGTTTGTATCTGCCTTATCGCATGTAGTGATGTTACGTCTACAATTTCTCTTCCTCCTCCATTCCTTTTGATTGTTAGCCTTTCCTTGCATGAATTGGGGTGTGACTTTCTATGTTTGGTAAGTTCAGAGCGCATGAGGATGTTAATGTTTTCCAGGTCAGTTTCGGACCACTTGATGATACCGAATGAGTATGCAGTGGCGGCTCGTCAAAGGAGGCAGGCGAGGCTAAACCTCCCCCAAAAAATTGAAAATTCAATCTCAATTTTTTATTCCTGATTTCTAATTAAAATAATAATTAACAAATTACACTTTCCAATTTTCGATATTTCAATGTAATTTAGAAAAATCTGAAAACATTATTTCAATCAATTCCGCGCCTCCACGACAAATATCTGTGAATCTGGGATACTCAGTAATACCGGCCCGAAGGGCCGGAGTAATATGCGAGCCCGAAGGGCCGGAGTTATATGCGAGCCCGAAGGGCCGGAGTTATATGCGAGCCCGAAGGGCCGGAGTTATATGCGAGCCCGAAGGGCCGGAGTAATACGAGCCCGAAGGGCTAGAGTTATTTTAATAACGGGGCCTAGTTTATAATTCTATTGGTGAGCGGATAATTTAGAGCTAATTGAAAACCGGGAGTATTTGAAATGCGATTTCTAACGTCCGATCAAAGAGTCAGGAATATTCAAAAACTTTAGTTTTATCAAATTGGCTTTGGAATGTTGGTTTTCTTAAATTTTTTTTTTTTCAGAAAACGGTGGTTTTTGCAAACATATACTACTTTATCATTGTCTTTGTCTTACTCACTATAATCAATAAGTAAACCTTTAAATGACATTTTCATTGAAATTAAACTAAAAACAAGTTTCCTATAATTTATTTGGGGAATTTTAATTATTATAATCATTATTAATTAATTATTAAATTGAATTTTAAACAAAAAACCATTTTAAAATGTTATTTTTGTTTTCCGAAATGAGATGTGACAACGTGGCTTTTAGTTGGCCATTTTGAAGTGACGCCTTGTAATTTTTTGCCAGTTTTTCCTCGAGTTTTTCACTTTTCTGGGGCTTTTCAATGGAAAAAGGCAATTTAACATACGAGGCTTTGAGTTTTCTTCATTTTCTAGCAAAAATGTCCAGTTTTAAAATGACATAAATAACAAAATCCCATTTAAAATGTTTTTTTTTGGAAGTTTCAATGTGGCAACACCGTTTGTACCAACTTCAAATAGGTTCTGTAATAAATGTCATTTGCCAGTTTTGACAGTCGGCAATTTTTAATTGACGTGTTTACATTTCTATTCAGTTTTTCCTCGAATTTTCCACTTTTCCAAGCCGTTTTCAGTCAAGAAACCCGATTTGAAATACGAGGAATTGAATTTCCATATTTTGTGCTAAAAATTCCCAGTTTTCCAATGGGGTAAGTGACAAAAACTCAAATTTCATTAAGTAGGCTTTGGAATGTCATTTTTTGAGGTTTTTCTTTGAATTTGTCCGCTTTTCCAGGGCTTTAATGGTCGGAAAAACCGATTTAAAGTACGAGGCTTTGAGTTTTCTTCATTTTCCACCAAAAATTTCCAGTGTTTAACGGGGTAAGTGAGAAAAACTTTAGTTTTATCAAGTAGGTTTTGAAATGTCATTTTTTTTGGAATTTTTATTTAAGGTTTTTGGGGTCCGGGGATCGTTTTCTATCACTTTTTTTCTCGAAATTCGCAAATTAAAAAAAAAACTTTTTTGACGTTGACAGCTGTCAATTTTTTTTTGACACAAATCGATAGTTGGCGTCGCGAAACTGCCTTGTACCGGGGTTTGATTTTCGTAGCTTTTATAGTAGAGCGGGAAAAAAGTCGAACATGTGTCAAAATTGACAGGTGACATTTGTCGATATTGCCAAAGTGTCGTGCGACAAAAGTTTTATCCGAACAAACCCGTTCATTGTTAACTGATTTTTCATACTCCGGCCCTTCGGGCCGTAATCTTTGAAACAAAAAGACGTCATTTTGTATCGATTGTCAAAAAAACCCAGGGTTTGAAATTTCAATTTTTTGACGTTTGTTGTATCATGAGCAGCGTTGCCATATGTTTTTATCAAATCTTGATTTATGGGTTATATTTAACCCAATCATTGACATTTCTGAAAAATATTTCCTTTAAAATTCCCAAAAATCCTTTGGAATCTCCAAAAATCTGTTAGTCTCTAAGAATCGGTAGAATAGTTATGTTATTCTGAAAAAGGAATTAGATGTGAAATTTTTGCGGAGTTGCCATAGAATTCACATTAAATTTTAATTCCTCTCGAATTACTTGAAATTTCAGTGAAATTCCGATCGAATTACACGAAATCCTAAATGAATTACATGAAATTACACCGAAATTCCCAACATGAAATTTCAGTTTTTACTGAATTTTAGTAATGCCGAGGAATTTCCAGCTTAAAACATGGAATTTCGGTGATATTCCGAAACATTACCATGTAATGTAATAACTTGAAATTTCAATATATTATTTCGATGAATTTTTAAGAAATTACTTGAAACTTCATTAATATTCCCAGAAATTCCTGGGTATTAAAAGAGAATTTCAGTGAAATTCCAAAAAAAATTATGAAAATTTTGTGGAATTCCAGGATATTTCAGTGGTAAAATTTTGAGGAATTTTACTAAAGTTTAAAAAAAAAATATGGAATTTTGAAATTGAAATCTTAGTGGAATTCCGAGGAATTTCATGAAATCCTATACTGTAATTAGCCTCCTCACTTGAAATAGTCACGAGCCGCCACTGTGAGTATGCAAAAGTAGGAATGGCGTATGTGTTTATGCATGGCCTTAGTGATATTGCCGGAATTTAATCTACTTTTTAATATCCTTATGTCTATTTCTGAATTCAGTTTTAAGCTCTATTTTGATGCGAGTGTGATACTTTGATGGAATCCTAGGTATTTATATGTTTCATTCTTGAGCATGTTGTCCAGTGGTTCACTATCAACTGTTTGGACATCATGATGTTTTTTCCACTGGCCTTTGTTTATGTGGAGTACCCTACATTCACTTATCCCAAACTCCATGAGCTGAATGTTTCTGTAATTTTGAGGAAGCTTTTCAACTGTGTTTCCGTGGCCGCGTAGAGTTTGATGTCATCCATATTAGGTGGTTTATTTGGTGTTGGTTTTCTTTCTTGTATCTGAGTTGAAAACCGTGTTTCGTATTGTTAAGTGTATTAGAGAGTGGATTAAGACAGAGGCAGAACCATAGAGCGCTAAGTGAATCGCCTTGGAAAATACCACGTCTGACATAGAGTTTTTCAGTCTGGATATATTTAGTCGGATTTTGGTTTTCCAGGATTTCATGATTTGTGCAAGAAATTCTCTGAGATTCTTCTTGATTTTGTAGTCCAGAACTTTCATCAGCCAGCTATAGGGTAGGGAGTCAAAGGCCTTTTTATAATCTATATACCTGATGTGGAGGTTTCTATTATCTTTTCTAGTTTGTCCCATGATGACACTATCTATAATCAGCTGCTCTTTACAGCCCTGGCTGTTTTTTCCTACATCCCTTCTGTTCTTCTGTCAATATGTTGTTAATTGTGAGGTGATTTTTTTGCAGACTGTAGCTGCGATGATCTTATAAAGCGTTGGAGGACAGGTGATAGGTCTATAGTTTGAGTGGTTTTTAGTGTCCACCAAGTTTTTGGGTTTGATGTAGGTTATGCCTTGGGTTAGAAATCTGGAAAACATCTGTGGTTCTTGGATGATTTTTTTAAATTAGTGTGTGAGAGCTTCATGTGTAGCTGTAAACTGTTTATACCAGAAGTTTTGAATGTTGTTTATGCCAGGGCATTTCCAGTTATGTGTGTATTTGATTGTATTTGTCATTTCTTCTATTGTAAGTATGAAATCTGGTTGTTCTGGTATATGTTTGTGTCTTTCTTCTTCGGTTTTAATCCAGGTGTTGTTGTTGTTGTACTGTTTTGATTCTGAGCACATGCTCTTCCAGTAATTGGTTAGTTCTTGTTTGTCTGGTGGTTCTATTATTCTTGCTTCTTGGCTGGACATGGTTCTTCGGTAGAATTGCTTCTCATTTCTAAGGAAAAGGTTGTTAGTGTCTTACCTTTCGTTTGATTCTTTGTATTTCCGAAGTCTTGACGCATATACAGATAATCAAGGATTTCTGGCATTATTTGGGTGGGGTATTTTGACTTTATTTTCATTATTTTCTGAGTAACATGTTTTAAGGTATTCCTGTTTGTGAACTGGGTGAGGTGCCCTAGATCTTTCCTGATTTTATTTTCCAGACAAGTTCAGGGTCGTCCAGTTTATTTCCGGATAGTTAAAATCCCCAAAGATGTAGTGCAAAAAGTGCAAACTGAAAGCCGTACCCTAATTGGTTATTATACTTCTATTTTTTGTCTCGGTTACATAACCTGGTGATCAGAAGATGAAGGCAACTACAAATTTTACTATTCTTATGACGATATGCAGCCATATAGACTCTATGGTTGGTGGCATTGACTCTGGATATCTATGGTACTTATTTTTTCCTGTACCTATACACAGATTCCCTCGCTTTTCTTGTTTGTTCTATCTATTCTGAATAGTTTGTAACTGTCAATATTAATAAGGGAATCAATAATTTCAGACGGCAAGCAGGTCTCACTTAGTATAATAGTTGGTGTTTTTCTCTTATGGCAAGAATGCTAAGCTCATCAATCTTGGTCATGACCGCACCAGCGTTAATGTAATAAAGTATTACATAGTTTATTAGTCAAACTAGGACTATCATGGGCAAGAATGAATATGACGTTTGAGTGTAAAGTTTCAGTTCTTACCTTATACTATTTGGATCACCAGAAGGACCCTGCCGGCAGCCGTTAGGAACCAACTGATCCCATCCGAACATTTGCGGACCCCCGGGCGCGTGCACGCACAAGCAATGATCCGCTGGTACCCGAGTGGGTCCCCCAGGGACCTCTTCACAGCCCCCATCCAGGTACAGCGAGTCGACGAATACAGCTTGCTCGGATCGATTGTAAAGCCACACGAAGCCGTCGGGTTCACGGGATAAAGTAATACCTAATAAAAAACAGTTAGTGGGTGCGCTCATAGTGATGTGCTTTTTAAACTTACCTAATCCTATCTTAGCCCTGGTCTTCCGACTAGCTTCGGTTTGCTTGGTGTTTTGCGGTCCCACGGCCTCGAGACTAAATCCGTCGAGTCCATAGGGTACGTTGCCGAATACATTGACGTAACAAGGTTCCACGTGGAAGAGAGGCCCCACTCTTTCTTGCAGTTCCCAGTAGGCCAACTTGCACCATTCTAAACGATTTGTCATTGACGAATCTGAAACAATAAATACAGCTTTAGATATACATGAATGTTTTATAATGTGAATGACGTGATGGAACTAGAAACTCTTTTTGGTGACTAAATCATACTTTGAGTGGATGAAGCAAACAAGGAAGAAGATTCTAGAGATGATGAAGTCAGAGTCAAAAGAACAAACTACTCAAAATTCAAAGTTATATATTATACACATAAGAAAGGGGATTGTAGATTTAAGGACAACCAGAAGAGAGATCAGAATCCATAGTAGGAGTAGATGATTGTGTGTTGTCTATAAGTAAGTCACTTATTGATTGTAGAGTTTTCTATGACTGCGGTTCATTTAGTCCAACCAAAACTCTGGAAAATAAAGTTGTACTAGCAGAATACTTATGGTTTGGATTGATCAACCTAAATTGAAGCTTATAATTGGCAAACTTGGCCTCAGAAATTCAGGAAAGGAATCGTCAAGTATAGAGAAAAGTAGAAGAAAATGTTGAAGATGTAAATATAGAGTATGTACAAAACAATTATTAAGAAGCTGGGGAACAATTCGAAGAAGTTGAGGACAATTCAATCATATATTGAGAGCAGAATCGTTTCTTGATAATGTTGGTTCCACAGGAATTTTAAGAAATAAATGAAAGAGATGACGACAAAAAGAAGATGAGAGTTAACCCAAACTTGCTTCAGAGCAGAATTTCCTTCAAACACAAAGGCTGCTGATCCAAAATGGATTTTCAAGTTGATGAAGACTGATGAAAATGTGAACACAAAAAACTAAAGCATGTTGATAACCAATACAATTTGTTCGTCCAAGGAATGACTGATGATACGAGTCATCTACAACAACCAATTTGCTCTATGTTGTCGAACCCATTAGATCAGGCATTATATGAATCATCTGGACAAAGCTTTATTGTTAAGGATTTCTAGAAAGTGTTTATTGGCTTTGGAGGGTCTTAACATCTCTCAGTAGCTCGACTGATGAGAGGAATTTGCTCATATACAATTAAATAATAATAATAATTAATGTTTCTATTGTATACCTTGCCTAACGTGGCAACGCGGTTAAGCCACTTGTCGGAATGCTGAGGCCAACGTCACAGGGCGACTGATCCGACGACGGCGGCCTAGTAAGGTCGAGCTGATACGGTGGCGCCGGAAATTCACCGATTATTGTGTTTGCGCGGTTTATATTTTTGTTATTTTTTTTCGGCTGTAAGATAATGGTTAATATACCTGATTGCACAACGAGTCGAATGCACCTATATTTCGTCTCAACGGCGCCATAAGTCGATGTTCTATTCGATTATTGTTTAATTTGGATCTATTATGAATAAGGCTGATTCATTGGATTTAGATAAGGTTGAATAAATGGGTGGTTATTGAAAATTAGTTTTTGGGTCTTTTATTGTAGATTTATCCTTATTTAATGGATTCGAAATTTTGATTATTATCGGCTCTTGAGCTTTGAATGCCCTTAGAAAAATTCGCTTGTGAATCCAGAGTTGATAAAAGTTCAAATTTTGACTATTACCGGCTCTTGATTGGCTTTAGGAAGGTTTTCCAAAGAATCAAATAGAAAAATCATAACAGTCTATATGCTGATTTATAGAATTTTTTGTACTTAAAGGTGGCCCTTTCGTTTAGAGACAAACAAACAAAAAGTCACAAATGGTGTTATCTTTTCAAGAACTGAAATAAGAAGAATAATATAATGGAGATGAACTGAAGAGCTTGCAGCTGAGATAATGTCAGTATGGAAATATGTAGAAGACAATCATGTTTTCTTATTACCCAAAAACAATGCTCGTTTACATTATATTTACAAGGTTTGTCATCTAAACATTTTAAAACTGTAAAACTTAAGAATATTTTTCCTTTAAAGTCTATCAAGTTTTTTGCATCGACATAGTAAAGTACAATGACATGCTTGAACAAACTCCTCTAGTTATGTGGGGTTATTCCAAAATGTGCCTCATTTTTCGACAATTATTCGTAGCGGCAATGATAACGCTAATGCTTCAACAAATACTACAATGGATTAAAACGACTTTATGTACCAGCTTGTACGCCCAATAAATTGAAACACTGATTTGAATTAAATTGTAGCAACACAAGAGTAATCTTGACTGGGAATTTAATTGAATCATCTATGAGTATTTAGTCAAACTTTTCGAACCCGGGTCCTTTTATATTTTCTTTGATTATCATGCTTTCTGCTTCACAAACAAAGGAAACATAAAGTGCAGGGCGTCAGTTATTAGTAACTCAGAAATTCTGAAGGAGTCAAAGTTAATACACCCTGAAATGTGTCATTGAAAAACAAAAACTTTGAAACATTCCCTATACATATAACGCAATGAAACACTCATCACACGGGTTTAGATCTGGAAAACCGACAGGCCATATTATTTCTGTGAGATGTTCGGTTCAAAAGGTGCTTATTCGCATAAACGTGACAACACCGAACAACAAAAAGCCGGCCGGCTCTGGCTCATATAAAGATACAAAACAATTGCATATTTGCACAAAGTTAAAAATAACGAATAGATAACTAGCATCATGTAATACATAATCCAATTAAAGTAATGCTTATTGCTGCCATATATAAGCTGCCACGGGTCGATGCTGTTGGGTTGCTTAACATTTTCGCCAACAAATTTTGCTAGCAAAGGCGTTTTTTCTATACGGGTGGTATACGTGATTATGCTCAGGTATCTATTTAGTCAGAAGCACATGCGTACTGATACCACGTGGTCGAGTTTTGCGGTTTACTTACTGATAAGAGTAATTTTTTTTTAATTAATGAACTTTTGAAACCGCAAAATTAAATTACACACTCGGTTGGCATGTAGATGATTCAAAAAGTTTCTTTACATAATTTGGCTGAATGTATATTTTTTGGAAATTGAAATAAGTATAGTATTTTTATTTTGACTTGAAATACTGCATTATATGAGGATATTTCAACATCACGTCACTCTCTTCTATTGTTTCATAGAAAATCTATTTTAAGTTTAGGAGTGTTCCCTGTACAAAATATAAGTATGGAGGAAATATTGTTACAATCAGTGGTGCCAACCGTTTAGAATAAAATTTCCCACTTATTAAATGTGTGAAAATTCCCAAATTTTCCCACCATGCACAATAAAAATTCCCCATAATTTCCCAAGATTCTGTTATCATTTATGGTTACCAGGTCTGTTTGAACACATCAAAAACCGTCCCAGTTAGGAAACCATTCTGTATACGAATTTTCGATCCTACGCACAAATTTTAGGCTGTGCGCAGAATCGTGACAATACATAATACGGTTTTCTGCTGTGTTGGAACAAAGCTCATTTGTCTGTGACAGCTTACAGCTACAGTGTGGAGCTATCTTGTAGCAGAACGCTAAACGTTATTGGTTTAAGTACCATGAAAAATGCAAGGAAAATGAATAATAAATAAATAAATAAATAATTAATTTTGACAGTTCGACCGTTGACTGGAGTTGACCTTAGATCGCGTTGACACTATGTTGAGAGGCTGTCAAAATTTTTCAGAAAAATGTTTATTTTTTAGTTTTATTCCCAAACATACTCAAAATTTCTCATAAAAACGTATATTTTTTAATTTTTTTCCCTTGAATTGACAAAATTTCTCATGAAAACCTTTTTCCCATTTCGAATATTTTCGTCCAAAAATTCCCATGAAAAGGAAAATTTCCCACGAATTGGCATCACTGGATAGAGTAGTAGTAGTACAGTGACCTGCTGACTAGACTCTGCGATTGTTAGAACCAGTGTCATCCCAATTCATATATTATTTGCTCTTTTATTCCACGTATTATTTAGTTGTGTTATTTGATATTGATTATCACCATGTTAATGTCCATATATGTCCATGTCCTTTATTTGTTTGATGTATGCCGACTAGATGTTTTGTTAGTGCTTCAATTCGGATTAAAAATACTATACCTATACTAAATTAGCTTAAATAGATAGAAATATAAATCTCCTAGTAAAGGAAATCATGCTGGAAATAAAGCCTCTTCATCTCTTTGTGGAGACACGGGCCCGAGACGCGTAATTACTATCTGTACTATTATGCAGAACCGATCTGCTCTATAAAATAGTAGATTTTGTAATACGAAACACCGGGTTGCTTATCATTTCTAACTGTACTAATGTACAGCACGAGTGAGCTCTACACCGTGGTATAGGTAGTAAATGAGCAAGAGATAAACCACCATCCCAGAATAGGTGCAAACAATTTCTCAAAGGGGAATTTTTCACGCATAATTCCTCAAAATTCCTGCAAATTCCTCCAAATTCCTCCAATTACCTCACCACGAACTTCTCCAAATATCCCACAAATTCCTCTAAAAAAAGAGAAAGTTTTGAAACTTTTTGCATGCAAAGAGGAAAGTGAGAAGCTGATTTTCCCAAGGTTTCAAATTTTTCCAGTTGAAAATAACAACATGAAAAATCTTGGAAATCAACTTACAAAAACTGAATTAGTTGAAAATACAGTCTCACATATTTCCTGAAAAACTAGAGAAGGAAAAAATTTGAAACTTTTTGCATGTAAAGAGGAAGGTGAGAAGCTCATTTTCCCAAAATTCCAAATTTTTCCAGTGGAAAACAACATGAAAAATCTTGGAAATCAACCTACAAAAACTGAATTAATTGAAAATACAGTCTCACACATTTCATCAAAGTTTTCCTAGAAAAATAGTAAAGGGAAAATTTTGAAACTTTTTGCATGTAAAGAGGAAGGTGAGAAACTCATTTTCCCAAAATTTCAAATTTTTTCAGTGGAAAATAACAACATGAAAAATCTTGGAAATCAACTTACAAAAACTGAATTAGTTGAAAATACAATCTCACACATTTCAAAGTTTTCCTAGAAAACAAATAAAAGGAAAATTTTGAAATTTTTTTGCATGTAAAGAGGAAGGTGAGAAGATCATTTTTCCAATATTTCAAATTTTTCCAGTGGAAAACAGGAACATGAAAAATCTTGGAAAT